CTGAGACGAAGACAGAGAGGGTTGGTCATGACGTCTTGCTTGACAGACACACAAATTTCATGTGCTTGTTATTTTTTCTCTCATTTGAGTAGAAAGGGGCCGTTTTTACAAGAGTTAGTTTCAGTTTTTATGAAACTGAGATGTTTAAAAAAAAGCCAGAATACAAGATCTCCCTCCCCAGTCTGAGATGTCTACTCTGTAATTTTGGTTTTCAGGGAGTAGGTCTCTCCCTGGAGACAAAAAGAAAAAAGAATCTCTTCCATAGAAGCAGTTTTAGCCTGTTTCTAACCACAAGCAGAGAAAAACACACAAAATACGTTGTGGATTTAGTATATCATGCAATAAATGTGTGTAAAAAAAGAAAAGCATGTCTTCTGCAAGATGGCACCAGCATACATGGAAATTACAGCCTGTCTCTGTGGTCGGTTCTTTGGATAAAATAGAAAATGAAAACAAAAATGAAAGACGTTTTGGGATTTTGGGATGTAGATCCTGATTGAAAGAGTTGGTGATTGAAGTTTAGAGGAAAAAGGGAAATCTTGTTTTTCTTTAAAGAGTTATTCATCTGAGCCTTTTGTGGTTATTTGCCTTTTAGAAGGTAATTTCACACATCTAATTTTCAGTACCTCATACACTGGGTTTTAATATGCATTAATACAGTGCTTCATAGGTGCTTTATTACCAATATTGAAATAAACAGAAGAAACAAACAACAGCACTCTCTTTAGTTTAAAGGAATTATCACGGGTCTGCTAAATCGATGTTTGTTTTCAAAAAGGTTAATTGTTTCTTGTTCCATCTTAACAGTTGTCAGTATTATTTTCATTATTTTTCACAAGTGCAGGCAGCTGTATCAACATTTAAAATTATCTTGCAGACAAACATTTTTTTAGGGAATAGCTTTTTAGAGAAGAGGCAGCTGTGGCTCATTGGTAAACACTGTCATCTCCCAATTATAAAGACAGGAGTTCAATTCCAAACCCGCTGTTCATATGCCAAAATGTCTTTGGTCAAGACACTGTAAATGTTTCCAAATTTGTGTTTGCATCACTGTTTTGTTTGTGTCTAAAAGGGCCAATTTATGCTGGAAAAAAAATGTTCTTCCCCCAAAAAGTCACTTTGAAATGTCAAAACTGTGCAGTTTTCTAGTAAACAAAAAATAATCAAGTTATTGTTTGATTCGGGTACAGTGTGATAATGTTAGATTTAATTCAATCAGACATATCACTGTTATGATGTGCAGCTGCTTTGTGGAAAACACTGACATTTTTCCATAATAGTGAACACAAGTTTCCAATTACAACAACAGACAACAGGTCTGATATACTCCCTACAGAAATGTGACATCCCTGCTTTTCCCTCAGAGTTTTTCTCATTGTGAGTGCTGTCTTATTAAAAGACAATATTAGTGGAGGTACCAACTGTGTTAAATTGATGTTCGCAGGCAAACTATGTGTGAGATCACATGCAAAAGAAAGACAAACAGTGAATGAGTCATGTTGAGATAATCTGTTAAAACCTAAAGTTCAACAATGGCTAAGATGCAGAAAAAAAGGATTCAAGGACAGACAGAGAAACCGAGAAAATAAGACGTAATCTGAGCTGTAAATTTTCCATAGACTTAACCATCTTAACCAGAGCAGCAGCCTTCTGCAAGGATGTGGCTGTCTGAGGACTGTGGCTGGGATGAAAGGGAAGGAAACCAGGCGACCCTGGAGGATTCGTCTTCCCTCTCCTTTTGCACATTAACACACACACACTCACATGCACACACAGACACGTGTGCGCACACACACACACTCAGTGACAAAGTGAACATGTATGCAAATGAGAGGCAATCCTCCAGATCTGGTGCACAGATGACACTAATTGTTTCCATCCTTCTTAACAGGCGATGTGTAACTCAAGGAAATCAACTGAAAACTCACATCATCTTGGCTTTCTTTCTCTTTCTCTCTCTCCCTCTTTGCCTCTCTCTCTTTTTTTTTTTCTTCGCAGACATTCCATTGTTTCCATAAAAGGGGTTAATACCCTTGAGGATGGGTTAGCTACAGATGTATGAAAGGGGATTAAATCACCTCTGACGTGATGTAACATGCATGTGTGTCTCTGTCCTCCAATAACTTTCTTCTCTTTGTTTTGTTGTCTTTTGTTTCTTGTATTTTATTACAGACATGTGGGATGAATAAATTATGATTTATTTTTTATTGTATGCCTCAGTATATTATACTTCTATTCCTACTGCAGAGGCAAATATTGTAATCTGACTATATTCACCTCTCTGATAAAGAAACTGTTTATTTCATCAAGCTAATCACAATCACAACTTTGATGTTTTCATCCCTTTTTTTCAAATATTATAAAAGTTTTGAAATGATCCTGATGCTATTTCTGATACTCAGTTATAGGCAAGTTAAAGTTTCTACTCCCAATTTTACCATCTGGGTTTACACTGTTAAACTTTTAGTAGGAGTTAAACTTTAAGGTCTAAAAACTTGCGAGCAAACAGTTGATGTTTATTGAATGTGGTCTGAAAACACACTGGATTTAATGTTTAGGAAACTGGACCAAATTTTTTGGTAACAATTATAGAATTTCTCAAGATATCTTAATCAGTATTAATTTAGCAACATGCTACATCTCACTTAATGAACATATAAAGCTGTAGACAGTGATGGGTGATAAAATGAAGCAAACAAATCAGTGCAATATCAACCTGCATTAAAAAAAGAGGTCTAAAAGTCTGATATCAACTCCATCTTGAATAATATATGAATAACTCAAGGGGCTGACCCAGCATCATACTATGAATCGAAACTAGTATTCCAGTAATAGCCTGATGAGAAGTCAGTTTAAAAGGACATACATCTGGGAGTCGTATGGGTGAAGATGGAAAAGAAAATAATCTTGGCACATTTGAGAAATAGCCGTAATGCCACCTGGATTAACTTTAATCCTAAACCAAACAATGTGATGTTTATGTAATTTAAGTGTTCTCCAAAAGAAGGTAAACTGGCTCATAACTTGTTACAGATTGAGAAAAACTTACCCTGTTGGTTTATTTTTACCCTCATGTTTAAACTCATCTATCTGAGGTAGTGTGACCTTTGACCTGTGAGAGGTTGTACCAATTTACCCCCAAATCCTTGACCATGAAATCCATATAGGTTTGTTGAAAGCAGTAAAAAAAAAAAAAGGAAGATTCAGGACTGTGTATGCTATCCTCAGTGGAAACAGGAAGGTTGTGGTGATTTTAGTCTAATCCCTCTGGACGTTTGTAGGGTGTGCTTGGATAAATTCCACCACTGAGGTCATGAGGGGTCACGTACCTGGAATCAATTAACTTCTTGCACTACAAGCCCGAGTTTTACCCAGAAGATTTCAGTCTTTCAGGACACAAACAGGGATTTATCTGATGGTAATTTAACCAATAGAAAAAAACAGTTTCTTCTTTTATTGACTAATGTAGCAAACACTAACTCTATTAACATAAAGACTCTTTGGGTAATTTCTCTTTCTTTACCACTCATGGCTCAACTTTGTTTTGCTGGTTACAATCCAGAATAATCCACATGAACAAAGACACTTATTCAGTAGGTTCCAGTAAGTATAATTAAGCCGGGCATTTAAGGTGAAAAACCATTAACTTCAGCTTTTTCAGCATTCTGCTGAGCATGAAACCCGCTTTCCCGATTGTAATTATCTTTTAAAAAATGAGTTTTCCCATCAGTTTTCTCCAAGAATCTAAATTAAAACCCCAACTTTGAATGGATCATTAACTCAAGCGTCAGAGGAAAAATTATCTCAAAAAGTGAAATTAATCAAACAGTAGGAGCATTCATTTTGGACACATGATAAAATCGCACGAAAAGTCCTATGAAGAAAAAACATTAAGATAAACACCAATCTCTCACTGTAACTGTGTCAATAAACCCCCTCCACTTATTTGATAAAAGCTGAAAAACACCCTAATTATGCTTCGATGTCCTCTGAGGTTATACCTCTAAAATATCCATGCAGCAGTTTGTAATTTGTCTCATTTTATAGGACACAAAGCACAAGCTAACCACAGATGATTAGCTAGTTGTTACATGAGCGGCACCACATGAACCTCCGTCAGAAGTGTACGAGGCCTCGTGCGGGACTGTGCCTGTAAAATAACAAGAAAAACCACATCAGAGGCAAAGAGCGGAGACAAGGCCTTCTCCTGGTCTCCTCATTAAGGGAAATACATCAGCGCTGGGGTGAGAAACAGCATGTGGACACCTATTACAAGAATAGTTTAGGTACAACATCACCAGCCCATCAGTATCAAATTCATCTTTTTAATGTAAGAATTGTCAAATTGAATATTCCCCTCATTTTTTATCTTAAGGACACCACTCCAGACTGCAAGAATACCACAAAATAAACACAAAATTCGCATATTTTAATGCTTTAGATGGTCTTGGGCCCAGATTTCCTGAATAAGGACAGATATGAAAACATTGCCTCATCCTAAGACCTGAACTGGCCAAACCCAACAAATGGCAGCTTTAAAAATCGAACATCTGCCAAAGAATTTACACTTAGATACACGCAATTGCAGAGAGACACTCTGACAATGACCCACAACTCATATTTAGACCAGGTGTTTGAATAGTGCTGAAAGGAACATGCCATAAAACAAAGTAAAGCTGTCTAGCAGGTTGTAAATGAAATAAACACACCTTTTTGACATACTGCATGGTATTATGTATCAAATTTTGCAGTATAGACTTTGGTATTAGTGAACAGCATGATGTGTTTTGGTATGTGAAGCTTAGCTGGAGGCAAAACAGTCCTCTAGATGTATTGCCGCCGCTGGCTACCAAGTTGTTTTTGGTTTGTTTTCAATATTCGCTGAGGATCATTTATACTCCTCTGACTATATGAGGTCCCTTACTGTTCCAGTCCATTCCTTTCTTCTTATCCTGTCCAGCCAAAGTCCTCTTGGTTTTTGTTGACAGTGGCGGCCGGTACACTGTAGGATTTGAGTTTTGGAACATATTTCTCTTTAGTTTTGATTAGTTTTTCCACCAGACAATACCATGATGGCATTGTGACATTGACCCGAGAAGCATTATATTATGAAAAAAACATCTGTTATGATTAAAACACCTTTTAGTTTGATACACATGCATCATAATCGTCATGATGGGTCAGGAGGGGAGAGGTACAAGTACTAAGCTGTTTCAGTACAGGGCTTCTGCATGCACACAGAACCGGATACAAGCGGAACAACAAGTAAAAAGTAAATGAAATCTGAGTTCCAACATGGTCAGACAGAAAAACATGCCCAACACACGTTTTTGCTTGTCAACACACGACAAGCAAAAACTAGAAGATCATGACTGATATTAAAGTCTCTTGAGTGGGAATACTACAGTTTCCCTGTGAAATCTAACAATGGACATAGACAAGTAAATAAGACCAAAGCAGTTTGTCGACACTGTTCAGCAACAAATGTAGCTGCCTCTGACATTAAGACAGCCTTTAACTGGTAATTCAGAGCAGGCTTAAGCGATAACAGTCGATCTATGACTGTATTCAGTTATTGAGATCACAAGGTTTAAACATGTTAAATGTGATAGTCTCATCTGCATTTCAGCAATAAAGTCATACTTTGTTTGTCCTTTATGAACCAACCAAAGTTGCTGTTGTGCACAACTTGTCCAAGACATCTGCTGCGACTCTGACTGTCATGATGTGTTCTGCTAACTTAGTTATTCCCTGGTTTTGTTATCTGAGTGTATTTCCAGTGTGTATTTGCCTAGTGTTTCTGTTCCCTTTTGTTCCTGTGATCCTGTATTGTGAGTTTTCAGATTGTGTTTGACCCTGTTTCTCTCCTGTTTTCAGTGTTTTATTCTTAAGATTAGTTCTCAGTGTTTCCTGTTTTATTTTGTAGTAGTTAATCACCCATGAGTTTCACCTGTGTCTCGTCAGCCTCACCTGTTGCTCGTTTCCTTGTGTGTGTATATAGTCCCTGCCTTCCCCGGTGTTCTTGTTGGTTCATTGCATGTTGATGTGTGTACATGCCTCCCTGTTTCCCCGTGATCTTTTATGCGTGAATCTTTCATCTCCTGGTGTTTTTTTTTTAAGTAAGTTTTTGTTGCTTTTTATTTTGCTCTTGTAATACATCATTTTTTGTCCTGCACAACACCCAAAAGGACACAGAAAATACACTCCGATTACAAAACCGGGGAAAAACTTCAAACATTTTTTGTCCCTCTGCTCTTTAAAGAAGCCCTACCTTAGACCCACAGGATCTTCAACGGCTCCGCTCCGCTCCGGACCGGCAGGCGGATCAGATCCGCCAGTAATACAGCGCCCACCGGATCAAATCTGCCGCCGCCATCGGAGAAGAAGCGCTCGCGAGATTACGGATATTTCTCGCGGGACTGGACGAGATCTCTCGAGCTCTCGCGTATATCCCCAGGAGTCATAGGCTGTGTCCGAAACGGATCCCTAACTCCTTTGTAGGCGACTATATGGGGGTTAGCAAAAAAAAAAAAAAAAAAAAAAAGACTATATGGGGGTTAGCGCCATTTTGAGGGGTGTCCAAAACCTGAGTAATCAATTCCAGTGTCCTATATAGGTGACTCAAAATTTCCCATAAAGCATTGCAAAATGTAGTGACCATCCGATGGTCATTCACTGGTGGTGGGCATCCTGTCTTGCATTGCGTCTTGCCTTGTAGTGTCCGAAACCTCCAGTGATTGAGTTTGCTACATAGTCTACTCTATAGTAAAACCACATATGGGGGTCAGGGGTTATAAACGACGGTGTATGTAAACACCCACATACCACAACCCTGGCCTCTGCTAATATCAAGTTAAGAACAGTTCAATGTATCGACTTTATTTTATTTTGAAAATTAACCGGAAATTTTACTGTGTAACTGTATATAACTTCCACTGCTGCTCGTGCTGCACTGAATTGATGCACCGTGCTCAGGCATCTGGCAAAAATAGAAGCCTTGCGTATCTGATCCGGCCGCCGGAGTGGATCCTCAGCGGGGCCGGACGGAGTCTGTGGAATGACAAGCATTGATTATAATGCTTGCAGATTTGATCTGCTGGCCTTGCCGGAGTGGAGCTGTTCCAGATCCTGTGGGTTTTGCCCATTATATCTAAAGAAATCACATTTGTCAACAGAGTTGTTGTTGTTTTAATCAGATATGCAGTTTATACCTAGATTCTTGGAACAAATAACATCTGAAAAAAATATCAGCTGACTAGAATGCAGAAATGTTGATGCAAAATTGATCAGATATGTGTTTTTAAAGTTTGACTAATCTACCATTTTTTAACATGTGGGAGGCAAGCTTTATAACCTATGTAGTGATCAGCCATTGGTGGGAGCTCTAAATCTTTTGGCTTCCCTACTTCTGGAGCTTTCACACTTTCACATTTGTCTTTTATACCACTTAAGTCCTAATGAAATCTGTTATACAAAGTTTGATTTGTTCCAACTCAAAGAGCCAGAATTGAACAACATGAGTCAATGTATTCTTTTAAAATGCAGTCATTTCTGGTTCGCACATGGCTTTGGTTGACTTGGAGAAACTGATGACACAGACATGGCTGCTCTGAACATGGGATTTTATTTATTTATTTATTTATTTTTGTTTTCCTGGAAGACGCATGTACAGCAAAGAGGTGAGTCAGAGGACTTCAAGCTGTAGGGATATTTTCTTGGCTTTCAGTTGTTGACATACAGTAGGTCAGTGCCCTGGATTCCTCACAGGGATCCTGCAGAGACGATGAAGAAAGACTTAGTTTGCCAAACACAGTTCTCAGATTTTCATTGATTTATGTTTTAAGTAGTCCACTATACTCAGATTTCATAGCACTAAATATTTATACGGAACTAGAAGGAAGGAGTTTGATCCAAAAATGAGAACAATGAGGAGATTCATTTTTCCCTTTCATAGTGTAATGTAATCATTCTGTTAAATCTTCTGCTCTATTTCATTCTATCTGTGAATATAAGGTTAAGATTTCTCAAGGACATGCACACTGTTTCAAATGTGGACAAAAGCCTCAGTCTGAGCTTCAGTAAAAGCAGGTTTCAAGGTTTTATGAGACCTTAAAACATCTGTTTATTAACTGTCTCCAGACACATTGTCTGGGGGACAAAACCCTTGACAAGAAACTGAAACTGCAGATACAGCATATGGAAAAAGAACGTTGTATATTGTGTGCGTCAGTATGTTTTTGTATTTTTTAATAAGAGCATTTAAAACAGTCTCCCAACAATTAACTGCACATGAAAGCAAGAAACAAAGCAGAGGGTGGCTGTGTAATTGCCCCCAATTCCCAAGTTTTATGTTTGTTGTGACTACAATACAGCAGTGAAACAGATATCTGGACACTTCTCTCAGAGAGCACAGTAACTTTTTCCGAAAGCTAAGTTTGCACAAGGGCTAACAAGGAGGCCAAAACACATGGACAGAGCAGGTCAGGGCATGCTCACACATAATGTGGTGGTTATTATGGTCCCTTGTTTTCCTGTGACCAAAATTCACTACACACAGCAGGAGTCACTGTCTTTTATTATTAGCAGCAAGGGTTTCACCAGAGGGGTGGTCAGGGGTGGCAAGGGCCCACCTAAAATTTGACTGGCTGCCTTAGGTGCAGCCCTCTGGTGATGCCCTTGGCTGCTGAACCATTATAATACTGGCATTAGCATCAAGGGTCTAAATATCATTATTGCTGAGCCACTACCGTGATCAGGGTAAAAGAGAGTGACCTCTGCTGCTTGTCATATAAGCTCAAAAGGTGTGTATAGACCCTTTGGGAGTGAAAATGTTTTGTACGTTTAAAAAGTTTTACACTGGAATATAACATCTATCCAATTCATGAAAGTGGGCTTTGTAGTTAAATCAGTACCCAGACTTACAGTGTATGTCAGTGTCAGCATGCTAATGACACAGTAGCACAGTAATGCTACTATATGCTAAAGTTATAAGGCTTAATGCTCAGTAGCATGGTCAGACTTGCAGTGTATGCTAATGTGTTTACTAATCTCAGTAGTTTAGGGCTGGTCAATCCTAAACTCTGGTCAGCTCTAGCATTACGCTCAGTACGTTTTACATGTTGCTCAAAAAAATCAATGTATTGCCTCAGTCCAACTGGAACTGGACTTTCAAAAAAAAAAAAGTAAATATATTAGTCCAACTGAAATCACACTAAATCAGACTCCTCTAAATCAGATTAATTCATACAATATGTACCATTTCATAATACATATAACCAGCAATATTCATACCTGGATAATGCAGTCAAGAATCAGTTTCTCCCTCATGTATGCTTGACCAGCATCAACATCCTGCACATGCTCCGGCTTTAAGTCAGAAGTTAAATAGCATGAATGTATTGTTATTGTAATGAGCCTAAAGGGGAGGCAGACATGTTTTAATAATGCTGTTGATAATTCAGGTCTTCTTCAGTGCTTGTAAACTGGGACCAGATAGCAGTCCAGTTAGACTCAACTGAACTGTGTATGTAAACAGATTGAATGTTAACCTGCCATTATTTATGCTACATGATTAATGGCAAAGTAGGTCTACAGGTGAAGCTGATCATAATGTCATTAGCTTTGCTTGTATTTGATTATTATCCAAAATGTTGGACCTTGTGCACTGTGTTCTGCAGCAATATACCTGATTGTTGTTGAGACATATTCTCAAAAAGTATGAATCTTACAAGACCAAGTGAAATCTCATTGAAGTACTCTTCATCCTCTGTTGAATATGAAGATCTGAAATGATATATTTTAACAACCAAGTCCATAGCAGAGGTTGTCATTAGCTTCTGTCAAAGTTAGGATGAACATATTGCCACATATAAAAGCACAAAAAGGGCCAATAATTATGAATTGCACATTACTGGTGAAGTATTCTGGTGGACTGAAGACAACAGTAGTTAGCCATTCCCTCAACTATACTGTCTTTACCAGCCTCGAACCTACGAGCTGCCTCTTGAGACTGAAATATGCCTCATCAACATCTGTTGTGGATCGTTAAACTTCACAGCAGTTTCTGTGAAATGTGGCAGGTTGTGAATCTAAAGCCAGCAATTTTGGCTGGCTTGACGGGAAGACATGGCAAACAAGTTTTATAGCACGCAGTCAGCAGTGAAGCGAAAAGCATTAGAACTATAAAATGGTACAGTTGGTCACAATAAACTAAATCAGTAACAACTTAACAATCACATACAAGTTTTGTGTTTTTTTTCCCATGGTTATTTGCCAATACTTTGCCCCCAAATAGCTCTAAGTCTTAGGGGTAATGTTTAATTTTGCCAGAAATAGTAAGACAAGAATCATGGAGGGGTATATTTAATCAAAAAGTGAAGTGGTGTCTGCTGGGATTCAGAGGTCAGAGCATCCAGACTTTTGGAAAGGATTCAAGGTTAATTTAGGAACCTGGCTTTCATACAAAACACTCTTTCTCAAAGCGTAGGATGACTTGTATTGGTTTAACAGCGATGATAAAATTAGGTCTACATAATGAACAGGTCTAATGATAGAGCTCTACTTGAAACTTTAAATTGGTCTGACATGTACAAACATGAGAGCTAGCTGTCATTTTACTCTTTAAACATTTATGGAGAGCAGTTGCTAGTATCCCTGTGCAGTCTTAAATATCATTCTCCTTTTGTAAGGCTTAAACTGAGTGCACAAGTTTCATTATTATTTTTACTCATATAAGGAGACAAATTGTGGGAAACCTGTCAAACAAAACTCCGTCCCCTAGAAAAATCTGTCATGTTAGTTGTTGACTTTAATAGCAAAAATAGCAAATATCCTCTGCCAAAGTTATCAAACTGACTGGGACTGCTCAGCCAGCTGGTAAAAGGTCAGTGAATTCCAGCTCAACAAGGTCTAGTGTATATGTGCATAGATGCAGAAGGAATAGGGGGCCTTTAACCTCTTCAGATTACTGACAAAGATTCAAGGCTAATCATGAGGTGAAAAAGACAGTTTTAAGATGCTTTTTAGTGTGTCTTACCTATGATCTGACCTTGCATGTCATCACTGGCATGCAAGATTTCTCTCTTTATTTCATGCATATGTAACCCATACACTTTGGCATGCACATAGGCCTACTACATTCCTTAGATAAGGCATCCCTGCAGCTGTTCCATGGGGTGAAAAATGGACCATGCCAGCTCTTAGAGTGCACTGTGGGAAAATAGCTGATAAAAGACCGGCAGTGTTGTGTCATGGATATCTTCCTCACCTTGGATTCAAGTCAGTCTGTTCTGTTTCTTTTTAGTGCTTTTGTGCAGCCCCTCACAGCATATTCAGTAAACAGAGCTTTGCTGCAGCTCTGTGTGGCCTCATGATGATATGCTACGATTAATTACTGTTCAGCGCCACCTGCTGGGCACTCACTGTAACTGTAGAGCAGCATTTTAAATCCATTGAGTGCGCATTTCAAACTTTCACATGATTGTTAAGTACCATCTACTTACAATAAGGAGCAAAGAGTAGCTCTGAATAGACCAAAGTTTACATTCAGCCCAATATAAGATATATTTGCCAAATCAAAACTGCTGGAATTCGCCTCCCACTGTTGGGAGCGTGTTGCGTCGTTGCCACGGAAACTGCAAACGCCATAGGGAAGTAGACGGAAATCTGTGATTGAGTTTGCCAAACAGTTAACATTTTCTGTATTCAAACACCGAAAAATAAAAAAAATAGACTTGTGGGTTTATACGATACAAAAACGGAGTCTTGAGGAAGCGTGCGAAGAGCCAATATATTTACAAGTAAGACTTTTGTACTGTTATTTATTTGGCAGACAAACTACCAGGCTAACTACTTATGGCTAACTTGTTAGCTCCTGGAAAGGCTTTAATTCACGGTGTAGTGCTAATGTTTACAACAGTTTCTGAACGTTTCTAAGATGGAGAGGTTGTTCACAAATTATATTAGATTTAGAAAGTATTTACATGTTTCACAGCCGCTACGAGTCAACATTGTTATTACAAAAACCGTTAAAACATTAAAAAACTTAGTGGAGCAAATATTTGATTCATTTAACTGATTGGCACTCAATTATTGAGTAGAAGATAGCCAAATACATGCAACTTTCAAATCAACTATATGAAAACTGAAGATTATGTTTGCACTGCAGAAATCTCACCTCTTACTGCAGTGAATGTGTCTTCTTTAATGCTCAGGATATCTCTTTATGTTGAAAACAAGCTGCCAAGGTCTGACAGGTCCAAGTAGAAATACATGATAATTCAAGTCAAAATTTTGTTGCTTAGTTTCTTGACACAAATGTTGCATTTTGTTTTGAGAAACTTAAAACTTTATGAAACAGTCTCTATTTTGGCCTGTAACAACACAACCTTCTGAAGAGCCAGTCATGACATGAATCTACAAAGTGCAAAAACCAACAAAAGATGCAGCTTGGGTGTGTGCAGGAGCAATCCGTCTGGGAAAATATGCTTTTACACAAATTTTATTAATAATATTTTTGATTTTACCTGAGTAAATTCAAAGACTTGTAGTTTTACTTCTACTGCGAAGAAAATATTATTAAAATCTTTCACTCTGGTTGAATATTTTAGCACCCTTTCAACCCCTGATCATTTCTTGTAAACATATTGTTTAATTCATGGTGGATTGGGGAACAGACTAACAAGGTCAGTTAAAAAAGGATCACCTTTGACTCAGCTTTATCAATAATCCTTGCTGGCATATTTTCTGTTTTCTGTACTGGTTTATGTACTGATTTGTCTTCTCTATTGCTCTCTGTTTGACATCAGTGAGTCTATCAGAAGAGCAACAGAATAGCAGTCCATCCAGCAGAGGTGAAGTGGAGGTGGAGGAACATAAGGAGGACAAAATCCCTCTGGTGGCTCTTGCACCTGATGCGTCACTCCCAGAGGAGCAGCCCACTGCAAGTGCTGTTGTCTCCGCTTGTTCTGCTTTCCAGAGCTTAGATGAGGTAAGACTCACAAATGTTATTGAAGGATCATATTCCTTATTAGATAGCATCCTCAAGGTTTCATACAGAAGACAGGCCCCATGTTTGGCAGTTGCAGGAATTTGGTCATACATGCTTAAAGGCATGTTTGTTTACATATGAATGAGACTTGCAAATAAATCTCACCCTGTATCAATTTACAGCTAAACTGCTTTTTAGACTACACCATAATTCTGACAAATACTTCTAAAGAGAAGTGACTTTTAAATTTGAGGCCACAGTCTGATGTAAACTTCAAAATACTGCAATGTACCACAGCCTTGTAGTTAGAACTTTATTCATTTTTTGATACAAAAAGTGCATATCTTTTGGCATGACAGCTGAATATGAACGATAGAAAAGATCAATATTGTACACACACAAAGCTCCAAATACACACACATAAGTACTATGAATGGTCACAATAATGCACAGTCTTTATCATTGCTCGAATATCAACAATCATTAAACCTTGTTCAGTCTGCCCTGTGTTTTTTTTATAAAAGCTGTCATATCTCACAAAATAAAATAAATACTGTACACGTTCTGAAAGCAGAAACTTATCCAAACCTTCCCATTCACAGTGTGTATAGAATGGACTAAAAGATGCAATACAGTATTGTAACATTAGGCAGCAGTATTGTACAAGTGATGAGTCTGGTAAGCTTTTTTTTTACATGTGGAAACTGGTGCATGGCATGAAGAAATGTGCTGTACTTCATTGCAGCTGTAGATGAGGATTGGAAGAACAATAAGAGCGTTTTGATTCTCCTGCAGCAGCGTCCTTCTCTTTGGCTGCTGTCACAAACAATTTACTCAAGCATCAATAACCCAGAATGCACTTGGGTGTGATCCAATCGAAAATCCAGCTCAGGCTGCGTATTATTATACTTGGGTATTTAATATTGTATAGAATGATGATACATTAGTGGAAGTGTCTCAGTGTTATTAAATAAACCAGAAAGAAACTATTACTTTTGCACGACTGCACTGCTGCAGTTCTTGTAGTCTTTTAAACAGTTTGACTCCGACCCCAGCATGAAGTCTTTTGCAATGAATTTCAATCCCACTCAAAGCTGTATCATTACCTTCCATATACCTCACTTGAGTGGCTGCTTTTAATTATTAAACCATTTAGAGCGGGGGAAATGATAGCTCATTACTTTTTACTACTACTGTGTGCTGTGCGGCATCTCCGCTGGGTTTTATATCAGGAGGCAGCGGAACAGAAAGTGGAGAAATGTCAGTGAAACAGTGAAAAATCTCTCATGGTAACCCCCCATATAATATTATAGCCTCTATAGGGGGCTGGCCTTTACACAGCATGTGTGGTGATTTTTTTTTTTTTTTACTTTTTTTCTTTTTTGTTCTCCCATCATGGTTTATAGTCCTCTTTTTTATTGGCATCATTTTGCTTCACCATTTCGAAGGCCACACTCACTAAAAAGGACAAAGTATAGCACAGTTTAACAATTATTTTTGTTTTTACTGCATTCAACTGTCTACAGAGCTTAAAACCGTTTTTTCTTTTTACATGTATGCATGTGAAAGTGTGCAAATGACTGACTATGTGTATGAGTTTCTGAGTGTACTCCCATTACTGACTGTCTTTCTTTGTGTCTACCTGTCCATCTGACTATACTCAAGTGTATGTACCTGTCCTCTTAAGGGGCATAGTTCTTGGGCCGTATCATCATCTTGACCGTTTTGAAGGCCTGCCTGTAGTTGGTGGGGTAGTACTCCGTTGACATGTTATGCCATGTTCCCCAGAAGATCCCGTTCCTGACTCCCTTGTACCTCTTGTGGTAGTACTTTCCGTTGAGGTTGGCCGACATGCAGGCATCAAACCACCAGCCGGAGCTGTAGTAGGCGCCGCAGTTTCCAGAGGGGTACATGTCATTGTCACGGTCAGGCGTAGAGAAGAACTTCTGGTCGTGGTTGAAATGTTTGTTGAAGCTGATGGCATTTCCGGCAGTCCCACTGCAATGAAGATTACTTTATATCAGACTTCGCCCTTTAGTTTAACAATCTGATCCCTCATGCATGCACTAACAGACTCTGATTTTGTACCTGTATCCACTGATAGACAGCCGATAGCGCAGGAATTCATTAGCGACGTAGAACTGGTCGTACTTTGCATACTCCCGTACACCCTCAAAATCTTCCAGCTCAATACGCAGGATCATGTCTTTGGCTTTGGTCATCAGGTGGATGTGGTCATTGCCCAGCCAGAACTCACTTCTTCAGCAAAGGAAAAGGTGGCAGGAAGAGAGAGAAAATAGATCAAAACAATTTAGTATGCTGGAGCACTTGATTTTGAAACTGTGCAAGGGTAACTCAACCTGAATTTATTCTCCCCCACTGATGTGGAGAGGGGAGAGGTAGATGTGACAGTAAAAGAAATATAAGAGGAGATATTATTCTTTCAGTGGGAGGTTATACTGGATCTGAAGGCATGGTTATCAGGAGGTATATGGGGTTATTCCCCTCGTAAAACTCAGCCAGGAGCAGAGAGGAAGATAAAGAAAACGACATAAAATCTGAGCCTTGATAGCAGAAGACTGTAACAAAATTCAGGTTTAAAAGAATGTTCCCTTTATGCTGTCACAGGGACCTGTTTCCAATATCAAAGTTTTGTCATTTTTGCAGTTAGATAAATAACATTGGAGTCAAAACAATTGAGTAAAAAGCTTCAGATGTATTAGAGTGTCATGTTTTTGGCGCGTGTTGATCAGTGACACATAGAACAGGTGTGAGCCTGTTTATCACAAGGACAGGTGTGCATCATTAGGTCCTCTCAGTGCTGAGTGACCGGGCTTTTTCAAGATAGGGAAGAAAGCTGAAGCTTATTTGTTACATATTCTGTTGAAGTTCAGTGTTTTTCATGTTAACTGGTTCTGATCTTTTAATTATTCATGTCTCAGTTTATCTTAAATAAATGCTCAGTTTCCGTCAGTGCTTGTGCTTATGGTTTTTTATTTTTTTCTGTCTTGCTCACCCCCTAGTTGGACAAATGGTAGGTTCCAGTTGGCACGGCTAAGGAGATTTTAAAAGGCCAATTTGTGGTCCACAGGTGTGCAAGAGTATGCTGCAGGTTTCTTAGAGGCTGTGTGTTAGCTGTTGATTTTTCTTCAAAATCAAACAGCAGGTCATTTTTTAATAATTTTTTATGATTTTACCAAAGAGAAGTACTCAAGTGTTTGAGAATAATGCTGCGTAGTTGGAAAAGAGCAAAATCGGAAAAGAGCAAAATCGGAGGCCTGTTACAAGATGGCTACATCTATGAAAGTTATTTTAGCGCTTGCTTTATATTTGGACAAGGCAAGCGTCAAAATAACTTTCATAGATGTAACCAACTTGTTTCCACCTCCGATTTAGCTGTTTCCGACTTGGTAACTGGTAACTTGAGTGTGGTGTCATTTTCAGCTCAGACTTCTGACTTCCGAGGTAACTCGAACGCAGCATACACCCCACAAAGTTTGGGGGAATTTTAAAAAGTTTGTCTCTGTCTTGGTTTTTAAAAGATGTTCCACACGCCAAAACATTAGCTGCTTTGTCAACAAGGGTTTGTCCCCAATCTCAAAATGCCTTTGAAAGGAGCCTTTGTGATACTCAAACTGATTACCTCAGGTTCCCAAAGCCTTTCTTGTACTCTAGCCAGGTGCGGTTGAAGCTGACAGACCCATCAAGCCGTTGCTGTATCACGGTCCATCCACCTCCATAAGACTCCATGTCACAGTAGACCTCAAATGTCCCGTTGCGGGGATCAGGGGTCACACGGTACACTCCGTTCTTCCTCCCCTCCAGCACATTGTAGTCAGAACAGTCCCGAGGGGCCAAGATGACTGGAAGGCAGAGAGAGAGTGTGGTATAGAAAGAGGAGAGGTCACTTATTGATGATTTAAAATCTTTTGTTTGGCATCTTTCTCTGCCCAACCATGAGGCATTCATAGAAAAACTCCTTGAGGCTAAGGATGGGAGAAGAGAAAGTGATAAAGTTAGCGGGAAATCCAGCTTTGACCATCATAGATGCTCTCATTCCTGCATTAATTTCCGGGGCAGTTTATTCTATCACAAAGTAGTTCAGCATGTTCTGTAGCCAATCTGTTACCAGAATATTCCCCAGTTCCTCAAGGGATCAAGCTCAAGTTCAGGAGGCACCCAGCACAAAACACAATCCTATTTTTCATTTAGCTCTTCAGAAAATCTTTAGCTTCTATATCTCTAACTTCTCAACAGAATGTTCCTTTCTGAAAATCACAGTTCGTAATTGACATGAGAGAAAGTAAGGGACAAAAGCTGCAGTAGAAGGATGAAAGTCAGTGACCTTCCCCAGAGCTCCACCACAGGCCTGTTTCATCCAGCTCCACTCCTTCCCAAGAATTCTTTTTATACCTGCTCACTTACTTTGCAAACTCCTGCTCCTGTCCCCTGTGTCGCGCTGCAGGCCACTGACCCTAACTCGAATCTGAGGTCCAAAGGCCCCTGTCAGTTAGCATTTGGGAATTGAAAGGAACAGACTTGTCAAAACGTGGGAAAGTGTAAAAGTGGATTAGGGAGGCGTACCCCCTCCCTGCACGTTCAACACCTGGGGACAAAATCATCCTGACATTGGGCAGGCTGCATGCAGAGTTTGTTTGGTGCACTCTGCTGCTGATACAGTTTTGTCACACTGTTAAATCTGTTTCGGCGTTTGGTAGATTATAAAAAGAGCGAGGTTGGGGAGGGGGGCATACTGATTGCAGAGGCAAACGTCAGGTTTCTTTGAGAACAGGGAGGAGGTTTTCCTTTTCATTGATTAAATTAAAGGGCATCTGTAACTTGAACAAAAACAACTCGGCACAGCCATCTGTGTTTTCCTGTCAATTTTTTAGGAATCTCTGGCTGCAGATGTTATGGAAAGCAGTCTTGAAGCTGAGCGTGAGGTGTAAGATTTAACTTTGTCACGTGAACAGCTCTGCCTATTCAGCATTCAAAATAAAAATTCTTTGATTGTGTATTTCATCAAAGTGTCTGAAAGTAGTTCCTCCTAGTCTTTCCTTCTTCCCCTCTTTATATTGTCCCCATCTGTCTGTCTGGGCCACCAGCATCCCCTGGACAGGCGAGAGCCATCTCCTCTAACTGCATCTGGCACTTTGCCTGACCTAAATAACTCTGATATCAGCTGCTTACTGATGACTTACTGCCTGATTGACTGTCAAACTGTTCAGGCGACCATTAAGACAGACTAATGGTTAATTTGGTGGCTGATTGCTCTGTTTTCTTTCCTGCTTGCTAACTTATTCCCAAAAGAGGTTAAAGAGGGATAGCTGAAATGCTTAAATAGACAACCCATTGCTTTAAAACCACATCGCTTACTTGACTGACTGCAAACAGATACATGATTGACATGAAAGGAACAGAACCTTTATCAAGGAAGCATTCCCTGTTGTTAACTCGGATTAGCAGCCATGCTGGAAGGAAACACATATCCACAGTGATAGTGTAATCTTCCCATAAAAACAGCTTAGATTGAACACTGCTGTCTGTTTTGACTCATGACAAAGCAACACCCTTCCTTTGGGAAGCTGTGTGCAGTTGAGCAGTTCCTGACAATGTGTCAGCCAGGCATCTATTCTCTTTGTTTATAATTGAGTTAATGTAGCTGAACAGCAACACGAATTGCTATCCATTCACCTCAAGGCCCTCATACGTCTTGCTGGAGTGAAAGTGAATAATAGTGCTTACAGCAGGGTCGAGAATTGAGAATTGGCAAAGAGGTTGGGATAAATGCTTACAAGGCTGTGAGTGATAAAAAAAATCATGACCGACAGACTTGATGATGAAATTGCATTTCTGCATTACTTGAATATTTTGCCAGAGTTGTATAAGCTCATCCTAATCTTGTGTTTTGGGGTTTGGTGCAGGGCAGTTTGATAAAGGGATAAAAGTTAAGTGTGTCCTTAGATGCCTTTTTCTAACCCCACAGAGTGGAAATGTTGGTTGAACTTTCCGAATAGTGTAGCCTAATGAGCTGTACTATAGTGGCTGGTTTCTAATCCCTGTGCAGTTTTTCCAGAGAGTTGACATTTGTTCTAAAATGACCCCCACCACATCTTCTCTGCATGAAAAAGCATAACAAAAGACCATAGACCATGGTCGCTACTCATTAGTTTCTGATGAGGTGTTATAAAGCCCAATAACCAAGGTAACCATATTTTGATGACCAAAAACCACTCGGCCCGGCAACAAGATATTCTATATCTATAGTTTTCTCTTCTTTCTAGTGGCCTGATGAAAAACAATGAACACTAAGACATTTTTATCACTTTTTTAAAAAAACAGCCATGATGGCCAGGACAGGATGTTAAAATAGGACATGTCCCAGGAATACAGGACATTTGGTCACCCTACAATAACATCCACCATATTGCAAACACCAGCTCAGAATGGAGAGATGTTTAGCCCAAAACCCACACGATGTGGGTTTGGCCCATTCCATTAGCATCATGTGCTACACCGAAAATACATTCCTATTCTAATCGATGTGGCATCGCACAGAGGAATCATAGCTGTGCATGTCAACTTCGTCCCAGAAGGGTCTCTATGCGCTGTTCCATGGTTGATTAGCAGGGAATCGACCACAAGCAAAGCAACCTGCTATAGGTATGTTGTTGTTTTTTCTGTATACTGAGTCCAAGGCTGAACTACACTGCTGCTACACTCCAAACACGCTTCAAGTGGGCGATGGCACATACTGCCAGACAGAGCTGGAACACAACAGCAATGGATCGCGCCCAACACACATCCTGTAGGTTTTCATAGGTTTTTTAATTATGTGCCTGATTACCCTCTTGCAACCAGATTTTGCACAGTGTTGGAGGTTTTGTGATGCCAAAGATTACCTTTCCAGATTTTCCAATGGTGTGTGATGTTCTATCAGTTTTTCTTTCAACAAGCTTCCAGCAAGATTGTGGACACACTTTTCCTTACTCTAAAAATGAAGCATCAAGTTCTGAAATTTACTCCCCTGCCTCATGTGGGTAGATTTTCTATTTCGAGGATGGTAATTCTAAGACAGTTATGTGCCATGTGGTGCATGTTTATACTCTGCATATAGTGATGCCAGCCTTCACACCCAAATTTTTGCTGCATGGGACATTAGCTATCCTGCTGCAAACTGTTTTTTTTTTTTCAGATGAAGACTTAAACAAGGCTATTTAACTTGGCAGGATATGATCTTTATTTTTCTATTATCATAAGAGGCTTGATATTGGTGTTTCTGGAGGGCCAAGTGCAATGAGTGCATCAAACATTTTGCAAATAAAAAAAATGAAAGATTCAGAGAACTTAGTGGGATTTATACAGATTAATAGAGAAGTGGCTGTAAACAGTTGTATTTTCTGTCAAAAATTTGGCTTCAACAGGGATTCACTGTAATTACTTTGGCAGCCGCAACAAGTAATAAACACAACAATAAACATGACTTATTTCTGAAAAGAAAGTAATATAGAAAACGTCTTAACTTTAATCACTGAATATTAGTGGATGAGCGGATTTCTCTTTGGGGATCAATAAAGTTCTTGTATTGTAAAATGAAGTTCTTGTATTGTAGTCTGTGCGTTAGTATGTGTATCAAGACAATGGCCAATCAAGCAAGGTGACTGTAGAAGGAGGCACAACATTTACATTAATGGTAAGAGTAAATGCGAAGTATGAAGTGAGATGAATGTCACAGTCAGGGGACCAACTTTTTGAATTGTGGCAGCAACACAATTGTTTTGTGTCCTGTAATCTAAACACAATTGAACTCGCAAAGTGAGGTTGACAGAGATTGAACAGAAATTGCTGCTACAGCAAGTAATGAGCTTGACAACCATTCCCTCATCTGTCATGTTTGCTTCCTTTAAAGTTGAATTGCAAATTGTGAGAGATTTGCAAGACTTGGGGTTTTGAGTGAGGGCTGGTCATTGGTGGGTGGAATCTCTCCATACACTATCCCCACAAAACTTGTTTATCCATCATTTGTTGTTGTGTGTGTCCTCAACAAAATTTTAAGGTGTTTTTTTCCAGGCTCTCCTTTTGCCTCAAAGTTTCGGAAAAGTTGCTGCCTGGTAAATCGCCATATTGTACCGACTAGTCAGTTAAACCAACCATGCACCTTATTATGCGTAATTTAGCATAACTCTGAACCTTACTGTAATCAAAACAGATGAGTTTATAAATTATTCACACCCTGTTTAAAAGAGAAAAACTGAGAGACCAGAAAGTCTTTCATGTATTTTTTTTTTAATTCCTGGCCTTAAACATGTTCAATCCAGCAGTAACAGTAGCCACGTTTACATGGGCAGAGTTTTCTAATTTCGCTAAAACAACCACAGAAAAAGAGTCGTATTTACACCTGTGCTGTCAACAAACCAACAAATGCGGTAGTGGCTCACTCCATTCAGGATGTTTCCCCCTGTTAAATGTTGTCAATGGATGGCGCCCTTGCTTACTTATTTTACAGTTCTGTCAAAGGTTTCACTGTGCGTGCAGATGTGACATCATTACGCTGTATGTACGCCTTGTTATGTTATCGAAGGAGCAGACACGGCACCTGCGGTTGTGTTTTATGCCAGAGTGGTAATAATGAAAGCTCCTGTACTGACCTCAATAAATAAGCCAAAGGCTAAAGAGCAAAGCCCGAGTCAGGTAAGAGAGTCATGTTCAAAATAAGTGTTAACATTGTTTCGGAATAACGATCGGCATAAACCACCCCTCTTGATCATAATACAATTTCTTTACGATTGATCCGAATTGGATCAGAATCTTCCGATCGACATGTTTACATGACATTCAGATTATTTGTGCCCATTTAAACATGGCTAGTCAGCATTTTTACTTGGCTACTGCCTTAGCCAACCTCTGTGGACATTTCAGATACAATACGATTTGACTTTATTGTTAGACAGAGTCTGAAATTTGACTTGTGCCACAACAGCTCGACAATATACAATAACACTGCCTCAATCCTGAGTTTGTGTTTAGAATGTCAAAGTTGTTTATCAACCTCAGCATGCTTTTGTCGTACGCTGATTCAACCGCAGTTTGCCTGCTCTGGCCTCTTTGTCGAGACTGGGGGCCTCTCTTGAAAATGTTATCTTGATAAAAAATCTCGCTCCCTTTTAGTCATGCTCGTTTCTGTTGCTTCAGATGAAAACTGCAATTTAATGTGGTTTGTGGAAATCTCCATTTAACAAGTATTTAGATTAATGATTCAGCTACGATTTGGCAGCTGGATGGTTTCACTTTTCAGGAGTCGGGGGAGCCATTACACCTTGACTTGCTCGGCTAAGCACTTTTCGTACCGTGATAAATAACTGGAGAATATTTTTCATACTAAGTTGGATTACAGCATATGGGGTAGAGAAAATATAGGAATATAAATTCAGAATTATTAGAAATTTGGTGACTCTTTATTGGGAATTAAAAAAAAAAAAAAAAGATGATTTATGCACTTTAGTAGTATTGTATGCCAAAATTCTCCTTCTTTCACGTCATACCTTTTTGTCCTCCAACCCTTTTTAATTAAAACCTCTCATTAGTGAAACTGCAACAGTATTACTCATGTTGCAAAGCTGTAGGGCCTCCACCCTGATTTTGGTGTATTTCTATGAAAACAACAGCTGTCCCTCATCTATTTCTTCTTGGTCAGAACAAACAGGCACAATGTTCTGACTTGCAACAGTTTTGTTTGTCTATTTTGCTGCATATACATATGAGATTGATGTACAAACACAAAAGTTGCTGACCCCGTGTACCACCCGTGACTAATGTCAGGAAAATCGGCCCACATTACTCCTCTTGTCGTTGTCAAGAGATAATGAGAGCTAGTTGTTTTATGCAGGAATGAACACTCAAGAGCATGACCTCTAGAGGAAGCGGGAAGCGGGGCAGAGGCAGGGGGGGTAGAGAGCGAAAAAGTAAGGCGCCCAGAAAAGGGATTATAAGGAGAGGGAGATGTAGAAAGTAAGAGCAAGTGAAGTGAAAAAGAGTTGAGATACGGGAGGGAAATGGAATGATGAAGAACAGAGGATAAATGTAAAAGGGAAAAGAGGACAAGATCTGAAGGAGAAGAGAGGCACATTTAGGATGGGAGAAAATGTAGAAGAAGTCAGGGAAAAAAGGGATTCCCTTCACACCACTGTCCCAGCTAATCTGCTTAGAAATAAGCTTGCATGTTTTCAACATAAAAGCCTCAATATAGTGTCACATTCACATTCACATTCACTCATGCAATCACAGGATATAATTCAGTTTTAGACTGAAAGTAGCAAAGTAGCCTTGCCTTTCAACTGCACCATCATCCAAATAGGCTTTTACGTCAGTGTAAAGTGGGTTGTTTGTTATGCCTGGCTAGTTTGAATGCTCTTTTTAAATATTTTTATCACTAGTTTCCTCTCTCTGTGGTCCTCACTGAGTTGAACCTCATTTAAAAGACATTTAAAAGACTGTTGAAACTTTTATCTCATGAATGTCCTCGCCATGTTCTTAAGGAGTTTCGTATTTGTCTCTTTTAACCCTCCCTTCTTTTGGAGTTTATCCATATGGAGAGTAATGGAATGCCAGAGCACTTAAAGTTGTTATATAAGAGGGAATTTTAATTCTCACTTTGACCCTGGTTGTCATATTGCATCACTTCTGTTCAGCATGACCTCAAACTTTAGCTATTTTGCTGCCTTAATTGTTGCTATGGCTGCACCATAGCAACTTGAGAACACTGGACTGGTACTGTGGGCCTTTGAGCCTTGCACAATATAGAAATTCCACCCCCCAAAAAAGGTAAATTTCCTCATATTCTTGATGGAGAAAACATGTAGCAATAAAGAAATCACAGTGTCTGTATAGTAAACGTCAAAGTCAGCTCCAAAGATTCCAAAGAGGCCACATTAGGTGAAGGTGAGCACCCTGAGCTGGGCTTTTTGTAGTGATTACAAGTCACCATGTCCACTTAGGCATGATTGGATAGATTGATGCCAGAAAATTCACCTCACATCAACCCAAAATGAAGGACTTACCTGGTTTGTGCTTGAGTTTTGAACAGTAAGAGCATGTGATGGGTTTGAGGCAACAGAAAAGAAAATAAAGAAGTGAAGAGCGAAAAGGGAATCAATCAAGATCATGCTGAGAAACATAAGAAAATACAAGAGAGGAAGAGAAAAGAGGAATGGCATCTTTTTGAGACAGCAAAGAAAAGAGAATAGAAAAGAAAACAGCAGAAATGTTTTTTTGAGTCAAAGAGAATACATAAATGTTGAAATACTGAGAAGATGTGGGAAAGCAAAAGAGAAAAGAAAAAGTGGAGCATTCAAGGTAAAAAAAGAAAATCTTGTAAAAGCACTTACATTGAGGTGTGCTCTGCACTGCACACTGGGTGGTGCAGGTGGAGCTGATCTTGTTCACCAGTCCGGTAATATTCTCCACCTTCCTGTCCACTATGGCTTTTACGTTCTCCATGTTGAGCAGGTTGATCCCCTCCAGGCGGCCCTGCAGAGCCGAGATTTGGCTCCTGGCATTGCGTAGGCTGACTGACATCCTATTCAGCTTCACCTGGGAAAGGGCCGGAGTGATGAGACAGAGAGTGGGGGGGAAGGGTGGGGGATTATTTGTGTGCACAGAATACAAAGCAGGTGGATTACTGGAGTCACCAGCCTCCTTTATTGTTTTTTAGCAGCCAATTAGAAATTATAGAATACAAAACGAGTCTGCGTGATGATTGGCCGTCCGCCAGACTGGCTGTGAGAGTCAACAAACTTAGCAGACAGGGCAATGGTTGTCTGACGCTGATTCCCCACCCTGTTTATAATACCAGGAATTTTCCCTGATGGACGGGTGCCCGGTAGGACTTTACAGGTCCTTTTAAACATCTGACATGTTTGTATTCCAACTGGATTCATTTGGCTAAACAGACTTTGGTGACATAATTCCTCCAGTGTTTGTAAAGCACATTTTTTGAGTTTAGTTTGTCCAGATAAGTGTTGCGAGGATGATTATGATGCTGGGTTTCCAAGACTCAACATGAACCAGATGAAGTGACAGAAATTGGTGCAATATCACAGGACTGTTTGTCTAAATCTATAATGGGGCAGTGTAAGCCTTTATTGCTCCCTTTCCTGGTTTAAGATTTCCTGACAGAGCTTACTACTAACTTAAATCAACATCAGTCATCAGAAATGTATACAATAAAGATTTGATGAGTCTATACATTAACACCTTGCCTGTAACCAAGTATAATTTGAGGAAAAGAGGACTTATTCCTAAGCAAAATCCTGCATTTCACATTTAAGTGTCTTACTGTCTTTTAGTATTTTGTTGAAGTATTGTGCCACTTCTTACCTGCATCTCCTGAACTGTGTTCGGGCTTGGAGTAATCCTCCCAAAATTAGTGCCTTGCCCAATTCCACCAACATCCACACTAGCTCCGTCTCCCCTCTCCTCTTTGCTGGATCCTCCTTGCACCTCCTGTCCTGTCACATTCAGCTTCACTTCTTCCCCTGTGTTTGGGACCTGCAGCGTCTGTCCCTGGTCCGCCTGCTGATTTCCAAAAGCTCCATTGCCCCGTGCAGAAGCGCCGCGGCACTCCTGGCAACCATTCTTTAGTTTATTCACCACCTCTTTCAAGCTCTGCAGCTCCTTCATCGTCTTCTCCAGCAGCCTGAACTGCTTTGGCAGCTGGATGGTGAGGGGAGGCAGGGTGAGCTGGTAAGGGCAGTCTTCACCGTCCTCTGCCCCGGCTCCAGAGCTGCTGCTTACGCATTGGCCAGAGGGTCTCAATTTCATGGGGCAGGAGACGGGGGTACCAGTGTCAGATCCAAAAGAGAAAGGTCCTCTGGCATCCCATCTTTGGTGTGAGTTGACGGGAAAGTCCGCTGCCTGGCAGGCTGAAAGCAAGAGTACGGCCAAAACGCAAATCCTAAATGTCCTCATTTCTCCGAGACAGTTTCTTAAGTAGAAGTAAGTGTTTTCAAATTCAGAGTTTGAGCAGCTGCCTCTGATACAACCTCAAGTCTCTGAATGCAGGTAGCAGTGCGAGTGTATATGTGTGCCTCCAGCTGAAGATTGTAAGTATAGGAGTATGTGAGTGTGTGTCCAGTATCCTATTGGCTCAGGAGTGCGTGTGTGTTTGTGTGTGTGTGAATGAGCACAGCCTGCAGGAGGGGAGCGCGCAAGGGAACTGCCGCTGCCTCAGATAGCTGTGTCATTAATATCAGGACGAGCGAGAGAGAGAGGGAGGGTGTAAGAGAGAGATGCGAGAGAGAGAGAGGATGGGAGGGGCAGTACTGTTGCGTAATACACAACACCATATCAGCAGCATTGTGGAAAAACCACAGAGATGCAGTCAGAAATTGTTGGAGAAAAAAAAGAGAGAGGGGGAGAAAAAGAGGCAGGCGTGAAGGTGGGTCTTTTTCTTGCAGTCAGTGCACAGTCCTGTCCCACTGACTCGGGAGTCAGCTCATTTCCCTGAAGAGCAACATGACTCACTTCATAGGAACCATTCACTCATCTGACTTTGGGGGGATGTTTCATAATGCTTTGTTATTTTTGTGTTCATAGGAATGTGCACGCAAGACAAAAATGTAAAAGACGGTATTATCTGTCCCTGTTCAACAGAAAAGCTGTTTCAACTCTACCAGTAACTCACCTGCTTTGAATTTTGGTCTGATGGACACAATTACTGTGAAATTTATATTATTCTGCTTGCAACTGTCAACGGTTTATTTCAGTTATTGTACTGTAAGCACAACAAGGATTTCAAAGACTTACTCAAAATAATGTCAAGTTTGAACTTTTGAGACCCCACTTATTCATTTTAGCTGATGGTGGACACACACACTGGCAACTTCAGTCCTTTCCAAAATGAAACAGAAGGTGAAAAACCAGCAGTTCCTCAAAAACAAATGCGAAGGAAACCCTAGTACCTACCCATAAATATCCGGTTTGATTGATGAATTTTCCTGGACTACACAAACCGTTAACCATCATTCAAATTTGGACATCACATTCAGATGAGTAAAAACATCCTCATCTTCTCTGGTTCCCCCGCAGCTTTTGTAATATTCTTGTCACTTTTCTGCTCTGTTTCGCCTTGGGGAACTGAAATCTAACATCCTGTCTTCACTTCAAGCTTGAACAAAATATAGAAATTGTAAAGCAGTTTCAAACCAACACCTGCATCCTGTCACTGAAATGAAAGCAGAAAAGTATAACCTTTTTTCTTTGCTATTTGTTCCCCTAAATGGCTCTGCTGGCCTCGACTCCCTCCCTGGCTGTCAATTGATGTCTTTAATCAAAGTTGTTGGCTGCTTTTAACTCATTTGTGCTGCCTAATGATTTTCTTGCTTTCAGAGCTTTGTTTTGAGAAATGGCCTCAAGTGTTTTTATGTTAAAAAAGGGACTTTTTGGTGGTGAGAGTTGTTACAATAAATGGCTTTTAAGGACCTTGGAAAAAGAAATAATGCATATTGAACGGTTTGTCATCAGGATTAATTGGCTCTCTGAAGCCATTACAAGCCAATGATGCCTTGGTTGGATTTTAAAAGTTGCTCAATGGGGAACTTAATGAAAAAGTTATTAAAACTGAATCGGTTTTTCGGCATTGAGTGAGTTACTAATGCTTTTACATGGTCTAAGATGTATTCAACAAAGGTCGTCTTACATAAACAACACACTTGTTTTTGTCTGCATTGGTAATGGGGTAATTCAGTGGCATTAAGAATGACATTGCACTATAATAGCCCACAAACATTATTCATACATGAGGTAATTTTATGGGCTTTCTCTTAATTAACAGTTGTTGAGCAATTCAGACTAATTGTTTGTTTTGCAGAGTGAGCACTCACTAACACTCAAAGTCTCATTTTTAGCCTACTTTGAGTCTTGTTATAAACTTTTCACCAATTGTTTGTTTTGGGAACATGACTTTTGTTTCAATATATTCTGTGATTCATAACCTCGGGTCATGTAATTGGATTTTTTTTTCTTCTTCTGGGATAACAGTGTCTCATGCACATGTCATATTTCCAGAGAAGTGACACAGTTTCAGATAATGGGTTTCATCTTCAGAAGTGGCTCTCAGCTCTGATGGTGGAAACGCTCCAGAAAGGAAAATATTACTGCACAAAAAGAAAAAAAAAATTGTAACAAAGTGATTCTATCTGGCTGTAGGCTCGCCTCCAATTCAAACACTCAATATCAGGACATTGAGAAGAGAGAAATGGTTTCTCCCTCCATCACACAGTGGAATTCAGAGCTGTGCTCCTCTGGTCATTATTTTTTTTCCTCTTCTCCCTGAGGGTGCAGCGTACCAAAGCCCACAGGTTCTTTTTGTTAAACTCCTCACACACGCTCACACACACACACACTCTACGGGAAGCTTTATTGCTATATGGATCACATGCTCCCTTGCGTGTGTGTGTGTGTGAGTGGTGTGAATGCACAGGTATGTGTCCATGTGCCTGCATTAATGCCTTCCAGTGATTGTCTCTGTCTCACTTCAAAGATGGTCTGCCACGTGTGAGCCCTTTGCAGCCATCCCATAAAAAACTCCAATACTCCATATACTGCTGGAGATAAGTGTTGGCAGCAGAATTAGAGAGGCTGCCTGAAATCGCTTCAGGCTGTTTCTTCTCAGATAAATGCCCGGTGTACGGGCAGGATGTCTGTCGCAGCACTGGAATGTCATCTACACTCCTCAAATCACGCCACCAGACATTTTTAGTGGCTTAGTCAGTCTCAAAATCTGCTTTGAAATGTTATTTTCCCCAAATGTGATGAGATAATTAAACATTTTCTTCTAATTTGCCTTTATTAGGTTGAATAAGGTACCAATTAAAGAGATAAGTTAAGACTTAATGACCCATTTCACAATCCGCGGTGGAAATATTTCATGTTGCCCCCTTTTTCACCCCTTGCATTCAAATTCAAATCAGATGGGGCGGTAGGAGTTTGTGATTTCCTTAACTTCAGAATTTTATATTTTGATTTTTGCCCCTGTGGAGATGAATCATTTATTTGAGTTTCACAAGACTTATATCAAACTCCTGGGCACCCACAATGTATATATCCTTTTTTCTTAATGACCAAGATGCAAACAGTGCATGTTCAGAGAAAGTCAGAGATAAAAACATACGGATGAAAAGCATCTCATTTTCAGTTCTGCCGTCTTTCCTTTGTAACTCAGCCACTGCTGCCCTCTCTCTTTCATTTTTAACTGCTGCTGCAGATTGAAAATTTGATAGCAGTTTAGTCTTTTTAATAAGATTCAGTTCTTTGTGTACTTTCTGATGTAAAAACATGATATGACTCGCCAACTATCGACAATTCTGACAACTTCTTGCAGTTTTAATGGCCTGTCTTTAACTTCATTTTGAAGCGGTCAGGTGAAGCTAAAGCTGGCTTTTAACTACCCTCAGATTTAATGATGCCAATTAAGTGGTGACACACAATGAAAGAACACAGCGAGGAGATAATAAACCACAGTTACACCTTGCATGCCCTCTATGCTATTGTCTTATTTATCTCACTTCATATCTTTATTGTTTTACAAAACACTGTGATGAGTAATTTAGCATTTTTCTCATATTGTGCAGGCTTAGTCTGAAATTTAAGTTAATGTTTGAAATGCAAATCATGTAATATTATTCAGCTGTATTCCTTGTAGTGACCTGACCTTGTCTAACACAAACACACTTTAAAACATCTGAATAAATCATATTAACCACGGTGCTAATCTGCAGCATTCACAACATTCATATCTCTGTCCCTTTCAGCCCTTGAAACGTGTTCTTGCACATTTTACAATAGCCAGATAAACACTAAAATGGAATGAATCTCAAAATATAATCGGCTATACCTAATGTTTGAAGTTCGGGTAAGTTATCAGTCCGCTCGTGTGTGTGTGTGCACATAATCAGAGGGTGTGTGTGTGTTCATGGCAGTTACTCAGTCTGACCTGAGATATCCTCTGTTCTGCAGCTCTCTGATACAGACAAGGCTATCCCTCATTACTCCCCCCACTCCACCAACCTGGCAGTGAAGATAAGAGGGGGAACAACACCTGTCTTCTGTTTCCATCACCTCTGCTCACACACACGCACACAACCTTACACACAAAATGTTGCCTCAGACAGAAATTAACATCAACTCCCAGTTGTAGTTTTGTCTTTTGCAATGCTGTTGACCGTATCTTTTACTTTGCTGGTTGGTGTAGGAGCTGTGTTTCTTTTGTTATCCCTCTTTTTGTAGTATCAGTCAGGGCTAATGGTACCTGTAATCTCAAGAGCCTTCTCCTTACGATCATACAAGCCATTTTCAAGATTTTTCTCTTTCGAGATTGCTGCTGATAATTTGATGTTTGTTTTTCATTCTTCATTCTGTGATAGGGAGCCCTGATACTGAGATACCTGCTGTAATGATAAAAGTGTATCCAGCTCTGCTTGGGTTTGATACACTGTGGAGTTCAGATACACATAAAAGAGCTTCCTCTACTACAGTACCTGAAGTCTGAGTGACTGAGGTCTGGTGCAGCTGAAACAAGCAGTCTTTCATGAAACTTTCAGACTCTTTTGGAGTCCGGAGTGATTTAATTTTCTACCCGTTCTTCCCCTGGAACTTAATTTTGTCACCGAACAATTTTACAAAACTGCTTACTGGTGAGAATTGTATGTGGTTTCCAGCTATATTGCTGTATTGAATATTTTCTGCAGAAGACAAACCCACAGAGTGCTCAAATGTATTCAAAGTGTTTCAGGGTTGTTGTTTTTTTTGTGGAGGGGGGTTGTATAGAAAACTCTGAGCCGGGTCAAACAATTTTGGTGCAACCTCAGTTGGCTCTTTGAAAGATTTGTAGCCATCATAAAGATCTGCTGATAAAAGTTTCAGGGCTGCCAAGTTTCAGAAAAAGACAAGAGTGAGACTTGAGCGTTGTGATGTGTTCGGTGAAAAATCTTTGGCCTTTTTTAACACCAATTTATACCTTAAGACCAGAGCCGGTCCAAGCCTCAATGGGGCCCTAAGCGAAATTTGATTTAGGGGCCCTCTATTTCAACCAGTAATATTGATTGTTAATCATTCACACACTTTCACAAATCTTTTTGATTAACATTCCATGACATACAAACATACCTTTATCTTGGCGTTTTTTTTTCTTCTTCCTCTTTCTTTTCTCTGCTCCTGAAGGATATGTCCTTTTTTGCGACATTGTTTTGCTTTATTTTATTTTTACAATAATATGTATTTGATCATAGAAAAATCATCACTTATACATGCAAAAGATAAAAAATATTTCAAAACTTTTTTTTTTTTTGGATTGCTCTTGGGGGGCCCCTATTGGCCCCGGGGCCCTAAGCAGGGGCTTAGTTCGCTTATGCATTGGGCCGGCTCTGCTTAAGACTGATGTCCGCACCTCCATGCTAGCTGCTCTCCCTGAATTGTGGCCTCCCAATGTTAGTCTTAATTAATCTTCCGTCCATCTTCAGGAGAGCAGGAGAACGTCGAGTGGGTTTTAAATGTTGGCGCTGTTTTGTGTGAAAGATAGTTAGAGACGCCAAACCCACCCTGCATTGAATTCTGATTGATTTATATTTTGTGCTGCCTTCCATGGTTGGTCGGATATATGCTGGAAGTCAGATGTCTGGGAAAACAAAGATGGCTATATCTACGAAAGTTATTTTAGTGCCTTATATTCAGACAAGGCAAGTGCTCAGTAACCTTCGTATATATAGCCATCTTGTTTCCACCTCAGATTTTGCTTTTTGCCGACTTGGTAACTAAAACGCTGGGAACTCGGGTGTGACATCATTTTCAGCTCTGACATATGACTCCCACATGGGGTGGCCAATTGAAAGTTAAGTCCTTAAAAAAGTAGGTTGAACAGTCATTTCAAAATGATGGTTACATTAAAAGCTGAAGCACTGATAGCCAAGTTTTGATGTCTTGAGGGCACGTGGCCTTCCTCGAATGCAGCATGAGGCACAAAGTACTGATGGATTTGTCTGGGATTGGTCAGTCAATCAAAGTTACTCGAACTACGGCAAGCCAAGTTTATTATCATGAAAAAAATGAACACAGAGTATTGAATGGGGAAATATTAGTGTGAGAAATGTCAAGTGTGGCGTGTGGTGTGAGAATGGGTCAAATTGCGTGACTGTCACACTCAAAGTGTGACGCTTGACAGCTCTTAAGTTTAAACACAAAAGGGGAAAGTCAATTATATTTGGTGCTGCATGCAAAAACATAGAAACATTAAAGAACAGTTTCTATGTCCTGATGATTTGATTAATTTCTTTCTCTTTTTTTGTGCTCCTCAGTTGTTATCTTCCGGCAAAATCAGCCTCACCAAAGTGTCCAAACTGAAATCCAGCTACAGACTGCTGCATGATACTCTGAAGAGGTATGTTTCCCCTGTTGGGACAGAACTTGACTGTTGTGTTCTGGGGGCGCGTTCTGACTGCTAAGATGCTGAGAATAGGGCACAGTAGGGGAGTTCAGCTCTTGTGACAGCCAGAATCCATTCGACTGAAGTGTCCTCAAAAGCACTTTAAGTTCTTATCAGATCAAGTTTTGCTGCTCTCCTGAAAATAAGGACCTCACGTCTTGTTGCCTCAACTGTTGGCTTCCGAAGAATCGCTTGTAAAATGCGTCAGGCAATAATGCTTCCTTTTCTTGCTCAAGTTAGGATTTGAGAAATAAGTTCTAAGAATTTCAACTCAACTTTATTTGTAAAACACTTTAAAACAACCACAGCTGACCAAAGTGCTGTACATAAATAGACAAAACAGCACAGACATCAAAAAACAATTAAAACAGTGGATAAAATAAAAGCAGATATTAAAAAGTAAAATATAGTTTCAATGTTTTTAAAAACTAATTTAAAAACATAGAAACAAATAACTAAAAACAAACCATAAAACACTAAAACAGGAGCCGAGTCTCATGCAGGGTTGAAACCCAATGAATAAAAATGGGTTTTAAGACGAGTTTTAAAAATGGGGTTTCAGGAAAAGATGAACAGAAACTGACTGTAATAGGCAGTTTTAAAGCGTATTTCTATTTAAGCTTGTGAAAGTCTTTAATGGAACACTGATTCTCAAAATTGCAACCAAGGCACATAATTGAGGAAGTGAAATTAACTTTTCAGACCCCAATTTGCTTGTGGAAACAACTGATCTGTGTGTAATTTCTTGTGGAAATAAGACGAGGAAACCGAGAATGTTTAATCAGAGTGGTAAAGTACTCTTGGAGTATCATAAAAACAAACCACTTTATGTATTAATGCATTTGTTCAAAGTTTAATAACGCTGAATGACAGAACTTCAAGTCTTTTTGAAGATAATTCAATGTTGTATTAAGAGGTATCTTGTGAGGAGCAGAGATTACTCTTCTGTTATAAAGTGGGGATGTCTGGGAGTGACCTTTTTCCAAGTCATTTAACAGAAAATCAAGTCCTTACTAAGTGAGCATTTTAGAGGTTGGGAAAAAGTTTGTATAGAAAATAGTTTGTTTGACACAGCTTAATGTGGGATCACAGTCAACATGTGATTTATGTCAAATTGGTTTGCATATGACCGGCATTTCAAGTCGAGAGCTATCAAATATTTATCAGTAATTCCTTTCAACTGGAAGCAGACTTGAAAGAGTGACAGCTTTTTATCTTACAGCCAACCAAACATGCACATTTTTGCCAGGGAGTGTATAAACATATGCCAGTTTTTAGATTCTTCAAGGCCAAATGTTCATGAAGAGAAAGCTTTATTCTTGTCTAGCTCACATATAACTTTAAAGGAACGACGGAGATTGAAGTCAGACCGCTGTTTCACATTAGTTTCAGGCTCTAAATGCGTGTAAATGTACAGAACAAGGCGTAAAAAGCGTCTGTACACCACATACCCCAGACTTGAATCATTTTGTTCCAACAGTAGCCAGGACTCTGAGCTCCAACTTTTGGAGGAGGCAGAGAGGTGCCGTGCTGTGTGGGAGAATCTGCAGGCCGAGTTAGAGCGAACAGAGGAGCAGAGCACCTCTGAGCAGCCCCAAAGTGAGGTCAATGAACTGAGGCAGCAGCTCCTCCAGGCATACAACGAACTGAGAGCTGCCGAGGACAGAGAGTACAAGACGCAGCACAAACTGAAATGGTGAGCTGTGTATATATACACACACCCACAAACACCCACACCCACATGTTGTTATTATAATCAGTCATGGTGTGAGTTTATTCTCAATCTGATACTTTGCAGGCATCAATTGAAAGAAGTAAAAATTGCATTTGATCCGATAAAATACAAACTCATCTTTGGCTGAACTTTTATTTGTCTTCCAAACAAACATATGCGCACACACATACACACAGGCACACACACAAACCGATGTTCACACTCTGACTGGAACCCAAGAGATTGAGGAGAGTGAGTAGAGGACACAGAAGTGAAACTGAAGTGTTGAAGTGAGAAGTTGTGTACAGTAGGAGAGTATATGCACGCACTGGCACTCACACACACACACACACACACACACACACACACACACAAACGCACACACACACACACACACAAACGCACGCACATAAACACACTAATGCACACGGGAAATACAGTTACAGCTGAATAACCAGGGACCAAACACTGAGGTGAGTTAAGTGAGGCATCCTTACAAGTTTTAGTGACTTTAGAGGAAGATGAAGGTGAAACACACACACACACGTAAATATAAGCACATATTATTAAGTGTGTAGATTTTTCTGACCCCAGCTTCTCTTTGCCTGTACCAGTAAAACTTCTCTGTTACAGGAGTTTTCCATTAAAGTCATTTTATTGCCATGACCTAAACATTGTTTAAGTAGCCTTTATTTTTGCCAAAAGTCATGTCATGGGAGTAACTCGATGTACAAAAATAATGCTATAAAATATCGGATGTTAATGGGCTTCTGCGGTAGCTTTTGACGTAACGTGTTTACTTGTGTGAGATCTCCAGGTAGTTTTCTTTGACGTCAGTCCCACAGTCATTCCTGGTCCTTTCCCCTCTAATACTGTACGTTCTCTCCCATGAGTGTCTTTCCTCATCACAACCGATTTTCCCTTTTCAGCTGCAGATTTCTCTTTTTCCTTCCTAAAACTCACTCAGCGACCCTATTAGTGCATTCAGGGGGTCAAACGTACACACACACACATCACTGGCGTGACTATCTTCCTCCTCTGTGTACACAAACTCAACTTTTCAAGGGCCAAGGAGAGGTTACTGCAGCATTGCTAAGCAACATAAGAACAGCCAGAAAGATTAACCAAACATTTTAGCTCTTTATCCTGAAAAACAAAATGTGATGACTCATTTGTACTCCTTGTTAAAAGTTGCATATGTCATAAGGCTGAGGTTATGGCCAGTTTAAAAGTTAGGCAGTACGTTCTGCTTGGATTGAATTCCTTTCTAAAAGTCCAAGAAAGTAAAACTTAAAATTGATTTATTATTTTTTTTTTACTTTTCTTTCCATAAAAGTGTAATTAATTTGAAAGTGAAGTCCTTAAAAAGTAGGTTGAACAGTCGTTTAAAAATGATGGTTACATTTACAGCCAAAGGACTGATAGCCAAGTTTTGATGTCTTGAGGGCACGTGGCCATCGCAAATGTAGGTAATAAAGTTGCTGGACAGTAGACAGTGAGAGTAGTTAAAGTATTGTTGAATATTAAAACACACGAAGATCCCACTTATACAAGAATTTAATTGTTTAATTACCATTTAAACAGAGTCAATGGAAGAGTTAAATTTTGTTGTGCAAATTGATGTCAGAGCTGATGTCAGTCAAAGGGTAAGGGGTGAACATATTTGCATAGCCATACCATGTTATATGCACTGTTAGACTAAAAAAGGCGCCACAAGCAGTTAAAACAGTTAAAAGTTAGTGGGAGCATTTGGACTGTTTATGTTGGTTTGATTTGATTGGATTTGAACACTGAGAGCAGAGGATTTGTCATTTCAAAAGAAGGAAATAAAATCTCTTCAGGTGTCAGAATCAATCAAGGCATCATAGTTAGTATTTATAGTAACACAAGTATGAGCAATGACAGCACGTTAAGTGTCTGTACGTTAAAGACCCACCCAAGTTTTTAGCCCAAATCACATTACCTGTGTCGTTTTCTTCTGCAGAGCTCCAGTAGCTCATTAGTAATTCACCTTTGAGTCATGGGTGGAGACAGTGCTGCTCTGCACACTTCTCCTCGAGTTAGCTTGCAGCCTAAAATTGCCGGTATAGTAGAAGAAATAGGTAACATTGGAGCTATTCAGCTCTCGGACACTAGGGGCATGACAAAAGCTAATATCATAATTAGATTTCTAACGAGCATTTCAATCCGCTAAAGCAGACGCTTGTTCTGTGATGGTTTTCTCTATTTCTCCGAGCCTGGCCTGCATAGCGGGGCAACGGGGGCGGAGCTTGGATTAGTGATGTCGGAAATCTCACTGTATCTAAACCTGCCATTTGGGCCTGCCAGAGATTCACAGTGATTTGAATGAAGAAATACTCAGAAATGCAATTTTGCATTTATTTTTCTCATGATTTGTCCTCTAGTATCAGGAAAATGCCATATGAACATGTGGACAACAAGAAAAAAATGATTTTCATTGGAGTGGGTCTTAAAAGAAATAAGCACCACTTAATGTATGATGTAATGCATTGCCACCTCTTCGGCTCTACAAAAGTTACGCCAAAAAGTCATCAGTATTATTAACGTTCTAATTCTACCATTAACTATATGCATACACATTTAACTTAAAGCTCCTGTTAGGAGTTTTGTGACATTTGTGAATTTGACCGATATTCATATTGATGCCTTTTTATGACCTAAAAAAAGCAAACAAGACCATCAGTGACAACATTAACAATTTTGATACCATACTTCTCCAAATACTTGTGCGAGGGGGTAAGTGTTAGACTCAGTTTTGATTTTAAAGTTTGTCCCGTCTGTCAACATGTCAAAAGTAAAATCCAGTTTAAGGGAGCCGCCATGTCTTTTTATCCAGTCTACGGTGAAGACAGATGCATCACATAAACTCACCTCTGTGCTGTAAAGATATGATCTGTAGGATACAGTGATTTTTATTGCCGAGCACACAAACTGAGGCACAGAGTTGTAGGCACAGCAGTAATTGAAATATTAAATGAAAAGCACTGACGAAGCTTTCTGAGAGTCTGCAGTTATAGACAATAGTAGACACTGAGTTTGCACATTACTGGTGACGGCTTTTAGGTAGAGAGAGCTCCTGTCCTTCAATCATTTCAGCTTCTTCTTCTCTTTCAGCTCATTCTTTTGACCTCTCCTCTCTGATATCTCCCTATCTTCCTGCCCAAATAGCTAGCAGCCTACATATGATGGACAGATGCTCACCATGCAAATATGCCTTTAAAAATCCTTGCGTCCTTTATCTTGAGCCGAACACGTTCACATGAATTCAGCACTTTTTTCGGAGTCACATTTTTTAGCACCCACACAGTTTTCTCTGTACATCTCTTAATATCCAATCAATCAACTTGTCAGGAAGATTAATATGATTTGCGTTGTGAAATGTGTAGCTGTGCGCTTAGTCCCAGTGTAAGGTTTTTCAAAATGACAGAGCCAAATGGAAATGATTCCAAACAGGCTTTAATGGACTGCTCCAGAGTGGGATGAAACATTCATGGAAAGTTTCTAAATGCACAAGAACATGAACTTTATCGTGTATTTAGTTTGAGTTTAAGTAGCTGGAAACTGCATGTAGATGTAACGCCTTTTTCCTCTCATTGCACTCCATTTTTTCTGCTGACCCAGGAACTGAAAAACATGCTGTTTACCTCCCTCCATAACATATTCATTTTGTTTTCCTCTTTTAAAATGTTCTCCTCTCCACTCTTTTTTTCTCCCATTGACCTTACCTCACCTCTCTGCAGTCTCTGGGAAGAGAAGCAATATCTGGAGAGGGAGAATGAAATTCAGCCCAAACCTGCGGTAAGTTCATCATTGCACCATCCAGGTGTAGTTTTCAGAGTCTGTGGATTACTACTGAGACAGCGGTCTTCAGAGGGGATAAATATGACTTTAAACCTCCATCCAGGCGTAATCCTTCCATATGAAGACTGGCTCTTTTCGCAGCTATATGAAGAAATGTAAAGTAATACAGTTCTTATTAGAGTCCCCCTTTTAGATTTAGTGATGAGTTTTCAAAGTTTTTACCTGTGTGTGTTTTACTGGATGGATCAAGTGAACTGACAACAGGAAAATAAAGAGAGTACTGCATTTCCTCACTGCCTTAAAGGTAAATATGTTGAAATTCAAAACCACAGAGATTGTTTGTCATGGCACAGAAAATAGAGAATCTGATCAGAGGTACAAGAATATCAACACATGACCCCGAGGTCAATCATAAATCTTGAACAAAATCCTTCTGTTTGTGCTGCTGCTGGCAAAAGTAGCTACAGTTCGAGCTGCGTTGAACTTGTTGAATAAATTCACCAGCTTTAATTAACTTTTGGATTTTGGATGCTTTTGGGGTTCAATTATGCAACCAGCGTTTAATTGCTGATTACAATAACAAACACTCCAAGTGTTATACAGTTCTGCCTTCCTTCCTCTGGCTTGTACAATTGTCATAGCGTACAAATCTTCAGTTCTCATGGGTCAAAACAGCGTGTCATGGGAGGATTGGTTCAAAGAAATCAAACAGAATACCACACTCAAACCATCTTGTGCTAAGTTTAAAAATGGAAAATGTTAGAGTAATTTTGTCAATAAATATCAAACAATCAAGCGCTTTTATGAATAAAAAGCATTAACAAGAACAGCTCAGGTAATTTATTCAGTAACAGGGTTTGTAAAAGGGCCTTTTATGAGTCCTTTTCCCACTTGATTTACGGTATCAAATGCAGTACTAACTCCAATGAAGGACTCAAGGGCCCTCTGGGAGTTTGCATTCTTTTCTTTCTATCAGCCCCTCCCACACACAAACATGTCTGACACATATGATTAATAAGCTGTGTTTTTCATCATGGAGTCTTCAGTGTATTTCTCTTTGCTTTGCTTTATGAACAGTAAATGGATACTGGACTGAGTGGAGCCATAAAATACAATTTAAATTGATGACATTTATCAAGTTACATTAAAAACAACTAACAGACACCATTGTTTTCATCCATACTAGAGCTGGTAACAGCACATAAAGAAGTTTTACATCTACAGACTATAAAGACCAAATGGATTTGGCTTCCCTCTTGCCAGAAAACATAAGCAAATGCAGCAATACATTAAGAAAGCATTTTTTCTAATGGACAGCAGGGGTTTGTTGCAAAAAGTAGCTTAAAGGTCCTCTGGTGAACTTTTTGATTTTGTCAGTTTTGGCGCCCCCTGTGGAAAAAGCAGTCCTTGCTTATCTTCTCAGTAGGCCTGATTGACATCTTCTGACAAATAGTCTCATCCTGCTGACTTTTTAAAGCCAAATGTATCATTTGTTGTGAATATTTCATGTGGAACATTTATATTAGGTCTGCGCGATATGGCCTCAATTTAATATCATGATATATTGAGCAGTTCACCCCAATAGCGATAAATGGATGATAACTACTCCACAAGCTGCTCACCCCCTTCCACATTAACTTCATCTACTTTACCCACTGCTAAAACTTTTGAACCTTCCTCCATCTCCTCACCTGTCTTTCCCTCTTTGTTACAAAGTGGATTGGGTGGAGTCACATCTCCGATGTAGGACAGGGTCTTTAAGTGACATGAGACCATAGCCTACCTACACACATCCAAAACCAACTTTTATTTATTTATTTTTTTGACACTGAATATACCGATGGGTTAAATGACATCTGTTATTGTTGTAAATTTTGGTATTGGTAAACTTTCGGTTTATCACTCTGCCCTAATTTAAATATACATATATGTACATAAAAAGGCTGTTCCTTTAGTGGATAACTTTTTTATAGATATCGATAACTTTATTTATTTCCTTTATAGTAGATAACTTTTTGAGACATTTTACATGAAACAACAGACGATTGAATTTCCCTTCAGGGATTAATTAAGTTATTCTTATTCTTATTATTCAGCAACCTTCTCATATCAGTTTTAAGCAGTAAATATTACAATGTAAAAATCGTCAGCTAGTCTTCTCACCAGGGATCTTATTTGCTTTTGCTTTTGTAGTTTCCAGATTCTAGATGAGTTTCAGTCAGCATTCAAATGTGCTCAAAGTCATTGATCTTTATGGTGCTTCTTTAGAAATCATTAGGTGATATAACTGACATTATGTCCAGGTTTTCTACAGTCCGTGTTTATTGGAGATCACTTAAAAATTAAGACTTAGCCCATACTCTCTTTATGGACCATGTTTTATTTTATTATATATCTCCAACTGAAAAGAGAGATATCAGTGTATATAACATCGTGCTTCACCCTAACCTCCTGAGTTCTGTGGGACACTTCTGATATCTTATGTCTACAACTGAGTTAAGTCCCAAAGAAGAGTTGAAAAAAACAACTGTATTTATTCTACCCGTACAGGTCGAGCTCAATTAAATTGTCAACAATAGTTGTCACTGTCTTGATGCTTGATCTAACTCTGTTGGTGGGTCCTCCAGGAGCTGGAGAGCAGAACAAAGATCCTGCAGGACACAAATGAAAATCTGAGGAGAGAAGTTGCCCAGAGACAACTGGAAGTCAGGTATTTGATCTGGCTGCTGATGAGTTCACTCATACTGCCCCCTCAGACTGATACAGGTGTTACAAAGAAACTTCACTGGCATCATCTTTTAAAGCTTCTTTTTATCTTTCAGCCAAAATAAGTGGTGCTTTCATTTCAAATTTAATCAGATAATAAGGATTCTTTTTGTGTCCTGCCCCGCACAGAAATCTGATGGAAGATGTGGAAACCCATGAAGTGCAGATATCGAAAGAACAGAAAGAGCTGGAAGACAAGAAAGAGATCATAGAGCTCAAAGAGGTGTGTGTGCATGAGCACGAGTGTGTGTGTAAGTGGGCATACCTCACAGCCCAACATCAATAGCAAAACAAATGTCCTCCATTGCTGCGTGTGTGTGTGTGTGTGTGTGTGTGTGTGTGTGTGTGTGTGTGTGTGTGTGTGTGTGTGTGTGTGTGTGTGTGTGTGTGTGTGTGTGTGTGCAGGCTGAGAAAGCGCAGCTCATTAGCGTACCTGACCAGATTCTAAAGGAGGTTGAAAGGAAACGCTCGAAAAAGGAGTAAGTACATCTAACTCCTTAATATTTTTTATTTGAAAGAGCAGGGAACTTAATGTTTGCAACTGCAGGAATAAAAATTAGGTGGTTAAGGCCAAGTGAGAAAACACTGCAAAGGAAAAACAGCAGTGATTTCTTTTGAAAAAACTCCCTGTTTCATACAGTCTTTTTTCTGTGTGCTCAAATCCCTCTGTAATCTGTCTCCTTTTCTTCATCTTGAGCTCCTGTACATAAAAGAACAGGATTACACTGGATGAGATCTGAGCTCACATTCTGTAGTTTTCATAAGGACAGAGCATTTGCAGCTAATTGTTTGTTTTTATTTTGCTCAGTGTAAACTTGTGATCGTGTGATCGACAGAAAAACAAACACAATCTGTGCTAATCTGAAAGAAAAAAAACGGTACGTTTGTTTTTTTTCCTGCAGCAGATTCCAGGTTTGTTCATGTTGTTTGGTTTTCCTCTCTGAATTGGATCTTCATATCCACAATCCTTTTGATATTCAGCAGATTTTTGCAAACTCTGTGCAGATGCATATTTTAGCCTAAATGAGAGGCTCAGAAATGAAGGTATATTTGTTGGGATGACTTGGTGATTAATAATTTAAAGGCGCAAGTCCAATACATGCAACATGTTCTATTATTTTTTAACTCGAGCTGCTGAAGTCAAAAATCCTCGTCCTTACCAGAGAATGGTTCCACTTGAAGCTCCTCTGCAGTCTCTTTTATGTTTATTTCAAATTAATATTAGCCTTGCAAGTGCTGCAGTGGAACTGTCTCTATGAGCTGTGTGAGCTATGACTTGTAATTTGAAATTCACAAAGCTGAGGGGCACTGAGGGGAGTGTGTAAAATATGGATACACATGCTGTTATTTCATAAGATGTGCCCCCTTCCAGTGCAAGTGTGAAGTTATAGCGGATACTCTGCTCTTGGTCTTCCTTTGTGTGACTGGAAATTGTCCATCATCTTCCCCAAACGTTTTAGAGCTGCTGTAAAGAAGATGGAAGCGCTAAATACAGAGATTTCAGATGTGAAGCAGTATGTGAAGCAGGTGGAGCAGAAGAACGCCACACTGAGGAACATGAAAAAGGAGCTGAATGAGGAGCTGAAGCATCTGCAGGCCAAAGTCGAGGCCGGTCAGAGGGAGGGCAGACTGTTAGTAAAGGAGCAGGAGGTTAAACGAGAGGAAGAGGCTGAATTAACAGGAAACAGGTACAAGATCTCAGTACAAAAAAAAAATATGACACTGCAAGAAAATTGGAGTGTATTGCTTGATTGTTGCATATTCCCTCACCAGAGGAATCCTGGAAATGAAGCTGCAGAATGTCATGTGTGACAGAAAGTACTTGTATGAGAGCCAATCTGTGCAGCTCCGGGAGAAAAACAGGTAAACCGTGACGGAAAATCAGTCTCCACTGCACATGAAAATGAGTCACTGCATCCCCATACATTAACCCTGTGTCATAAACATCATATTCAGAATAAATATGTTCCTTACATACATTTACAGAGATTTTACTTTTAACAGCCCATTTCCATACACTCAAGATTTATCACTGACTGTGCAAAGCTTGGTTTCTGAGGAGGCCCTGTGAAGTCTAATGATAAAGGTCCTCATACTGGAAATGCAAGCCCTTAATAAAGCAAATTTATGCAATATCCTTAGCTTTATCATGAAAACAGAGATTGAGATTTTTTATTTTTTTGAAGACTGTCAACATGTCTATTCCTTCTTTTAAAGGGATATTCTGACGTAAAATTCAAACACAACGTAACACCAAGTTAGACACCCCCTCGAGAGATGAATGCTGCAGACTGCTTGCTTCTCTAGTTATACTAGTAATGACCGCACAATAGCAATACATAGCGGTCTAAGAAGCCAATGCACACATCTTCACCAAAGGGCCACAAATAGCCACAAATAATGCTCAGAACAGCACCTAACTTCATCAACAGTACATTTAGGGCCTCAGTCATTGCACTAACCACCAAACATCTTTTTAACTTTATCCTAATTTCTTTAGCAAAAACACTAAACACAACTTTCTCTCTTCCAGCAGCCGCTTGTTTGTACGGAGACCCCAGACAAGTCCATCACCGACTGCAGCGGGGTGATGCAGCTCAAGGAAGAACATTTATGATCATTACATTTCCTTGAAGTAATAATCACCATATTAATCATTTTGCACTGCAGACGTGGTAGTTCTCCTGCCTTAGCGTCTCCATCTGATTGCATTCCCATAAAGAAATGATCAGAAATGTTCTTCCTTGAGCTGCGTCACCCCGCTGCAGTCGGTGATGGACTGGTCCAAGGTCTCTCTACAAACAAGTGGCTGTTGGAAGAGAGTGGGTAGGTTGTGTTTAGTCTCTTTACTAAAGAAAGTTTGGTGGCTAGTGCTGTGGCTGGGACCCTATATGTACTGTTGATGAAGTTAGGTGCTGTTCTGAGCATTATTTGTGGCTATAGAGTGACTTTTTGGTTGAGGTGTGCATGTTGGCTCCTTAGACCGCTGTGTATTGCTATCCTGCCATCGTTACAAAAGTTGGTAGCGCTGGAGAAGCAAGCGGTCTGCAACATTCATCTCTCAAGGGGGTCTCTAACTCAGTGTGTTTGGCCTTAAAATTGGTTTTATGCCAGAATATCCCTTTAAGTTAGAAATCTTAACATTAGCTCTGTTGCACTTCTGCATTCGCATTTTTCCAGCTGTATTTCACTGATGGTAACCTGCAAATTTGTTTCTTAAAGTTGAAGCAGGGCCACTCTATAGCCACAAATAATGCTCAGAGCAGCACCTAACTTCATCAACAGTACATATTGGGTCCTCGCCACAGCACTTACCACCAAACATAAATAAGCACGACTATATAATCATGATTGCACAGAGGATACAATGATTTTGGCAGTTACTTACAAGGTGCCTGTGTTTCCCCTCAGGCAAATGCAAGCCTTGAAGAGGTTGGAGCAGGCCCTGACCACGACCACAGAGCAGCTAGAACACACTCAGACTATCTACAAGGAGCTACAGGCACAGGTGACCTGTGTGTTCACTTCAAATGACTCAAGAAGAAGCAGGAATTCAACTTTTATGAGTAAACATACATGAAGTAGTTACTGGTGTTAGCAGCTGGTTAAGAAATAGATTCAGTTTTTGGCAGAGGTTTCGGAACATTTGTGGGGTGAAAATGTCATTGTGACCATAATCACCATCTTTAATCTACATGACACAAGAGGCTTTTTTATTATCCTGGAGCTTCCTGTCATTTAACAGATGTTAACAGTTTTCATAGCAAAAGAGAAAGAGAGTGACGGTCATGGGAAATGTGTCAGCACATCTCCAAAACACATAAAATTGCTATGACACGCTTGGGAATCCAACACTGAGCAAATGCTGAAAACAAAGTAGTTGGACAGTTTAATTCATGTGTTTGTGCTGCTCTGCCAATCAATAACAACTCTCACATGGACATTTACTCATAATAGATTTGACTGTAAAGTGTCAGACATTGAGTCTGCCGGATAACCACAAAAATGCATCATCAATCTAAAATCGGATCGGATAAATGACTTTGATATTTCAAAATATTGCATTAAAAACATTTCACAGCATGGATTCTAGAGGATTTGAACTACTTATGGTAACCTCAAACAAATCTCAAACCTACTGATCTTGTCTGATTGGCCTATGAGGGACTAATAATCTTTGAATTTGAGATGATGAAGCTTATACCACAGAACACAAAGCCTGAAACCCTGCAGAGAGGGGCCATCTTAAGGCCTAGAGGCATTTATTAATTATGAGTTTCAGGGTTTTTAGTGTCACTGGATTTAACGGCTATCTTAAACCCCAGGGCAACTCTGATGTATCGTGTTAATTATTTTGCTATCAATGTTTCATACGGGATTTAATATGAAGAAGAGACTGGATTTGGTTTGAAGTTTGATCATTTCTTTACGGATCTCAAAGATCTTTTCCTCTTTAATATGTAAAAATGTATCCTGAGAAATTAATTATAATACATTCTTATAGCCTTCTGCCTAGAACTTGAGTTTTTTTTTTACTTTTGTAAGTGTACAGAAATGTTAATCATGCTTTCTTACTGGCTTTACATTCTGACTTGAATTTTCAGTTAGATGCCATTCCCCAAAGAGATGCCAACACTCAGCAGCGGATGGAGCTTCAGAAAGAAGTGGATGCTCTCAGGGTCAGCTTTGAAAACAAGGTAGGAACCATGAGCGTGGGTGGACACTTTGTCATAAGCATTTGTGATGTAAATTGTTAAGTAGGAACAGCCATAAAGAGATCCATCATTTCTGGAGCATTGTTGTTTTTCTTTAGTCTTGATTCACCTCCTGTCAGACATGGTTTTAAAATATGTCTCTGTAACTTTTTACCCTGTCTCCTCTCTCTCTTACTTTTCTCCAAACCTTCCCTTTGGGTTAAGGTCTGGACTGTGGCACAGAAAGTTTCAATTTCCATCCTCTATTCATCATTCTTACATTAAGGAACCCTTAGTCCACTTTGCTCCCATTCTCCTGTCACTAACAATTCAATCTGGGGCAAATTGCTGCAGTGACATTTTTCGTCTCAAAACTATTCTCAGTATGTTCTAACCCAGCTATCACGAGCAGAGGAGGAGAACAGGAAGGAGCAGCAGTATGGGATGATTCAGGAGCTGCTGAGGGAGTCAAACTGCCTCAGAGAAGAACTCCATAACCTCCGATGTTTGACACAGATCAAAGCCGAGGAGAGGGGCCAGAAGCACCGTGAACGGCTTAGAGCTGAGGTTTAATAACGGCACAAAGACACACACAACACACAAATACACAGATGTGCGTTTAAAAGAGGTTACGCCGCTGTCATTTGTGCATTTAATCACTTATGCAGACAAATTCATGCATATTTCATACATCAATGTCTCAAAAACATCAAAGGCGCTCTTATTTTAGTCACTTTAGTGTGACAGGAAAGCAGCCAAATATGATTTAGAAAAACACTTTTTCAGAGAGTGAAATGTCTGAGCTTTACTTCCCTACCAAATGTTAGTGTCCCCATAAAGGGGTTTTCAGTATGATTGGTAACAAATATAGGGACTCAGCAATTTTTCGGTATATAAAATTGAAGCCGAAGTCCAAGGTGAGCATTTTTCAGCTGAAATGACTCTAAAAACTACTTTTTCATTTTGCTTTTGCTGAAATCATACATATGCACATTTTCCTTCAATACTATATAAAGCATTGACATTTACGACAACAGAGACCTGATTAGACAGTTAAAAAGAATCAGTTTATTAATCCCACCTTTAAAAATCTATAGCATTGAACCAGGACTGCAAGATCAGCGAACTCTGTGCTTTTTTTATGCATTTAAACTGTCAGAAGAAAAGCTGCTAAATCACTGAAAAACTGCTCACTCACAAATACAATTGAAGTCTGATGTTTGTGAGCTTTCTCTCTCGCACACATACACACCCTCGTGGAAGTGATGAGACTGTAATTTTACCTGTGTAACTCCATCCGCAGCAGCTGAACCAGCACATCCAGCAGGAGCTGCAAGAAAAAGCCTTAATCATCACGGACCACAACAAGCTGAATACTATGCTGCAGCGCAGGTGTCACCCTTGTTTCCTCCTCCTATTTCCTTGTCAGCCACCTTTCATTAAACACAAAAGGGTGGGATGTGATAAAGTGGTTACAAACACACCACCAAGCAGTTAAAAGGAAGTATAAGTGGAGGAATAATAACCTGCCTGTCTACAGGTTTCTTGTCTCTTGCACTCAGGCCCTCTTTCTTACTTTTTATAATACAGACCTTTACATTAGACGGCATATTACTGTTGTTTCCTCTGCTTTCTTTTGGGTCAGATGCAGAAGCAGCAATGTGCATATTCAATTCCTTCAAACAGAATATTGATGTGACAAGTTTCCCAAATGAAAATTGATTCCCTTGTTATTTGTTTGCATCTCCTGATCTTTGTAACAGCTGGGATCACAATTAATTCAGACATCTGCACATGTTGTCTGGGCAGAAAAGCATAACCTCCTAATTGGTCATACTTCAGTGTACAGACGCAGACTAATGCGTTGGGTACCACCCAGTACAACAGCAGACGCTCGCAGTGCATTCAATTAGGTCCAGACCACAGATTACAGTCTGATGTGGATACACTTGACATGGAATCTGTTCGGAAATTTGCATCTTGTCGAGCAAAAAAAAACAGAGCAGGATGATAATTAAATGTCGTGCTCGCTCACTCTGCGATTGTAATCAGAAAACTGTTCTCGTTTTTAGCAATTATTGTTCACAACTGGCATGTTTTACATGAACTGTGAACTGGAATTTAATGAAATGTCACATTGCATTAGATTTAAAATCTGTCACAACTTTTTGATTCACTCGTAACTTATTATGATCCTCAACACAGTTTTTAACTGTCTTGCCTTCATATTTTAGTGGACTTTTTTGTAATCAGTCTTTGTCCTCTCAGGCTTTCACAATATTGTAAGCTGTGCCATATGATCATGGAAGAGAAGAATAAGTACATCAAGCTGAAGGAGATCGCCTCCCAGACAATCACAGAGCTAACAGAGCAGGTGAAAGTGCTGGAAAATGAGAGAGAAATCCAACATACCATGGCCATCAACAAGGACAGGTGTGTTTTGTCGATGGAGAACTGGGGGTTGTGCAGGGTTCATACACAGCTTCGAAGCATGATGTTTTATGCAAGTCATTTCTAAGTCCAGATTTTTACAGGGAAAAAAATATATCAAGGATGGTGAAATGATTGCCTCAGACTTTCAGCTTTATTCTGCTCCCTTTGCCATTGCATATAATCACAAATAGCCAGTTATTCAGCTTGTCCTGAACATTTATGTTCCATGTAATGATGTAGCCATATAAAAAGGAAATGAAGTGCCAAAGTGATACAAGTGGTGGTAGCATTAGTGAGGATAAGTCCTACTTGTTATTTGGGATAGTAGAGTGTGGACTGAAATGCAACCTTTGAAAAAATGGAAGTTTATTTTTTCCACCAATAACCCCTCTGTGGACATTGTTAGATAAGGTACCCAGGCTGAAGGATGGATTACTAATGTTGCCAGAACTGGGGATAGGGGGAGTAATAACTTCAAATTTTAAACCATTCAGCTGCAGAACATCAGTGGTGTCAGGATTTCAGGATTTAACAGGGCACAGAGCTGAGTGTCATCTGCAGAGCGGTGAAAGTCTACAGCAATGTCCCTGCAGGTCTGCAATTTGCATGTATAAGTGAATAAAATGGGACCCAAGGTGGCTCCCTGGGGTAACCCACATGAGATGGGACCACTAGAGGAGGAGGCATTTTCAAGCATTTTGAAAAAGACCTGTTTGACGGACAGGAAATGAACCAGTCCACTTTCATTTTACTAATTCCAACAGAGTATTTCGGATGGCTGATTAAGACACTGCGGTTGACTGTATCAAATGCTGAAGGAGGGTCAAGAAGAGTTAGCATAGAGTCAGATTTAGCCACAATAAGACATTAGAGACCCTCTCCAGAGCAGTAAACATAATATCAGTTGTCATTGTTACACTTTTATTGACTAGAGAATTTTTTAAAATAAAAGAACATAGATCTTCACCCCTGTTGTTTTGTTTGTATGTACATCATATGTCTGTCTCCATTCTAGATCCCTAACAAAGGCTCGTATGAAACTCTCAAATATTTCTAAAATGAGGGATAAACTCCACAATGACATATCCAAGGTAAAGACACACATGCGCACACACAAACAAAAACAGTCAAATCACACTGCAGTCACAAACAAAACTATTTCGGAAGATTAATTAGATTTGTTTTAAGGACTTCTAGTGTATAATTCAAGACTACAGAGCTAAATACAGATGCAGAGTCAAACTCCTGCTGAGCTGTTTGAGAGCGATGCAAATTTCTAACAGGGTTCTTAAACCTTGTTTTTGACAGCTTGAGAGTTCAGGAGGCAAACTTAAACTTTTCCACTATTTATCTTTGCATGTTACATAAGACACTCAAAAAGCAACACCCAGCGTTCATTTTTGAAAAGTTTGTGAACTTCTGTGTTGACTGCCGTGGCTGTTGCTGTCACCTTTAAGTGGAGATTCATTTCGTCGCACGTAATAGCAGGAAACATTCGCTACTTAAACTGCTTTCAAGACTGAGAACTGTAGTGGTGTTAAAAGGTGTCATTTTCTTTATTTTGTGATTCAGGCAGCCTGGAAGCAACAACAGATCAGTCAGGAGTTGGAGGACAACAAACTGGAATCAATGAGACTCGCGAAAATGATAAACACCCAGGAGCAAGCACTTCTGGAAATAAACAGGAATCATGAAACTGCCATACAGCGCCGCAATTTTCTGTAAAGTCAAAATCTGATGCTTACATAACACTAACTCCTGAGTTTAAGAACAGCATCTTGATAAGAAATGACAAATTATGCCTGTATCTCAATTTCTGTGTTATTCTTGTACAGTGGCATTCAGCTGCTGGAGCATGAGGAGGTGTTGTTTCACTACCAGAAGAAAGTGGACACCCAGGAAGGTGCCATTATTAAGGGCAATGTGGGTCTGGACGCTCTAGAGAAGGAGATGAGAGACTTGGAACTGGCTATAAACGAGAAGAAGAGACAGATAAAGCTGAAGAAGACAGGAGTGCCCTTAAATAAAAAGTTGGAGGAAGAGATCACCGTGCTGCAGATTGAGGTAGGGATCAACCTACACACTTGAACACATCATTACACAGCTCACGGTGAAAATGTTCCCTAATGGCAGCTTTCATTTCAACATCTGAACGCCATCGTAAGCCCTCTGTTAGTAAGTCATTAAAATCCATAGCTGTACTCTGATAGAAAAGGAAGTTTTTGTATCTCAAGTTTCATCTCTGCCAACTAATTACTTGCAAAAGATGTGGGTGTGAAGACGTGTCCTCTTTAAAATGGTCAGGGATGGATGATGGACGAATTTCATGGAAATCATCCATTCCTCTTTTGTTTGAACAGCGATGACAGTGTCTCAGTGACAGTTTCACTATACGCCTACTTCTTCTTCCTCTGAATCTTCTCTTATTTCTCGCCAGAAAGGAATAAAAACAGTCGATCTGCAGTGAATGGAAGTAAACCTATATAGTGTCTTTAAGTTACAGTGAAGCACAGCTGCTCTGTTTTGTTTTGTTTTTGTAGTTTTTGCCATATGTCTATGCAAGAGCCAGCTTTTGTCACATATCCAGCACACACTGGATTCAAAGTCCTTTCTCGGAGGCAGGTTTCCTTGTCTCTTAACTCTCTCTGGAGTGATCAGATGATAAATGTTCAACCGACAAAGACAGATTGTGTGTATACGTGAGCAAGATTTCATTAGAATGTTTTTGGCAAATTCTGTATGGTTGTATACATATCCGTGTCCAACAGTGCTGCAGGCTGTTGTCCAGCTGCGTGTCTGTGTGTGAAGGAGCAATTTTTGACATTTATTGGATTTATGCAGGAAGAGTCCTCATTGGTCCTCAGGGAGTACATGATTGTGTTTATATGTGAGCTGAATCTAGGGTATTGAAAACTATTATTCAACAATATGTGTATCTTTGTAAAGTTAGGGGAACTCCAGACAGTGTAGTTTGGCACAAGCTCCTGATGACTTCACCTAAAACGTGCACTCCAAGTTTCAGTCTGAGCTGGTCTCTGTTTTGAGGAAGACTGTTTACAACAGGTTTTTTTACTACTTTTCGGGGATTTTGTCTTAAAGGGATATTGCAGCGTAAAATTAAGTTAAGGTCAAACACACTGTAACACAGAGTTAGACACCCAGAGAGATGGTTGTTGCCGACCACTTCTCTAGTTATACCAACTTTAGTAATGATCGCATGATACCAATACAGAGAGCCATGCGCACAACCAAAACACCACTCTATAGCCACATATAATGCTTAGAACAGCACCTAACTTCATCAACAGTACGTATAGGGTCCCAGCCATAGCATTAACCACCAAACATTTTTTTAGCTTTGCCTGATGAGACTTAACACAACTCACCCTCTCTCTTCCAGCAGCCGCTTGTTTGAATGGAGACCTTCAGGCAAGTCTATCCACTGCAGCTGGGTGGCGCAGCTCAAGGAAGAACATTTCTGATCATTTCTTCATGGAAATGCAATCAGACAGAGACACTAAGGCAGAAGAACTATCCCGTCTGCAGTTCAAAATGATTAATATGATGATTATTACTTCAAGGAAATGATAAAGTAATGATAATAAATGTTCTTCCTTGAGCTGCGTCACCTCGCTGCAGTGGACAGACTTACCTGGAGGTCTCTGTTCAAACAAGCGGCTGCTGGAAGAGAGAGGGTGAGTTGTGTTTAGTCTCATCAGGCAAAGCTAAAAAAATGTTTGGTGGCTAGTGCTATGACTGGGACCCTTTATGTACTGTTGATGAAGTTAGGTGCTATTCTGAGCATTATTTGTGGCTATAGAGTGGTGTTTTGGTTGAGCACGTGGCTCTCTGTATTGCTATCTGCGGTCATTACTAAGCAAGCGGTCGGCAACATTCATCTCTCGACGGGGTGTCTAACTTGGTGTTACGATGTGTTTGACCCTAACTTTAATTTTATGCCGCAATATCCCTTTAAATCAAATGAGTCAAGTTTGAGATTCTTCTTTGCATACAGTAGATAAATGCAAATTGTTTGTTTTGACTGAAATACAAATTCAAAATTTGACTTCAGGGGTTTCTACCCCTTTTGCACAAGCAATCACAGATCCTCAAACTCTTTTCCTTGGCTGTTAGGAAGATATCACAGAAAATTGAACATTTATGATTGTGTGGTTTCTTGCTTGTTTTTGGAAGCTGATCCTACCACTTTGTTTTTTAAAGGTGTAGTTAACATTTGAGCCTCACAACAAAACTTATGCAAACTCCACCCTCCTGACAGGCATGCAGAGAGAGAAGCTGAACCAAGAGAGACAACCAAAACATGCTCACAGCAGAATTTTGGCATAGAAAAACGGAGACGCACATGAATAACAAACACATTCATGCCTCTTTACATTACATAGATGGTGACAGACACGCAGAAGGAGAAAGATTTGACATAAACAAACACATGCTGTGTTTTTCTGCCAGTGGCTGCATCATGGGATTGGGTGTGTTGCTGCTCAGGATCAGAGTGACTGGTTTTGACTTGCTGTTGGACCAGACTTCTGTCTTCTGAGTCTTGTGCTCCTTTGGATGAACGCAATTTTGGAACAGACTCCACCATGTGGTTCTTTTTTTTTTTTTCTTTAAAAAACATTCTTTTCTATTTCCTCCATCTGTTCACTCCTTCTGCTGTTTACCATTTGCTACAAACCTTTATTTGCCTTTTTTTTCACTCTTGTTTTCCATAGTTTCTAATATTTTGCTCCTTTGACCCTCCTTCTCCTCAAGTACTGTCCAACTTTTTTACCGTCTTCATGAGGCTTTTTTTGTAGGGTTTTGTTTTTTTATTTTTTGTTCAGCTTTTATTATCACAGAAAGTCCCCTCTAGCCCTCCAGCCTCCTTTTTCTTTGCACATTTTTCTCCACTACATTTTATTTTTCTGCTTGACCTTGCATTTGGCTGAAGATCCGGTACATTCCAACCCTCTCCTTTTTCAGGAATGATATAGCAGCGTGCTTTATGAATGGCAATGACTGCCTGCTGCTTGGTCCCCCACTTTAGACCAGAGGGAAATATTTTAAAAAGCTATTGAGGCATTTACCAAAAAAAAATGAAAATTCAGACTTCAACATCCTCCTGAGGATGAAAAGTATCAAAGCCTTTTAGCATGCTAATACATTTTAAGGTCTAGCAGATAGAAATGGAAATATTTAGTAATATCTTGCAGTCAGATTTGAGATTGAACCACTCTCTTGCTCACCCCTCCTGTCACTGAAGTGACGATGGCCTTTGAGGACAAGAAGCTTTAGTGATGCAAAAGTTTTCCATCAAAAACATCTTTTCATGCAAAGTCTTTTGGCCACAATAACCAACAACCTGCTCATATTATGTTCCATTTTAAGAAATAAATGGCTCTCAATCTTACGCACTATACGTACCTGTTCGCTTAGCACAAGCTGAGAGCTATTTTCCTTGTTGTCCAGATTTAATTGTGACAAGTTCAACTCACACATTCACACTGATGATAACAGCATACAAATGTTAAAACTAGGGCTGTCGAACAATAGATTTTATTATGACGATTACTTGCAATATATTGAGTTTTTTTTTAATTTCATGTTTGGAGTCCTATGTCATTGAAACTACTTTTCAAGTTGAGCTTATCTTTAAGATAACTTGATAACACCTGCTTATCCGCGGTTGGTTTGGCAGCACATTTTTCCAACATTCAAACTTTACTGCCTGAAACCATTTAGGCATATGACTGGTCACAACATGTGAGGGGATACCTCTGAATGGAGTCTCTTCAAATGTTGACAATCCTGCAGTTTTGTAAGCTCAGTTAATTTCTTGAATCAAGTTTCATCATCAGGTTCATAGGGACTTGCATGCTCTGAAACACTGTTGTCTGTCTGCTTAGCTTCTGCGTGTTAGTTCAAACAGGGACATTACATACAACATTGCCACAAAAAAATGAAAAATGTGATGCATACAAGACATCTAGCTTCAGCTAATTTGCAGTCTTTGTCCCTGGTCAGGCTTTGGTGTGGGATAAAAAATACTGAATACTATCATACAACTAAAGTGGATAATACAGTGGATGGCTAGGTGACACGAATAAATAAACACAGCAACAAAATTTAGGTTAACCAATTACACAAGTTAAATTTAACAGTAAATATTAATAAAGTGTGATATTGACAGTGACTTGAGAGAAGTTAATGTTCACACTTCTGCTGCTGCTTCAGCCAATGTTTAGCTTTGACACTAAACCTCTTTAGTTCTGTTTGGGAACTAAACAGATTTTCACCTAGAATGCCAATAAAACCATCAAACCATTAAGATATGCGTGCCCTTTATTTGGGATTTTTGTGTGTGTTGTCACTGTCACATTAGTATGGTGGAGGTTAAGTGCATCATCAAGGAATAAAGGATTTAAGAGTTCGAGACTAAAGCTGTAGTTTTGTAAAGAGCTGAGTCATAAATTTCTGAGAATAAAGTTGAACCCTTTCATCTCAACTGAACTTCATTTAAACAGCACCTCTCATACATATAAACATGCCGCTCAAAGTGCTTCACTTAAAAACACAAAGACAGGAAATCAAAGTTAAAAGGATAATGGAAATATGAGAGTGGATGAATTATATATATATATATATACACACACACACATATATGTATGTATATATATATATATATATATATATATATATACATATATTTTTTTTTTTTGTAAAGCATATTGGTAGGCCCCTGGTTGTTTTAAATGTGCTATATAAATAAATATGTATATATTTAAATATAAATAAAGCTGACATTAACATTGACAATGACAAATAAATACATAATAAAGAGATTTTTTTTTAAAAAGAACAAGATAAATTCATGGTAATAAACTTGTGAATGAACAAGATTAGAGTTATAAATTGACAATGTCAGAGACTTTGATTGTACAAGATTAAAGTCATTAATTTATGAGGAAAAAATTCACAAGAGTAGGAAAATCAAGTCATACATCTACAGAAGAAAGCATTTACTTTTCAACAAGAAAGCTGTAATTTTCATGAGGATAGTATTGTTATTTCATTAAGAAAGATGTCAGAATAATTGGCTTTGATTACTTATGTGTAAATATATACAGGGGGGTATCAGGAGGAAGGCCAGCTGCCTGCAGCTAAATGAGGAATGTGGATCATCTTGTGACATTTTTCTGCAGAATTAAGAGAAACAGCATTTTCAGATTATGCACAGGCTGCCTATTAGCCTGGCCTCCTTCGGAATAGACTCAGTGTCCTACACCATCAATTCAGAATCCTAATTTTTATGATAGTGCGGTGTTGATGTGCTGAAAGACTGGCTATAAAGTTTTTTTTATGTATCCTCTACCTCGGTATAACTTTCCTCACTTGGTGGTGGGCTGATCTTGTGAACTATCCCATCAAAAATATAAAGACCAAACTCAGGGTCTTATTGTTTTACGACTTAATCTGAAAATTTATGACTGAATTTGGATAATTTCAGTTGCTCTTCTTTCGTGTGTCCTTTGTGTATGTAAGTGTTCAAACACTGCTGTCATTATAAACAGCCTCACAGAGCTGCTAGCTTAACTATAGAGCTGTTAAAACTTGGAAAAACAATCAACAGTTATCACCCTGACTAGTGAATCAATTCATTAGTTCAGTGATGCATTCATCCATGCGCTCGTTCCATATTTCTCTCAATCTTCTGTCTGTAGATTGCAGATCATTTTCTAAATCACTGTTTTCCCCCCTGACAGCTGTCTAGCTCCCCTGAGTGAGAAAAAAAGCGACTCACTTGGGTCGCTTCTTTTTCGGAGAGCTTCATCGTCCCAGTCAATTCATTCTCTTTGCGAATTCAATTTCCACCCAGCTGCCTTGCTGTGGATTTATTATATATTTGTGTATTTGTATTCATCTGTGACCAGTTTATCTGTTCATTTCAGACGCAGACGCCCCCCTCCCCCTGATGGGAAATTTTGACAAAGATAGATCGAGCCATCTGTGAGACTATTGAAGTTCAATATACTCTGAGGCTTTCATTTGCTCAGAGGAATTTTAATTGCTGCAAAATATACAGAGGTTGGTGTCGAATTCTGGATTTACTACTTGTTCATGAGTTGCTGGTGCGTTGTCAGCTCAAACACACATACAGGTGCGCTTGCATCAGTGCACACACTCAGATCAGTGTCTTGTCGGCGCAGTTGTCATAATTGCCTCGCAGCAACATATGAATATTGCTCAACAATCCACTAATGACTGGCTGTACTTCTGTTCGCTGAAGTCAGATGCATAATCTCACAAACACTCAGGCAGAGATCTTGTCGGTGTGCATACACACACAGTCAGTAATGGGGTAGGATTTATATCAGGGCGGAGCTGACGTACTGCACCGTCCCAAAGGTGGTGAGTCATCTTGTTGGTCTGTCCCTCTCTTAAATCTTAGTCCAACCTGTCTGGAACTTATTACCAAGGGGAAACATGCTGTGAATCCTGTCGCGGGCAAGTTAATGTGTTTTGAAATCGAGGCTTCAAGGGAGATAGGCAGAGAAAACGCACAAGAAGTAGGCACACAGATTTTAAAAAGGCTGACAGTTGTGTGACTATGCTGTCAGTTGGTGTGTGCAAAAGTCCTCCTCAACCAATTGGAGTTAAATGGTAACCTGCCAAATCTGATTTTCTTGCTCTCAGACACATTTGGATTGATCCCAAATGTAGTCACGATAGAAGTGCAGAATTCCAGAGATGATATCTTCTTGTAAGACCACCAGTGAGTTAGCAGCTGTTCAAAACTCCCACGGCAGATTTCTAATGAGATGTATACACTGGCTTTTCAGACTGAGAGAAAATATACACCTGGATGCTCTTCTTCATACTGAGAGGATAACTCTATATCATATACAATCACTTATCACTTAAAGGCACTGTGAGGAGTTTTTAACTGGTTTAGGAACAGACTGAAAATGATACTAAAGCCTCTTCAGAAGTAAACAAGACCATCAGCCAGAAGGCAGACCATTTCATTGTAGTCATTTTTGATGCTTAAAGCCTCTGAGAGAGAGGGTAATGGTCAGACCAGATAGTTGACAACATGCTGGAAAAAAACAGCCCTTTTTTCCCTGCTGCAAATACTCCTTGTGAGTGAAATATTTTCCCCTCAAAGACAACACAAGTTTTTTTTGACTGAAAAAGCCACATAAGCTCATAAAGAATGAGATAAGAGGTATCACTTTGTCCCTAGAAGATGCCAATGTCAACACAAGCCAAAAGTTCCTCACTGCAGCTGTAAAAGATAGTCTAAATTCAAAGATTTACAGGTTCTGCCTTCTGATTGAAGTACTTTTTTAGTCTTAGCTGTTTGTAGTTCAAGTATTGTTGATCAGGCTTTGATGTGAGGAGGAAAAACAGTCCATATGGAGAACCATGCAAATGGATTAGGATAATCTGACAAGGTTTATTTATGTCTATAAACAGATATCTGCATGAAAGTGCAGCCAACAATCTGTTCAGGATAATGAATAGCCAATCAGCGTAGAGATTTCCTGACTCCCTAGAATTTTATCAATTTGACCTCCATTGAACAATGGAGCATTTTAAGAGTTGTTTCCTTCTCTTTCAATCTAGTTTCTCTCCCTATTTTAGAGGATGTTTTTTTCTCCTCTTAAAGAAAGACTTGACAAACCTTAAATTTCACTTTTTACAAATTTACATCTTATTTTTGGCAACTTAAGACCCATTGATTGTCAGCAAATTGTGACAAAGTAAGCTTCTTAGGTTTTTAGGTCTATGCCACTAGAGTAAGTCAACATTAAACAATGTGTAACTGACCATTAACAGTGAAACTGAGACTCACAATAAACTCCCCTGGGGATGTAATCCATCAAGAAGAGACACTTTGTCTTGCAAACATATCTTAAGGTCATCTGAACGCAAGGTTGCTTCTCAAAATGCTTATCAGACTGTAGACAATACAGTGCACAGAAAAAGGAGCATTGGCTGGAAACCAGAAAGCCCCAAAAAAAGAGTCCATTGTACCAAGAGGCAAATATAAATTTCTGAGGAAAGTCAGCAACATTGGACACCAAGTATTTTATCTTTTATGACCTTACCTTAACTTTTACCTTTTCTATTTCTTTTTGTGTCCCTGTTACAGACTGAGGGCAAAAGCTTTTGTTATATAGGACTTCAGTGTATCCACTCAACTTTTGGTACTTTTGGACATCAGCTTCTACTTGACTTTATCTTACAATGCAGATGTATCCCTCCTCTGATGACATTATGATCCTAAAGATTATTTTTAAGTCATCTCCCCCTCTGTACACTCCAGGATTACCCTTTCTAAAGAATTAAAAATAAAATAGATGGTTAAAAAAAAAAACATTTTATCTCTGAAATATATCTATTATTATTTACAAACACAGCAGTTGCGCATCAGCTTCATTTCTCCAGACCAGAGGCTGCAACTTGGGTGCTCCTCCTAACTTGGGAGATATCCGAATTGTACCCGAAGCTTAATGATGTTTTAGACTGTGTTTAACAAAACCACTGAATGCTCAGTGATTTTGGTAAAACACAAATTCCTAGTATTCAGTCATTCATGTGGGTGATAAGCCAGCTGTTCAGTGACCAAATACACAGTTGTGTATGGACGCAGTTCTGGATAAACTGCACATATCACAATGTGGGGATACTGGGATCTGGGATATGTCATAGCTGATTTCCACAGAGAAAAGGAAGGAAGAAAGAAAGAAAGGAAGGAAGGAGGGAAGGAAGGAAGGAAAGAACTAACGAAAATTCCGGGAATTTTCAAAGTTGGAAACTTTCCATAGGAATTAACGGGAATATATGGTGATTAATGGGAATAAACCACAAATTTACAAAATTGAAGGTTGGCCCTCAACAGGGAACTTAAATATAGCTGGGGAAAATATGTTGTAGCATAATCTTGGCTAAAACAACCAGATTTAATGCAAGTACACACCTCAATCACATGCACACAGCACACTGCTTACTGCAGGGCTATTGAGGCCACAACCCTTACATGCACTGTGGGGGGGCACTCACCGGACTCACCAGCTATTAGTAAATTTACAGCCTACCTCATCAAGAAACTGTGCACAGCATGGCGAGGGTCAATGAAAGTAGCCTACTATTTTGCCCCAGCCACTCAAACAACCAAGCTAGCAGGACAAGTGTCCTGCTTCCACCGACTGGTGACGATCAGTCTCTACAGCGAGAGGCTCACACACCGAGGATCTTTCACAATGTTACACACGTGCACACGCACACACACAGAGCAGCGATCTGAAGTTAACATCAGTATTAACTGTATAAACTTCATCACCAGAGTCTCCCTCATTAACACACCTGTCTCCTCTCATCCACACAGACAAACTTGTGTTCACCAAGAACGGAGATCTGATATGAAATAAAGGAGGAAACGTGACCTCAAAAAATATAAAATGTCCTGATCTCTGTCCACCACACATCCGAGCAGAGATATAACTGATCAAACCTTCAGGAAATATTTCTTATCTTCACTCTGGTGTCTAAAACAGTCAGCATTATCAGTCATCCAGCTCCAACAGTTTAATAATCCACTGATATTATTCAGCTGCATTGAACATCCTTTGGGGGAGCCCAGCTCGAAAAAGGTTGAGAACCCCTGTTTTAAAGCAAAGCTGACCTGGTCATTACTTTGTCATTATCGCCGCAACTCATTTTACTCAAAGTTGTTTCTGATACCAAGTGACTTGCTGTATTTATGTATAAGCTGAGTTAAAATGCATAACTTAATATCCAATTATAATTCATGCCTCACTTTGGGCTCATGAAAGGTTCAGTTAAGCTCCTCTGCTCACATGTTCTGCTAATTAACCTCACATAACCTTATTATGATTCAGATTCTTCTGCCGTTTTCCTTTACTGACCTTTCTGCTTTACTGCTCTGTCCCTTTGTCTTTTATGCTCTGTGATTGTGAGGCACCTTGTATCCTCATTTATGGAGTTGGTATATAAATCAGGTCATTATTTCTCTTTAATTTTATTCCGTTTGGCGTACCTTTTGTCATTGATTATGCAGTTGTTTTAACCAATATGCTAACTCAATAACTGGACAAGGATTATGTAAAGAATATGATAATTCATTCTACATAGTTGCTGCCACATGTTAAACCGTGTAGTGCTTTCATGAGCCAAGAAAGCAGCAATTCTTTGTGGCTGTCAGATGAAGAAAACAGGGAGGCAGGCAGGCAGAACAGAGACACTGACACAGAGACGGATGAATACAAAGAGAAAGACAAACATCGGCGTATACAAACAGAGAGCAGGAGGACGGGCATAAAAACGTTAAAAACGAGGGCACAACAATGGAAGAAAAATGATTTATTGAAGAGAGGAGAAGGAGAGTGACAGAGACGGGCCATATTCATCCATCACGCAGTGTTTAAATGGCTCAGGGTTGTCACGTATGAGGGTGGTACACAGATCAATCAAACTCAAAAGTCAGGAGTGGGGACACACTTGGTATTTTCAGATTCGAATGCAGTTGAAAAGTTAATCTTCGTTTAAAGCTCTGAAATAAATCACAACATCCCTAATGCACTGAGCTTTCTTTACCCTTAATATTTATTCATCCATTGTAACATCAGAGGAGTAAGCTAGGTGGTCAAATCAATACATCATTCACAGCAAACACAGAGGATTTCTTTATTGATTTCTTGGAGTTATAATCAGCTAGAAGAAAATGAAGTTCTATCTTTTCTTTCTGCTGTGATAAAGTCTGTCTACATGCGTAGCTCCTATGGGGTTGCCTGCTTGTTTGACTGTCCACAGACTACAAATGTTAGCATTGGTAAGCCCATTGAAACATTATGTCATTGGAGAGCACTGGAGATCATGTTATTTATGTATCTGACAACTCCTCAAGCATTAACAGCTGTGTATCATCATGGGAGTAATAAGAAATGTCGGAACAAGAACGTCACAGCCTAATGCAGGGCTGTTCTAGCCAACTGATAGCAGCTTTTTTTCTTAAAGGTGGGGTAGGCAGGATCTGAGGAAGTACCATTTTTTGGGAGAAATCTTGAGTGTAAACACTACCTCTCCTAACCAGTTTTCCCCTCAGCTCCTCCTCTACCCTCCATCTCTACTCCAGCAAGCCCCACCCACAAACGTCCTCGCCCAATTAAATTCAGATATAATGCAGATAAATACTTTGATGTGAAAGTAAACAGCATTGGTGCTACGGGTAGATGCCAACCGACTACCAACAAACACAATGTTTGCAGGACTTCTAAGACCATGATAAAGTGACATACTCCAGGACCCGAGGTAAACAGTTTAGCAGCGCTACAACACGCAGCAGGTCCTGTTTGACAAGAAACACTTCTGTTAAAGACACTTGGCTTACTTTGTTAAAACAGTTTACCTGTCAAGCAGAAAGGTTATAGGGTCCGGAAGATCCCGAAGCATACCCCATCATTTTGACCCGGCTTTTTAGCTCCTGCCTGGTCTACCTCCTTTTTAAGCGCCCGTTATTCCACCAGAGTCTCCAGTATTTACTTAGTTATCTTGCTTATGTTGGCGGTTGTGGCCAAAAGAGGATTCAGACAATTTTCTGGTTGGTTTACTGTCCGATTTTGTATCACGCTAACTTTGTTTGGGCTCGTGAATGTTATTCAAGAACGTGGAGCGTGCCTCATAACACGAGGGAGCAGCGTCTGCCTCACAACCAATCAGGTTGGGGGGAGGTGGCGCATGGCTTTGTTTACAGTCAGAAAGAGCGGGCCACTCAAAAAATTTAAAATGTTGACTACACAGACAGGACAAAAAACATTGATATTGTTATATTACCAAATGTCATCAATAACTAATAGCTATTGACTGATATTGAAAGCTTTTTTGTATGTTCACCACAAAAATGCTTCTTTAACGGATTTTACCTACCCCACCTTTAATGCATCATGGTAATTTTCATGGTGTTGGATAACCACACAGCCACAACTACACCAAAGAAAGAGAGACTGTAATGGTTAGCCAGTCTCCTTTATATACATTTGAAAAACAGCAAACTGGCTGTGCAGAGGCTTGATAATGACCACTTGGTATGGCTAAATATTTCCATCCCTACACCCTGTGCCTTAGACACAAGTTAGGAGTTGGACTTGGGAGGTATCTTTAACTCCCCTTATCACAGTGTGGTACCCTACATGTGCATGTTCAGTAGGATATGGCAACATTTCACTGGTTTTTATAGCCTAATCTCAGTTTTGCAAACTGTCTTGGCATGCATACACCCTGAGCAAGGTTTTGTTGTCAAAATCATGTTCTCAGTGAAACTGCAGATAACCCTGCATGGTCCCTGTTGGTCAGTCCCAGTTCCTGCTCCTCCACATCTCTTTTCCGTCTCTGTCTCATTCTCATCCACATCCTTCTTTGCCTTTTTTTTCTCACTCTGAGCTTCATGTTGCCTGCTGTCCTTTGCTCTTTTTTCGCTGTATCTCTTTCATCTGACACCATTAACACTTTCTCTGTTTACATCAGATCCAGCCCATCTCCATCTCTGCATTTCAGCCTCATTGAACTTACATTGAACTTTTAAATGAGTCACATGACAGTCATACTTACAAGTTAAACTTGAGTCATGTGACTTCAATAGAAGGACCGTCATGTGACTTCCTCAAGAGAGGAAGCATCTTTGAAGGGGCTGGTGGAGGTTAATCTTCATTAATCTCTTCCGTAAAAGGAGCGGAAACGGGGGTCATCACTTTGTTCCACGCTGTCTTTAAGTCTTCAGCAAACCCTCACATTAGATACAGGCACATAAACATACACTGCCTGTGTATGGATGAGTGGAGAAAAGCTAAGCTGCTATTTCATAAGCCAGATCATGTAAGGTCAGACCGCCTGTGTACAACATTTTTCCTCACCCTGTTTTCCTCCTCCTCTCCTCCCTGCTTCTCTGTTCATTTTCTGCTGTCCATCCAATCCATTTTTTCACATGTATTTATCTTCCTCTTCGATCTCCTCAGGCATCAGTTCAATTTTTTTTCTTTTTTTTTGTGTCTCTTTTTTCTCTCCTCTGTCACCAAGTCTGATTTTTCTTCTTTCAGTTTTCTGCTCACATCCCTTTTACGGTCCCTGCCATGGTTCCCTGATCATCTCAGCTTCATATACTTTTATATAAAGACTACATTTATTCCACTCTAATGGGGCCATTGGGCTTTTTCATTAACTTTCCAATACAGATACTGGCGCTACTTTAATTACTGATTTCAGACTACAATCTCTTATCACAGTTTAAGACACCACTTATTTTTGTTCCCCCTAATCTAGATAAAACTTCTCACACTACACCTAACACATGACATAACATATAGACCAGTTAGATTCGAACTATGTCCTCTTCACAGTTGTGTGTTTATTAAGCACAGATTATTTCCCAAACTTTGATGAGTCCCGTATTTTTCTCAGAGCTGATTAATCTTTTACTTTATGCAGTGACAGAAACACTAAGCACTGAGCAACACTAAGCCTTTGAACCGACTGCTTTGAACAAGTCAGAAACCCAGATTTGCTCAATCGGCATCAAGCCTCTTTTAATGTCCTCTTCAAATACCTTGAAAGAATTGAACGTGTGTTATTCCCTGTGAGTCATGTGTATAAATTCTGTATCATCAGGTGTATTGACTGCACTTTCTCATCAAGATGAAATTTATACCCCTTTCCTCCAAAATCCAGTCTGACATATTTGGGGTGTTTAAAGTTTTATGATTAAAAAAAAAAAGGCAAAGCAGAAGATTTTTACAAGTGAGAAGCTGCAATCACTTTGTTTGGTATTTTGACTTGATAGATGTTTTAAAGGCGCCGTGCAGACACCAAACCAAAAAGTTGACAGATCCTGACCTGTTTTTGTTTTTGCACCCCATAGATCGGTGGAGTAGCCTCAAACAAAATCCATACTTAAAAGCTGTGAAACAAAGCAAAGAAACATCAATTTCACCTCCAGTTATGCTCGAGACTATTCCCTGTTGAAACTCTGTGGGCTAGGTTAAGCTAAGCAAATCAGATGCTGGAGGCTGGTGGAAGCTTAGTGTTCACCATGTTGATACAAAAGTGGTACTACAGTTCTTACCGCTCTAATCCACTCACTCAACCATTGCAGCTGTTTCAAGATAATGTCAGCTCAAGGCCAGAAACCAAAATTCCAGCACTGTCCCCACTCCCTTTATTTTAATTTAACTTGTCCTCCTGCTGGCCCTTTTACCTCTTTTTTACTCTGATATCGTTTACTCCTGTCTTTTTTCTGTTGTCTTTTTTGGATGTCTGAATATTTTTAAAAAAACCTCAAGAGGGGTTTCTTTCGTCAGACTTTGCTCCTGACTTGTAAGTAAGTGCTGTGCAGGAGTGGTTCCATTTAGCTGCAGAATATCATTGGACTTGTTTAAGTTCCCTCTACATAAGGATAAGTCACTTGGAAACACACAGCAGCTGACTCACTGGTGTCCTCGGTGTGCTGTCCTGTAGCCAACGATCAAGTTATTTCCATTACTAAATCTCAGTGACAGTGAGCATTAAAGTTGGCCTGCATGAGCAGCAAACACGTCAGTAAACTCTTGACTTACACATTTTCTAATTTCTTTTTTTGATCATCAAGTTGTCAGAGGCCAGGGACAAGACACTTGAGGGTCTTAATCGAACAACTGGATATAAAGAGCTGAAAGGAAAAGACCCTTCACCTGTCGAGCTCATCAAGAAGATCGAGCAGGTTTGTACCGTCCTGAAGAGCAGTTCTGTGAATATTTCAAAATGTGCGTCATTGTTGTCTGTTTTTCTGTTTTAATAAACCCGTAATCATTGTGTCTCTGTTCACGTAGCTGGAGGTGAATCTAGCAGAGAGAGAGAGGCAGGTGCTGGAGAAAGAACTCCTTGTGGACCAGGTAACCCGGCTCTCGAAGCCGCTCAGCGAGCAGGCGGAGAACTGCCAACAGGACAGACTCTCACTGGCAAAGAAGGTAGACGATGAGACACAGAGAGAGATTTAAGGCTCAACTTGAACAGGGCAAAATGACTTCTAGTATTAAGTTATTAGTTTAAGAGGAGGGCAGTCTTTACATCTTTGTGACATACGTTACTGGAGGAGCATTTGTAGCTCATGTGAGGAGCATCCAGACAGGCACTGGGGAGTTCACCAAGCATTAAAATGTCCTCATTCACTCACGTCTCCTCTCTTTGTTTTTCCTTGCTGTCTGTATTCCTCTCACATACTCAGCAATTATAAATAGCCTTCACAAAAGCTCCTGGAACGAGTCTTATTGGATTTAACATGAATGCAGATTAATTTGCAGAGATGTAACACCAAATTTATGTAAGGCAAAGGTCCACTTCCAGCACCAGCTATACAAGGATGTGTAAGTCTGCACCTGCTGCCACAGTAAAGGAACAAGGGTGTATGGTTAAACGACACAGCGCTAAATTAGTCTATGTTTGATGATTAGCCTCACATCGTGGCTTCTGTATCTGTCAAACATGGAATCCATATCAGAAAGCATGTTAAATCAGTGTGAAATCCGCCCCTTATCTCTCTCTGTGTTCTCTGCCTCCAGCTGAACGAGCTCCGAGCTCAAATAATCGACACCAACCACCGTTTATTGGCCGTTTCTGCAGACCTTTCCATGAAGCAAGCTGTTGCTCTGGCTCTTCAGCAGGAGATCAAAGAGCGAGAGCTCCAGGTCAGAGGTGGTCCCAGTCACTCTCAGCTCAAAAAAAACAACGTTGTAACTCTGGAGTGTAAAAATACTGTGATCTTGGTTGCACACGCCATGCCTCTGTCTCCCGCTGTCCTGCCCAATCTTTCCCGTCACTCTCCACTGAACATGAGCCAAGATAACAAAGTGTGTCTTATGAATAATCCTTCACTGTGCCCCATAATTCACCCCGAACTATTAAATTTGCTTATTTACACAGAAAAGAAAAGAAAAAAAAAACGAATGAAGAGGTGGACACAAGGGGGACAAAAAATATTCAATAACAATTTGCATAACAAATGAGTTACAAATCAATGATGGGTTAACACAGGAGATGAAAGTGCAAGGGATCTGGGGTTATTTGGCAATAGCATCCCTGTCCTACAGCGAGCTGATTGATACTTATTCTTCACTCAACATAAATTCAGGATCAATATAGTTATTTACTGTTGTTTGACAAAAAGTCCCACAAAAAATTTACTACACAGCTGCTGTTTAGCTTTTGACTGAACACATTTAGATTTCCTCATTATTATTTTGGATAAATATGTAGCTAATGTTTGTCACTGTGTTTTATGCTGCGTTCCAGTTACCTTGGAAGTCAGATGTCAACGCTGAGAATGACTCTACACCCGAGTTGTCGGCTTTCCAGTTAACAAGTAGAAAACCGAGATGGACGCCCACTGTTAGCCATTGTTAGCTGTTGTTTACAGTTGTCAGCTGTCGTTAGCTGTTGTCAGTTGTTGTTAGCGGTTGTCAGTTGTTAGCAGTTGTGTGCTGTTAGTTGTTGTTAACTATACCAGTTGTATAGAGTTCGAAAAAAATATTGATGTTGGAAATAATCGCATGAAAAAAACGCTCCCGGTGTGAAAGGACCTTCACCCGTTGTTAGCTGTTGTTTTCAATTGTCAGCTGTTGTCGGTTGTTGTTAGCGGTTGTTAGCCATTGTCAGCGGTTTTAGTTGTTGTCAGCTGTTGTTAGTTGTTGTTGGCGATACCATTTGTCAAAAACGCATAACACAGTATTTTACTCTTACCAACACCATAGCACCATGTTTACTGTTAAATGTTGGCTCAGTACAACATATAACACTTTTACTGTGACTCTTTACTGTTAATGCACTGTGCTGCCATCTTGGATTATGACATTGTCATCAAGTCGTGGTTGGTGAGGATCATTTGACTTTCCGAGTCAGAAATCCAAACTCAGGGGGGCACTCCAGATGAATTTCTGACTCGGAGCTCGAAAATTCCGACTTCTGAGTACAACTGGAATGCAGCATTAAACCTGTCAGCTTACCAGTACATCAAAATAGCTGCTACTCTTTGCTTTTACTCATGCTCAAAAGACTCAATGTCACATTAACAGTAAGTGAGCTTCAAATTCTCTGTGTGGTATTTGAATATTACATTAAAGTAAGGGATCGAGTAAAGTGAACCGGGGAAAATCCCAGCAGGGTTAGACAAGAGCACTGATGCTTCCTGTTGCCAGGTTACAAAAGCTGCCTTGTCATTTCTTCTGCTTCTCTCACTGCTGACTGTTGAGTCCTTGTATGCTTTGCAATAGCTTTTATAAATTATGTTACAAAGAAAATCTTTGTGAATAATTAATATAAATCAATTATTAGCATGAGCAGCAGCTCGAGACCAGGAAATGGTAATTTAACCCAACAAGTGGTTGGCTTGTCCTGCAGGCCTTTGTGTTTGCTGTTGACAAAGCCGAAGTCAGGTGTCCCCACCCTCTTTGAAACTGATTACTCTATGATGGAGATGTGGCAGAGTTCAAAAAGTTTAACCACTCTGAAGCAAGTATGGTGTCAGCTCAGCAAAAAAACAGCAGATTCTGAGTGTGTTTTGTGTCTAGCACTGAAAACACCATACTGCACTGTTTTTGTATAGAAAACAGGCATTACCAGCACAGAAACTGTTGTCAGTTGACACAGGCCCTAATCCAAGTCAAATCAAGTCCAATGTAAATCTTTGTTTAGCTCTCCACCACATCCTGAGAGAAACATGTGGCACTTTAACTTTCAAATACCAGTAAAGATGTACTTGTGTTCTGTGCAGTTGTACCAGTGTGCTGTGGGATCATCTCATTTGCTATGATTGGACTAAAGTAAAAGGTAGTAAACATCTAAGCCCCCCATCATCCATGGGTCTGTTTCCATGGAGTTCTACTGCATGACATGTTAGATTTGAATAACTCATTCATTCAAATATCACAGTTAAGTGTACTGACTGATTAAAGGGATCATAAAAACCATCAATCACAGTTCATTTCCACACCCAGAAAAGGCAAAATGCTTAAAGTTCGTTGAGGCAAACTATTTTAAAATTCTGACTTGAACAGAGAGCCTCACAGCTCTCTGTCTCGATGAAAAATTAAAGTACTTAAACTGTGTGGATTTCCCACACGTCTTGTAAATGTTTCAAGAAATGAGTGTTAATAACCTGAGGAACCCCTGTAGCTGATGTCTGCCTGCAGCACTACACAGACACAAACACAAGTAGAAAATGCAGAGGTGTAACTTTGCCCAAATTCTGACACTTATATGAGTTGTCTTTTTTTGAGGGTGCGGTTACAGCCAAACTGTGCCAGGGCTCTGCTGACTGGAGTGGCATGAATACAAAGTGAGTGTTTCTGTATCTCCAGATGGACAGGTGCCAACAGCAGCTGGAGCAGGGCCTGCCACCGTGCCCTGATATAGAGGAGGAGTGGAGGAGGATGCTCAGAGACAAGAAGAGGAGGCAGAGGGACAAAGAGGAACGAGAGAGGGTAAAAAAAAACATGTACATATAAAAAATAAACACGGGTCAGGATTAGATGAATGCACTGAGGGCAAGGGAAAAAAAGATGGAGTGACAACGGAAAGAGAGGAGGAGCAGGGACACATCTGAAAGTAGGAATCGATTAAAATTCTGGGGGACAGAAAGGCTGCAGCATACCAGCAAACCCAAACAGAGAAGAGAATCATTAACACACACACACAAACACAAAGATTAGAGAGAATACAAGCCCAAAGGAGGGCAGACCAGGAGACAAACACAAGGAGAGCTTGTCCACACAAGAAAGACACACATGCTGTACAGGGATCAGTTGTGTCTGAGACCAGTTCAGCTGTCTGCAGTGTATCTGAGAAAGGACTGATCAGTTCAAACAAAAAGAAAAGAAAGTGCCAAAATGTAATCCCTGTATCTGATATGAAAATGAAGCTGTTGCCCTCACTCTTCCCCACAGTTAATCCTGCATTCTCAGCTTCTTCTAAAAATGTAAATGTGTTTCTTCAGCCAGATAGCACAAATATGTTTTTCCTGTTTATGTATTGGCAGTTCCTGATCTTTTTTTTTCTATTGTTATTTTTATTGCATTCAAAGCTGTTATTCCTTGTTTTTTGTTTTTTTGGGGGTTTTTTTTTCTGTGCAGCTCCTCAGATCACATGCCAGTGGATAAACTGTTCATATGCATGAGAAAAATCGCCATCTCTTTGAAGTCTCACTGAGATTTAGGCACAGTTCATTTGCATGCTGGAGTGGGGCAAAAGTCAGAGGGGAAAGGACTGTTGTGCATGCTGGAAGATATTTCCTTTCTCAGCGGGGGTTTGTGCCATGGTTTTAAATTGATCCATCAGCCATACAGGGTTCAAATCAATTTTGTCTACCACTTTCAGGATTTTTGAAGCCATATTTTTAGATGTGTGAGAAAGGAGAAAGATTTTCCAGCAACAGCTAGCTTACAAAAACTAAATGTGAAGGATGGTCCTTGGAGAGTATAAAGATTGACAATATGACAACTCCATATAAGCAAGGCCAAAAGATTGAGAGTTACCCCCACAGGCTGGCAGCAGTACAGGCGTAGAGCCAATCCTCTGTTATTTTAAAGCTACAATGAGGAGTTTTTTTTTTTTGACGGTAATGAAACAGGCTGATGTTTATTTTTATACTGTTTCATGATATTCAAAATCAAACAAGACCATTAGGGACAAGAGTGACAATTTCTGTTGTTATTTTAAATGCCTGAAACTGGTTTGAGGGGGAAAGGTGTCAGCTGGGCAGCTGAAGAAACAGCCTAATTTAAAGGGATATTCCGGCGTAAAATTAATTTAGGGTCAAACACACCATAACACCGAGTTAGACACCCCCTCAAGAAATGAATGTTGCCAACCGCTTGCTTCTCTAATTATACCAACTTTAGTAAAGACCGTACGATAGCAATACACGGCAGTCTGAGTAGCCATAAACAAACCTCAATCAAAACGCCACCCTATAGCCACAAATAATGCTCAGAACACTAACTTCATCAACAGTACATATAGGGTCCCAGCCATGGTACTAGCCACCAAACATCTTTTTAACTTTGCCTAATTTCTTTAGCAAAGAGGCTAAACACAATTCACCTACCCTTCTCCAGCAGCCGCTTGTTTGTAGCAAGACCTCGGGCCAGTCTGTTATGGACAACAGCAAGGTGACGCAGCTCAAGGAAGAACATTTATGATCATTTCTTTATCATTTCCTTGAAGAAATAATCACCATATTAATCATTTTGCACTGCAGACACAGTAGTTCTTCTGCCTTAGCGTCTCAGTCTGATTGCATTTCCATGAAGAAATGATCATAAATGTTCTTCCTTGAGCTGCGACACCCCACAGTAGTCCGTAATGGACTGGCTCAAGGACTCGATACAAACAAACGGCTGCTGGAAGAGAGTAGGTGAGTCGTGTTTAGTCTCTTTGCTAAAGAAATGCGCCAAAGCTAAAAAGATGTTTGGTGGTAGTGCTGTGGTTAGGACCCTATATGTACTGTTGATGAAGTTAGGTGCTGTTCTGAGCTTTATTCGTGGCTATAAAGTGGCGTTTTGGTTGAGGTTTGTTTATGGCTCCTCAGACCGCTGTGTATTGCTATCCTGCGGTCGTTACTAAAGTTGTTAAAACTAGAAAAGCAAGCAGTCGGCAACATTCATCTCTCGAGGGGGTGTCTTACTCGGTGTTACCGTGTGTTTAGCCCTAAATTACTTTTACGTCAGAATATCCCTTTAAGATGATCACGATAAATGACACAATTCAATGACAAAAGTCAGCAGGACGAGATTTTGTCAACAGACACTGTGGAGGACAGGATAAGCAAAGCCTGCTCTGTCTGCAGGGGGAGTCAATCACTAATCTCCCTAATGTTCGTTTTTAAACCCGTGGATCAAACTTGGATTGGCTTTCCAGTCCTGAGTTCTGTATTCAGTGCTCATTTTGTCCTTGCATTTGTCTTAATCTTTAAAAATATCAATTATTCCATTTTCAAGATTAAAATTCAGGGAAATTAAATTTAAACTATTTGTCCAAGGTCATGCAGTCTTACATTAAATATTAAAACAGCCCTTGGTCCGTGTGTGTGTGTGTGTGTGTGTGTGTGTGTGTGTGTGTGTGTGTGTGTGTGTGTGTGTGTGTGTGTGTGTGTTTGTGTGAGTATAGCTGGCTGAAGAAGAGGGCTGGACTCAGTTGCCTAATGGAGAGTACACCACAGCTGAAATCCGTCCCAATGCGTACATCCCCCAGACAGATGCACTCCCGCTGCCAAAACCGTACGGAGCCCAGGCCCCCTTCAAACCTTCCCAACCAGGTGCCAACATGAGACACATCCGCAAACCAACGCTGAAACCCTCAGAGACTTAAAACAACAATACCAACACATGCATAAACCTGAGTCAGGGTTGTGCTTTTCATTCAGAAACATTTAATCTCCACCTGAGCATCCTAACTAAATTAGTTTCCAGTGCATATCTGTCTTTTTTTTCTGTACTAACTTTTCAGCACACCACTGCTGTTTGTGCCATTTGGGAGCAAACTTGCAGACTGCATCTGTTTGTAATTTTGTTTCCCTGTTTGTAACTTACTGGCAGCGACTTGTTTACACTCTTGCTCGCAGTTACACTAAATACTGAAGTAGGATGCAAGGCAAAAAAATGAACAGGGAGATAAAAATGTACGTGTTTATCATTACATCATGCACACCGATGTGTTGTCTTAGATTTACTCCTGTTCTAAGCAACATATCAGTTTCTTTTTCATACATTGGACACGATAAATTTGTTTCTTTTAGACACTGCAATATTTCAACGTCTTTGTCCGCCATGTTGCTGTTTCATCCCCCGCACTTGTAATCTTTCAGCTGTTTCAAGCTCCAAGCCAGGCTAAGAGTGCCAGTGTAATGCCTGAAATGATAAATGTAAACAGAGGAAGAAGATTGGGCAATGAAAGAGCGAAGAGGATGACGAGAGAGAGCAGAATGTAAATGAGGAGGAACAAGAGATTGCAATCTGAAAGGGGAATAAAGGGGAAAGAAACCGATAAGAGGGGAGCTGTAAACGGGGTGGAAAGTTCACAGCCGGTTACTAATGATCGTGTTTTGCAGTGTGTAAGCCTGTTTTTGTTGTGGGCGCTGGTTTAGGAAACAAGACAACATTCTGAGTACAAAAGCAGTTCCAAATTTCTTCTGTTGATGCTCAGAAATGATCCTGACAAACTTCAAATTAAAATTATACTGTGGTCAAAGAGAATGAAGAGGAATTAAAACAAAATAAAATCACAAACTGATGTGATTAACCTTCAAATTTGAAGAGAAGCAAATTGTTGGAATAACCCAAAAATTACAAGCAGCATCAGGCTCACTGCCAGGATGAAAAATGCATGAAAAGTACTCAGTTGGTGGAAGAAAAACCTAGTAACAGTTTATAAGAACCCAACTTTTATAAAGCGACATGAGCACATAAGCCTTATGAATACATCTATAAGTCTTGATATCAATCCCTGTTAGTGGTCATACACATTTGTAACTGCTTGGCAGTGTCTACATGTGTTTCAAGAAGAAGGCAGAGTGCTGTATTTAGGTATGGTTTTTGATATTTTATAGCTTAATGCAAGATGTCTTTGTAATTCTGGGTCAAACAACATATAACTCTCACTACTTTACCTTGAGGGGGCGTTACATTTTGTCATTTTTACTAGCACTATGCATGAGCAATGTTTCAGATTATGAGGTTAATGTGTGTTGCAGTAATCCCCAAATGGGACTACAGGGGGCTCTGAATGGCTCATTAAAAATGTCACACAATGATATTTACTTAATAAATTGTGACACCACCAGATAGTGGAAGGGCAAATTTGTCATTTAATAGAAAGAAATATAACCTTATTGTATGGCAACAGTGAAGGAAGCTTCCAGAATGCTGGATTCTAGAATGCTAAAGGGGACCTTTTGCTGCGTTTCAGTAACCTCGGAAGTCGGATGTCAGAGCTGAGAATGAAGTTGACGGCGTTCCAGTTAACAAGTCAGAAAACCAAGATGGACGCCCACTGTTAAGGGAACGACGCAAATATAGAATGCGAAATTACGAAATATTCAGAGGTAAATGTTGACATGTCTGACTAAATATATCAAGCGCAATGCGTTTTTGCGACTTTCCCGGGGGGAAAAAAGATGCGTCCCGGGTGGAATCGAGAAGACTGACGCAACAGCAGACTGACTGTTTTTCAGTTCTGATTGGACTCTAATGTTGAGATGGCTGTCTATCATGACAGCATGTACTGAGTCGGGGCCAGTACCAGATAAGCACATTAAACTATAATCCATAAACATAAGGTAACAACCGAGACCTAATGGCCACTTCTGAGTACAATTGGAACATAGCATTTAAGTGTTAGCAACCTGAAACATGAAGAATTTGTTGAATTGCAAATCATGTAAATCTGCCAAGAAGCGATCAGAGGGACAATAGAAAGACAAGTGGGTACATATAATGGATAAACAGTTAAACTTAGTGGCTAAAACTGATGTTAAAGTATTTAGGAAAGTTGACTGTCATAGTATATACTGTAAGAAAGTTTGTCCAACATTGATACTGCAGACTTCCAAAGGTTAAAAAAAGGCAGCAGGTTGACTTTTCTTTGAAACAGCACCCTCCAAATTGAGTGTATGTGTCCGCTCAAGTATGATAGTCCGCTCTGTTAGACTGGACTGTTAGGGTGTATTATCCGGCTACGTAACACTAACTGCATAACAGGGTGTTGAAGAAGCAGTCAAGTGAGCGATTTATTCACGTTTCGCAAGAGGAACTCCCCCGGAGAGAGATTCTAGCAGACATCTGCACTGAGGTGGACAACACTCGCATTGAAAAAAATAAAGATTGTGTAATTTGGCATGTATGTTGGTGTTCTAAAACAGGCTTGACGCTAAATATGACTCAGCGTGTTGGGTGACTGATGCTGAGATGGTTTCCTGATTTCGGAGAACTCCTCTGAGGCTGTCCAAAACACTCAGGTACTGTCAGGGATGTGAGCGAGTACTCCCCCCCCTCTGAGGAGTTCCTCGACACTCGACTGTTTGACTGCAAGTTGAGATCATCTTTGATTGTTTCCACTTTCCACAGAAGAAACTAGCTCTCTTATCCGATGTTAGGGGAAATATACTGGCAAAAAAAATTGACCCAAAGACTTCACTATTACTTCACAACTTCTCTGTGGAACACCTCCCTCAAAAATATGACAGTAAAAGAGAAAACTACAGTAAACTTGTAGCAAAAATCTCTTTATTTACAGTCCATCATACAAATCCATCTTAGTGTAAACATAACTGATTATAAAATCCCTTTTGGGCAGAGGAATGCTTTGTAATTGTTTGCTTGTAACATGTAAATAATCTCTGGTATTTAGTCTCAAACGGAGGCCAGCATCCAGACTCTGTGTACAGAATTATAAACATATGTGACAAATGCACACGTCATAACTATTCCCAAGAACTTTTTTCATTAACAGTAAGAGTTCCGTCATAATTGAGAGCACACAGCGACATTATTCAAACCAGACATTTCATTGTGTGTGCAGGCAGGCTGAGTAATGGTGGAGTATTTTCATATTATTTATTCAGTTTGTGTCGCCTCATCTTTAACCCTTGACTATATCTGTTCATTTAGTGTTTGTAATGCATTAATTGACTGACTTTTCCATCTGTGGTAAGAATAAAGTTCCTGCAAAGTTAATGAAGTAAGCAGTTTCCCTCTTTTTATCAGAATATATGTAGTAAAATTGAGTATTTTTTCTTTTTCTGTGGAACAAAATGTAGAAGAAAGTATCAGGGCCTGTGTCCACTAACTGCTTTTTGTGCTAGCAGTCCACACAACCATAATATAAAGCTGGACTGGTGAGAGCTAGGGTACTGAAGTTGTGCTGCACAACTTAGACTACCATTGGCTTTGCCAGAAAAGTCCTGCAAGCATTATAATTCTTGCAATTTGACAAAGCCAGCATAAAGACACTTACATAAACTGTGTTGTCAGATCAGTAGTAGTTTTAGACCTGGAAATTGTTTCGTAAAAACAAGTCAGTTTGTCAGTTTCTCCTATTGTTGTTGACAAGGCTGATAACAGAAGTGTCATCCTGACATGATTTTGACAGGACAGTAATGTAATAGTCGAGATGAAAAATGAACTATTTTCAACCATATGTCCTGTGAGTTCAGCAACAGAAAAAATCAGCTGCTGTGGAGTCTCTATTACGACACTGAGAATCAAAAATACTCAGCTGAATTAGCTTTTTAAGAGGAAGTCTGCTGCCAACACCATCAACGCCATAAAGTGTAAACAGGCCCTTATGCATCGTCTTTGGCTGACATGAGCCATCAAAAGCTACAAGCTCCTCTTGCCATGAGCTTTGCATTTGTAAAATGGGACTTTTTGAGCACTGCTGCACAGTCACTGTTATTTTTGCATGGTGACAGTGCAGCAGTGCTTTGAGTTCAGCAACACGACAGTCAACTGAAGCCAAAAGCATTGGCCTCACTGCTCTCACAGCAGCTAGTACTGAGCAGTGGCTTTTCCTTAATACTCCAGACATGTTCCTGATACTAAATTTTCAAATCCCTGTCATCTTTGAGGCTAAACATAAATTTAACAATTAGACTTTGAAATATAATAATACATTCCAGATATAGAGTTATGGGTCCATGCAAATTTGCACATTATCTTATTATATATCTCTTTGGGTTGTAATTCTAAATCCTTACAAAATGCCACTGAGTTATAGAGCTTCAAAGGTTCTGTATAACTCAGTGTTGAAATCAGATTTAATGCACAGCAGCCCGTGTGTGTCCAAATCAAGCTGCCACGAGTGTGTGAAGCTTTTGTCAGTATGTAATCAAGTTGATGGGGTGCAGCCCCATCAGGAGGATAAACAAGTGTGTATGATTTATACAGTCTGTTTGCAGTTTTTGACTTTCATGTTCATAAATTGTTGGCGAGGAAAGATGCAAAGGAACAGGAGGGAATTGTTGCAGTACCAGAAATATGAGTTTGTATGAAGAGCTGCCTGCAGTTATGGATTTTTAATATAAATTGGAGACGTATGTTACCCTAGACTGAATTAAGGTGTATTTTTAATCATATTAGACCAGTTTAAACATTCCTGTTTGTGTTAATAAGATACTCCTGCTCTTCTTCCTTCCTGACATCCTCCGTGTTTAGAATAAAAGTGGAAAAACAGCGTTTCATCCTCCCCTCCATCTCTCCTTTCAGGGACGTCTCCATCCATCTCTCCCCGTGCCCCACCCTAATTTGTCATCAGCCAGTGAGAGCTTGTTTATAAGAGCTCTGCCTCTCAATCTCTCTGTGCATCTCTCACTTCTCACCCTCAATTCCTCCATCATCCACCCATCCGTTACTTGTCCTCAAGGCCCAGTCAGTGGATGATGACTGTTCTCTGAAACACATTTTCCCCCTCATCTGTTTCCCCCTCAATCCATCCATCCACCGCTGCTACGCGGCTTTGCCCTTCTGCTCCCTTCTCGGCATCCTTCACTTTTTCTCATAGCCAAGCAGTATTAGTGTCTGCTTCAGAGCCGTCTCCTCCACAAACCGAGCATCCACGTTCTCCTGCTCCTCAAAAGGGTTCACAGCTAGAATGCAGAAGGGAAAAATGGAGTGAAGGATAAAATTTCATGAGAATACTGCCAAGTACTCCCTTCCTTTCTCCTAACCAAACTTTGTGAGACAACTCACATGTTCTGTCTGAATCCCCCTAAGGCCTCTGTATCTAAACATGCAGGATACACACACACACATATCCCCACCTTGTTCCTCTATATCAGAGAGAGTCTTTGCCAGGTAGGTAAGAGGCAGAAACTCAGGTCTGAAGCCTGGCTTGTCTCTGCCGGTGAATGCAAATCCCTATGGAGGAAGGAAAAAACAAAACATAACTGGATTCTGCAGGGTTTTTTTCTCCAGGATCCACACAGTCAAGACAAACTACTACAAATCTAGAAAGTGGTCACCTCAACTTGGTTTTTCTTTTGGGTAACTTTTTCAGGGCAGCTGTATATTTTATATCTCATTGCACGAAATGCCACCGGCTTCCATGCCGGTTTGCCAGCCAGAACTAGCCGACAGCCTGTTATTTGATTCAGTGTAAGCTGGGGTTACTGTTTTAAGGCATATCATAAAAAGAAGCAGGTGGATTTTTTTGTGTTACACTGCTGTAAAAGACCATTTTTGGAGGAAAGATATAAGAGCTGCATCGAAAAACCCTTTGTCAGAAACTTGTGATGAAAATATGAACAGCCCGTGAGAATTTTCCAAAACCCAGTGGGAAATGATCAAAGCGTTTATCGTCTGATGAATAGTCAAACAACCAAACAGTCTGAATTTGAAGAGATTTAAATAAATAGAGGCATTATACTTCCAGATTTCAACGTGTCTGTGTTATACTTTCATTACCTTTAATTTCTAAAATGCTCCATATGGCCATATTATTCCAAACCCAAATAGACCTCATCAAAAAGCTTATCTTGTCTTAACTGCAAGTCTGAATCCCAAACGTAGTAAATGTTGCAAAGGGCACTTCCACTTGGCTCCATTTGGCGATGTATTCAGCTCAGTGCAGGGCCAGGTGTGTGTGTCTAATTGTCCCTGATTAAGACCAGGTGTGGGAAGTCTATATAGACACCCTTGGGCTCCTGTGCTTTGAGCTGCCTCATTACCTCGCCATCAGAGGTAGAGAGGGGTTTATTCAGTGGTTTGCTCTTGTTGTGCAGGGGTGTACGAGTCTGTAGAAGCACCACAAGAACCTGTCTCTCAGTGCATAGTTTGCTGGAGTTGCTAAACCTGCCCTCTGTGTTTTAGCAGTGTTTTTTAGGGAGTAACATCTCCACTCAGCTGCTTGGCAGAGGTGGCCTCGTTGCCTCTTAACTAAGCCACCTGTTTAGCGCAGGGACCTTGTTTGCTTTCAACCACATTGTCTGAATAGATTGTGTCTCCTGCTAATCAGGAAATATTAGCCTGAAAAACTACACATAAAAAAGCTTGACATAATATGAGCAATATGAGGCATTCAGAAAGACAGCATGGCATTAAAGGGATATTCCAGCATAAAATGAATTTAGGGTGAAACGCAACGTAACACCGAGTTAGACAACCCCTCGAGAGATGAACGTTGCCGACCGACTTTAGTAACGACAGCACGATAGCAATACACAGCGGTCTGAGGAGCCATAAGCAAACCTCAATTAAAAAGCCACTCAATATATAGCACATATAGGGTTCTAGCCACAGCTCTAGCCACCAAACATCTTTTTAGCTTTGCCTAACTTCTTTATCAAAGAGACTGAACACAACTCACCTACTCTCCTCCAGCAGCTGTTTGTTTGTAGTGAGACCTCGGGCCAGTCCATTACGAACTGCAGCGGGGTGACGCAGCTCAAGGAAGAACATTTAGAACATTGAGCGCATGGCTCTCTGTATTGCTATCTGTGGTTTTTACTAAAGTTGGTATAACTAGAGAAGCAAGCGGTCGGCAACATTCATCTCTCGGGGGGGTGTCGAACTTGGTGTTACGGTGTGTTTGACCCTAAATTAATTTTAAGCTAGACTATCTTTAAAGTCAAAGCCCTGGTGTAGCTAAAGTAGCATTTTTAATTTTCTAGCATGTCTTTAGGTAGTATTTTTTTGTTTGTTTTTTTTTGGGACATACAGTACAAACTGTCGGATCCAAGGTCAAATATGCCATGTCACCTTCTTTTTCTTGGGCTTCTCCAACAGAGTCCTGACATAATCTCTGGAGATTGAAGCTGAACTGACAGGATGGTCCCACATATGATAGATCCTCTGCACCATAGGCTGTAAAAACACAATCAAACAGACATTTTAGGCATAAAGAAACATTCCCTAAAGCACGAGAGCATCTGTTTTGTTCTGTGACACAAATGTGCTTAAAACTATCTCAGAGGACTGGACTGCTAATAACTTATTCCTGAGAAGTCTCTTTTTTTAAGCGTTGGAAAATGCACACTACAGTAATAAATAACACTTGCGTAAACAAAAACTACAGGTGTGACTGACAATGAGACAGAGAGCATCTTTTCTTGAGGCTGCTTTCTGTCGAGCTTCAAACGCGCTGCCAAGTAGAGCTGCTGAATCACTTGGAGGGATGTGGTATCATCAGAGGTGAGAAAGAGAGCAAGTTCAGACAAACACATCAGCCGAGCACACCAACGATTAATGCTTTCACTCACTATTGTCAGTGTTTTTGCACTATTAACATTTTTGTTGAACTCATTACCTGCATAAAAATGAAATACGAAGAGTTCAAGGAAAAACCACCGGTTATTATCACCAAAATAATTCCACTAAAAAGTCTTTTTTGTTGCTATCAAGCAGTTTGATTTGGCGAAAAATAAAGCAAAATAGCAAGTATAGGACCCTGAAGTAGAGCTAGCTTTGCAAAAGCATATGGATCAGCCAGATTCCAGATCGGTTATTCGGTGGATACATCTTGCAAGGCTTTCAGCTCTCACATTTGTACCTGGTTAGCACATGATCAGACTGATCAGCATCCTCTGAGGAAAAAAGCATCAGCTTAAGGGCATATTTCAGGTACTTTCTGACCATGGGAACTTTCCCCAGGAACTTTTGAGGAATTTTGGTCTTCTGTTTGAGGGTCTAAATTTAGTTCAGGGGGGAAGTATTTTCCAATGGCCCAGGGACTTCGAGGCAGGGATTTTATTTACATTAAAAAAACAGTTAATTTACATATAAATAGTGGTATCTTTGTGCACAGACAGAGGAGGGAGGAGAGATTCTGGATTATATCCTATAACCTAATGTTATTTAGCCAGTGAAACTATGTACTGTATATACATGAATTTTATTACAATGATTTTGATAGAATTTTCTATCTCAGGGATGCTTTTGGGTGTTTTGACAGTTTCTGGGTTTAGTCTTCTCGGGGAAATAATCTGTATACAATATATACAATTTATATACAATTTATATACAATTTATACAGACACCAGCTGAGCGGAGAGAAAGGTTTAACAGTTAGAGGCACCGGTGCAACAGTACAGGAGCTAATATTTCCACTAATCTGATGTTATTTAATCATCAAAACAGCTGACCTGCTGCTATGTACCTTCATTAATAAATACCACTACCCCTGGTGGAAACATACACAACAGTGGGCCACAGGAAATCGGAAGTCCCTGGAACTAAAAGATCTGGGTTCTCTCGGTCGAAATGCACCTTTAGTTGTGACAGCAGGCGTCTAAAGAGTGGTGGCCTCTCAAGAGATTAGTGCAGATGCAGCAGAGATACTCTCCTTAGAGGTGTATCATGAAAATGTAAGTGGAGATTGTTATTGAGGCGGTTCACATCACATTCAAACAGTTAATAAAATAATATCAAAGTTGTTATAATTTGTGTTAGAAGATTGTTTTTGGACTGATATATAATTGAAGCTCACAGCAAACATACAGGACTGAGGGTGGGAATCACTAGTGGCCCCACGATACGATATTATTGCAATTTGTAATATTTTGCAACACAGTGAGTATTGCGATACAATATATTGCGATTTATGCGATTTTTTTCAACTGTTTAAATAATTTAGCTTGTGGCTTTTCTTTATACTCGCCTTATTTACGCTGTATTTTATTTTCATGTAGCACATCTTGCAAACCTTAGGCACTGAGGTTATGTAGTTGTGAGGTCTATCACATCATACAATTTTTAGCTTTACATGGCCTGTAGTGAATGTGACGGATAGAGTTCATCCATTAATGCTCTGAGTTTATTTTGGAAAGGCTCTACCCTTCCCAAAGCCTGTCTGTGAGGTGTTTCCAAGAAGTAGATTAAATATACTCTATGTCATGTGTATGTGAAACGGTCTACCTGGAGCGCCAGGTTAGCGCAGAGCATCCTGTATCTTACATAACAAGAATTATCAGGATGCTGGGTTGAGCCAAGGTATGATTTTCCTCCAGGGGGCCAACATCTCCTTTTCTGTCTCAGTGGGAGTGTGTTTTTGTGTGTGTTTGTGTGTGCGCACTCTTGTGTGTTTGTGTGCGTTTTGTACCTGCTAAATCACCCCGGCCTGCCAAACTCACCGAACAAAAGTCTGATGTTCAGGAAACCGAGCACCGAGACTAAACACTCAACATTCCTCTGATCACAATGCGGATGAATTACACACAACACACACAAACACACACACACACGCTCGCACTTTCACACGACCATAGAAACAATATCATACCCACACAGGAACACGTGAAAGTTACAAAAGAAGGAGGAACACACATAAAACAGACTTGGACTCAGCAGAAAACTACCTACAGTACATTACCCCATTCTTCACACACTCTCTCTCACACACACACACAACAGCTAGTTACACAAGTGCTCTGTGATTGGCTTGAGGGGGGCTTGAGGGAGATAAGACCTAAAATAACTTCAAACTCTTAATTGGACCAGAATGGGAAGTTTTGGGAGTACCAGGAAAAAAAGAGCAGATCAAAACCATCCCTTACTAATAGACGGGACTATAATAGCCTCATGTATTGTTTTACATCCAGGCTGAGATATCAGTCAAATATGGGCTCCAACCCTGTCACAGTCAACTTCACATCATGGGGATAGCTGATAACTTGCCAAGAGTTTATTTCTGCTGTTATTACACCGGACCGAGAAGGTTGAATAAGCTCCTTTAATCATAGTGTGTTAGACAAACTGTGCTCAAATCCTCCTGGCTCTGCATAAAAACATCTTTGGCCACACACGCTCATTACACTCTGAAGTACCTCAGGGAGCCTTTTAAGGATGCTGAACTTGAGTCTCTCGTTGGCATCACTGTTGTCCAAATCTAAACACAAAGAGAGAGAAAAAGAGAGGAGACATGCTGCTAATTACTCCCTTACAGATAAATCTCACATGGCATGTCAAATTTCGCTCCTCTGAAAAGTAACAAGGGATTAAAGAGATTAATTTTTCTCCTTGATGAAAACACTGCAGGTAAAACATATGCAAATCAAACAACTAAACCTTAGACAAGGGATCTGGTTTTCAGACATTTAAAGGAAGGTATAGTTTGTTTAATTGCAGTAAAAGCAAATTCAACAAGGTAACAGAGCAGAGAATAAAAGAATTCATGAGACAGGAGTGATGTGAACTGCAGTTCCAAAAGTGTCCACTTGGGACTGGCTGCAAATGCACCTGAAGCCACACATACACATTCTTACAAAGGCCAATTTATACAGCAAAAATGCAGGTGTACGACCTGTTTCAGTGACTCATTTCTCTATCCACACACACTGTACTGGGATGAATTTTTTCAGAGCTCATTATTTTGAAGTAATTAAGATTTTGAGTTTGGCGTTATAAGAGGCACAGCTGACTTGACTTTCAGGCTGTTGATGAGGAGGCTAAAGGTCTGCCTCAACTCTTCCTCTTTGCCTCTTATTAGGCTCATTTAGTCAGTACTGCCAACAAAAGGCTGCGAAACTCTGCTTCAGAAACCAACGGGTGATTTCACTGGGACTTTATCCATGTCTTATACAGTCTACAATTACTCTACAGCTCAAAAACATTCTGGGAGATGGAGTTCATTTATCAAATTGAACACATCTACCTTCTCAAGGTGCATATTTGTATTCTAAAGAAACTAAGAAGCCTACAATTACTGGTCCAAAACCCTTTCTAACCAGTACAGTCTTTACATGAAGTCTTCATATATTCATGTTCCCAGCAGGATGAACTACACAGATTTTGGTTATTCCTTGCCTTTATTTTACCTCTTGCATCACTCGCGGGTTTTACATTTGTATGGCAGTTTTTAATGTTTTATGATGCAATGGTTCGCAATAGGACTTTTTTATTGGCCCACTTTGAATCACATTCAATCTAAGACACTAAACATGGTACTTCCCTAATTGTAATTACATACCTCTAAACAAACCTCATTGAAGTTGTTCATGTGAATAATAGTGTCACATAAAAAAAATAGTAAGCACTGCACCTGCAAAGCATTAGCAAGTTGGTATTATAGCAATTGCAGATTTTGTTATGTGAGTCTAAGACTAGTACTTTTTCAGTTTACAGCGACTTGGGTACCTTTGTACTTCTCTTAATGTATAGTAGTTCATTTAACTTATTAATTTTTTACTTTTTATTTCTCAGTGTCTTATATTTCATGGTCTATAAAACCAGAACAGCTCCAGAATTTGTTATTTTAGCACAGTAATAGCAATATCCAGCAGTAGACTGGGTCTTGAGGGAAAGGGGGTGTTTGTGATCAATTTTTCCTTTGTATCTTGTGCTCTTTCAGGAGTTCACTGTACTGTATTAATCTGTGTAAAACTCATAAAAATATTATTGAGTAAATTTAGACTAGGTAACACATCCATGAGCTCTTTCTTTGTAGGGGGTAGGGGTAAATGGTTTAAAAGGGGACATTTCAGTTTTGGTTTTGGTCTTGAAAGCCTCCTGAACGTAGTCTCTGTGACATCACCCACTAACTTCTGAAGAGGGTTTCTGTAGCCAAATGATGGTGGTGGCCATATTGGAAATACTGACTCAACCTAACCTTTGATCATTTTATGGTGGGCCTTTAGCCCCCCCAGCAAACAGCTAAAACACTCCCCCTATTGAGTTATCTTAGCCTGCAAATCTATGTGTAATGAGAGTCTCAAAATCTTCAAAATGGACAAATATTGAGAAGTTCGTCCTGGAAAATGGTTTTGATGGACAAGCAGTTAACAGGCTACAGTCCCAGTCCCAGGGGTCGCTGGTTGACTCCCCTGCGATGACCCTTTCCCACATGTCTACCCCCACCCCCCACATTTCCTGTCTCTCTTCAACTGTCCCTTCTAATAAAGGAAAAAAAGCCCAAATCTTTAACTTAAAACAAAAATAATATATTTGCACACATTGGTGACGTGGTAGCCCTGCCAGTCACCCAGAATAAAACAGAATCATGGATGATTTTTTTTATATTAATGCTTGAGGACATATCAAAGTCCTGAGCCATCCTTTCAGTTACTTTGAAGTTTGAAACTATTTGGACTCTGTCCTTTACATAATCATTTTATCGTTGGGGATCTTTGCTCTCTTCATGGGAAAGACCCGTGTAAACTATGACAAGAACAAAAGTAGCACAGAGGCCAAGATATTTTGGTTCTTGATCTCGGAGCCAAATCTCAGTTAGTCCTTCTAAACAGTGTTCTTTCCATGGTGTGAAGTCCACACCAAAACACACAAATCAGATGAGATCAGGGTCTTTATGTTTCTTTATTTACTCGCTGTGGCGTTTGTGTTTCTGGGTTGTTTTTCTCTCGCCTGTCTCCTCCAGGTGATGGAGATCACCTGTGTTCACTGGCTGTGTGTGTGTATGTTTTTGGATGAAATTTCCTCTGGGATTAATAAAGAGTCTGTCCGTCCGTCCGTCTATCTGTCTATCTGTTAAAATTGAAGGTTTTTTTCTTTGCTCCTTGGTAATTTAGTCATCGATGGTTCACTTTAAGATGCAGAACTAACTTAGCTGGAAGTCTAGTGTTCATCTTGTTACCTAATTTAGACAAGCACCTCAGGTTGTATTAGTGATAACCAAGGCTGAAAACAAGATTATGTCCTCTAAGGGTATTTGGTCTCAAAGCAAATCAAGCAGAAAGATTCATATCTTGACAAGATGGTGCAGCATGATTAAAAAGTAATGCTGTCACTAAGACGCAGCACTTTCCTCACTAGAAAATAAAGTCAGCTGACTGACACTGCTGTTAGGAAAAGAAAATTTACACCCACCAGAACAATGATTCCAATCTTCCAGTAAATTCATACTTTTTATGTAAATGACCCATATGCTAAGCCAGAAGGAGTATACCTGTCATCAGACGGGACACAAAGGTTTCAGTGAGCTGCAGGACGCCGTGGTCGATGTACTGCAGGAAAGTGTGATGAGGAAGAACACGCATAGCAAACAACGACAACAGGGTGTGATAGCCTGGAGACAGGGACAGAAATAGATGCTAATAACCGTTAAACAGAAGGAAAGTAGAGTCAAAATCAGGAATATCATGGTTTTAACATAGAGCTGTGTTTGGAGAGAGAACTGCACGACAAGCATGAATTGGAAAAAACAGGTCATCCCATTTTTTTTAGTCTTGTTATCTATGTATTTTTCTTTCTGTTAAATTTAATTTAAAGATGGGAAAGCCACAGAGTGTAAGTGTTTCTTCAAGGCCTTCTGAGCACTTTTATACTATCATACCCCCCACACTTATGTAGAGAGTGTGAGACCTCAGTCTGAGCTATTATTTCCTCTCTCAATGCCAGACAGTTCAGCATTCTCACCAACACTCACACTAATATCATGAGATGGTGTAACAGGAGGATCATGCCACTAAACAATTGAAAATAAATTCAAATTATTGAAAATATATTCACTTTTCTTTACCCAAGTCTGCACTATGCTAATGTTCAACATATTTTTGGTTACATTAGCGCTAAGGACAGCCTGTCTGCTGTTCCTCAGTGGAAACACACATTGTTATTCTGGCTGAGATAGAGACAGGCTGGATTATAACAACTCTTGTGGATGGATGTGTGTGTCAGTGTGTGTGTGTGTGTACGATACCAGGTGGGAGGGGCAGGCAGAGACCCCTCGTGGCTTCCAGGATCCGAAACATGAAGTGAAACACAGACCACTCGGCTGGACTGCCCCGCTGCGTGCTGGAGCTCAACACAGAAGAATTTTGCACAGGAATGTTACATAATGCGAGCGCACACGTGAAGAAAGGTCATCGACAAATTTGCACATGTGGACACACACACAGCGGGGAGCGGGGGTCTGGAGCACACATGAATAAGGATGAACACACACATCACACATTCTATCAGCGATTCATACAACATATTAGTGAGACAAAAGACCTTGAAGGATGAGGGTCGGGTACTCACAAGCACAAAGCACACGGGCCCAGTTTACACTTCAGCCAAACTGACTCCAGCATGTGTCTGATGAGCTCCAGCTAAACACACACAAACAGACATGCGCATGTTGGAAAGGAGATGCAAGCTTAGGGTCCAATTCCACATTTTCCCTCCACATGCAGCCAGAGTTACCGGAAACTCAACACAAACACATGGAAAATAAAAACATTTCACAACTATAATTATGTTCTTTTTTTTTTCAAGGAAATCTAGATTCAGTTTTCGTCATTTTTTTCCCTTGCTTCACATTTTCATTTCCACTGAACAACAAAGCGGAACAGGATGTGAACACGCCTCGATATGCACGCACACACGCTCATCATTTCACCACAGCTCTGTCAGCATTCAGGATCATTTCAAATACACTTGATTCATCTGAAACGTGCCTGCTGGAATACACAGACACGCACAAACACACACACTCTCACACACATACATGGCTCTCTCAATTCCTGTGCAATAACAGGAAGAATCTGCCTCGTTCACATCCTGCACACCAGTGGGAAACCCTCCACTTTCCTCTCTGAACGTCCTCCTGTGACCTCAGGGTGGGAAATTTAATTAGCTCCACTTATGAAACGGACTTTAACAAAAATAACAGAGGTGTCAGGACAAATGGAATAATAAGCTCCTCCAGGTTTTTTTGTACATTCTTCACTTATTACACATCCCTTTATTAAATTTATCACAATTGAGAAGTCCCACTCAGAAAAATAAGCGTATTTTCTTTGCCAAATTTTCAACCAGAACATATTGCTCAGCTTGTATTTCTAATTTTAATTAATCTAAAATGAACACATAAGCTTTTTAACAACATTTTTCTGTGTAAAATTCTAATATTCTTACTTTATATCACTTTTTTCATCCCTTTTCTCTGTGTCTCCCTGCAAAAATGAAGCTGATTCAGGTGGATTGCTTTCTTCTGGTGAGGATTGAGCCTCAGACCCCAGTGAAGAAGTTTAAGTATCTTGTCCACGAGTGAGGGTATAGAGAGACAGACAGGCAGGCTGATACTTCATGAGTAGGACTCTGGGCATTGTACTAAACCCGGGTGGTGGATCTACCTCTCAAGTCATCAAGAATGGTAATGAGCTTTGGTTAGTGTCTTAAAGAAGGAAACTACAGATACAAGCAACCAAAGTGAGTCAGACTAAGGGGCCTTTCACACCCAAAGTCCGCCGAGAAGGTCCGGATCAGGGACCAAATGTTTACATTGTAAGTCCGGTTAGAATTCACTTGGGAACGCTAACTCGACAAAATGCAAAATACAACAATGTAAACATTTGGTCCCTGATACAGACCTCCTAAGCAGACTCTGGGTGAAAAAGACCTCTAAGAGAGGAGCTGAGGAGCTCATACAGTCCTTACTCCATGAAAAGAGACAATTAAAATCGTTTAGCTATTTGGCTAAGTTACCTCCTAGATGCTTCCTTTTAGAAGAGGCATCCAACCAGGAGGATATTGGGAAATGTTGCTGGGAAGAGGGATGTTTGGGACAATTTGCTTAAGCCTGCTGCCTCTGCAACCCCACCCCGCATAAGCAAAGGAGAAAAGCCATGATAGATGGTGTTTGGGTATTTATCATACATGTACCGCATATAAAATAAATCAGCAAATTAATTATACTTTTGTTTGTATACATACAGTTATATCAGCACTTTTTTCATGAAATGAAAGTACCAGTATTTGCAGTTCTTGGCTGTAGGTGTAAAGTCATATGGTTTATTGTTTAACAGGAGGCACAGAGGGTGGACCGTACAGTATAAACAATGGATTTAATAGAGAATTAACACACAATGCTGCATCTTTCATCAGCCATCTGCAGCAGTGATATTTTTTACTCCACTATCTGATTTAGGTATCCATTGAAGAAGTTAAATCTTCTTGTCTTGTGGTTCATGACCACTGTAAGGATACTCATCTCTAAGTAGAGCTTCAGGGTATGTTGAATTTTCTTCATGTGTACCCCCAGGGACAAACATCTATATCTACACTTCTATAATGAACCAGCATGAGTGTGTGTTTAAAGCTTGGGCTAACATTATACCCATGTGTGAAAGTGTCTCTTTCTTTTATAATCCGGGATAATGTAGTATTTGTTTCTATTTGACTTAAACTGAGAAGTGCTTACACACATTTACCTTCTCAGCTCCTTCAGTTTTATAAATCTGTTTCACCGAATTAGTCAGAGAGATTTGAGCGTCTCGGGATTCATTTTAACAGCTAAGTCTGCACAGATGAAGAAACTGATCCTCTAAAAAGTCCCAAATCCCTGTTAAAATGCTCAAGTAATCTTCCTTGAGCCTGTCAAATATTAACTGAATATTTGAAGCCTTGAATTAGTTGTTATATGATTTCAGATTTTTTTAAAACAAGAGGACATCTTGGAGAATAATTTCTTTTATTTCTGGCTGATATATTTTATATTTTTCTCTGATGTAATTCAAGCCCATAAAGATCAGTCAAAAAGGGTAAAGCGATTTAGTCGAGATATTTTTCGTGCTAAAATGAAAGTCAAACAAAAGGCATAAAGTGATTTAAAGCCACTGAGTCAGGCGTTGTATTCCCTGTGTGACTTTCTATTTGAATAAAATCGAGGATCAGCGATTTGTCTTAATGAGCTTGGGTACGACAAAGAGTGGGTTTACTCAGAGTAGCTCCCCTGCTGAGAAAAGTGTAATGTCCTTGGGTGAAGAATAGCTTTAATGCATGATTAACAATACTCCCGCTCATTCATATCGCACTGTGGGTTTTGGCGGTTCATATTCAGGTTGTGGCAGGTCTTGTTTCTTCTCTGACTCTGGTTTTAATGGGAAGTATCTGGATGTGTGTTGCACCAGACACAGGAGATAAATAACTGAGACAATAATGTGCTGAGGAGCTGTAATGCATCATAACACAAGTTCCCCCACTCTTAAAAGCCCTAATCTATTTCACCCCAAACCCTTCCCCTGTGTCAACGCAGCCATTAGTCTCAATAAGCACCGACAAGGAGAGATGTTCGCCTATTTGTGGAGGAGAAGTCAGCGCTCCCTTTAAACAACCACATGAGTTTTTAAAGCATGAGTCAGCGTCAGCATCGCCGGGCTGGTGAGTTAGTTGATGCTCCTGAAGTAAAATGTCCCAGGGGGATGTTTCCTATAACTGTGTTTTAATAAGAGAAACTTTTCCACTTTCACTCAGCCGAATAAATTCAATGATCACCTCGTTTGTCTATCGCAGGCCGATGAAAAAATGATTACAGCCACGCCTGTTTCCATTACTTTCATTTTGATTCCACAGACGCAGGTTAAGACTCATGAGCCTGTCGTCCCCGAGCTGAGCCATCGACCGATTCTGGGAGGATTTCTTTGCGTATTTTTTTCCTTCTGTCATTTGCAATTCCATAAAGTCCCAAAACGTGGTGCATCCTGCTTTCTATTCAATTCCAGCCTTACCCTTGGCCTGATTTAATACTGTTCTGTTGATATATGCTGTATGTCTGCTCTCAGCGGCTCCTAGCTGTGAAGGGATTTACCTCTCAGGAATACTAAAGACCGACTTTACAGAAACCAAGTACCTCTATAGGGTACTGAGACGCAAAGTGGTTACGTCTTTTCCACTTGGTTATGCAGGTCCCACCTGCTGCTCTGTGGGTGGTTACAAAAGATGGGGGAGTGGGTTTCGAAATACAGAGACACGAGGAAGTTTTACTTTTGCATCCTTTAAAAGCAATCTAGAAATTAAAGCTTTTGGAGCTTTCTGTGGGGACTGGATCCTGTAGCCATGGAAACAAACATTTATATATTTAAAGTAAAACTTTAATACTTTGATCATGTGTATGTCATAGTAGGGAATTTGCAGCACTTACAGCTCCTGTGAGGATTTTTTAACAAGTTATAAAGCAGACTGAAATCATTACTGATGCTGCCATATGACCTAAAAAACAAACAGTCATCAGAGAGATGGTTGTTCATGCCTTTAGAATTAATCTTTTGCCTGTAAATGCTGCTGCAGGGTAGCCATCGGCCTTTTACTTGGTTAGGGTTTACACTCAGTGATGGGATTCTAGCTGGGGAAAAAGAGGGAAGAGATTTTATGGCAGACAATAAACTCACTTATTTACAGGACGAGATAAGCAGGGAGATCAAATGTGCAGCACTGTCGACTGGAGGTGCCAAAATAGACGTATATTGAGAGTTTAACACGGGAGAACTGAATCAAAGACAGTTGAAACAACAACTAGTGACAAAGTGAAACTCTTGGTACTTCCTAAAGCTCTTAAATGACATTTCCACGGTCCTCAGTTCTTGAGCTTGAGAAGAGAGAAAGGTTATATGAGGGGTAACAAGTGAGGACAGCAGTCTTTTCACCAACAGACACACCTCTGTGTAAAGTATCACATATATATGTGCATATACTGTATGTAACTGTTAAAGTCTGTCCATACATGTACTTATATGTTTTCAGCTCCTATGTACGTATGTTAAATTTGCGTTGAGGGACCAGGCCTGAAGAGTTAAACTTAGGAAACGGTTTGTTTTTTTACTGTGAACATCACTGGTGCATTTCCTGACCACTATACTGTATCTTTAATTTTTGCCGTGCACCCACAGCCAATCACACAGACACAAACACACCCCCTGGTTGAGAAGCGGCTGAAAAAAGGGTCAAGGATACATCCTTCAACCAGAGAACTGCTGTGTTTTACAGAAGTGACATCTGATGGCTTCCAGCAACCTCTCTAAAACCGAAGAGCGCACATCCATCTGAGCGCTCCGTCAAAGCGTTTAGTTTAAGTGGAAAACTCACCGCCTTTTCCACTGAGCCATCCTTGCCGAGTGTCACTTAACCTTCCCCAAAAAGGGTAAGGGCAGACATTAAGTAAACATAACTCGTAGAATGAAGTGCCTTTGAAAAAAGGGAGGCTCGACACACAGGAATATACAGGGCTCATCTCAGTCCTCTTTATCTCCCCCCAGCACTCACAACCACACATAGACACATGAAATATACCAACCAGTTTGGCGACATAGTTGACAACGAGCGAGTCAATCTTCTTCTTCCCCAGTCGCGGCAGGTGTCTGTTGAGATGCTCTCGGAGTTTGTCAACCGTCTGAAATTCAAGAAACAAACTGATTATTTCCCTTGCACTTGTGTGTGTGAATTTGTGTGTAGATGTGCGTGGCTTTGGCGTTTGTATGTTTAAGCATACTTTGCTGTGCACTCAGCTGGGTCAAATTGAGTTCACCTCAGATTTTCCCTCGACTACAGTGTCCTAAAATTGATTTAACCATGCAGGGGAAAAGGAGAAGAGAGGAGGGGCAGAAAAGAGAACAAAGGAAATGTGGATCTAAGAGGTGAAAACATGCAGAGGAAAGTAATAAACAAAAATGAAATAGCTTGAAGAACAAGAGGAAGAGGAGGAGGAGGAAAGGACTGAAAGAGCAGGGAAAGACAGGAGGGCTGGGTCGCTCTAAGAATAGCCAAGAGACTGCTAGCATCTAGCCTGAACTCCATTAAACTGAAGCTATCTGCTCTTTAGAAACTATGCTGAGTGCGGGGAAAACCGGAGGATATGAAATTGTCCATCAAACAGCACGCAGGAAGGGTAAAAAACTGCAGACAGGGACCTTAAAATGCCCTTTTTTTAAAGTGTCGACTCATCTGAAGCGTAACAGCAGTTTCACCTGAAAAGATGACTATGGAGAGAAAGCACCAGCTGTCAGCATTTCACTGTGGATCTTTAGTGGTCTATATATCAGCCCCCTGTTAGAGGAACAATCCACCTACAGCTGCTGCTTTAAGTCAACTATCGGCTTTACTTAATGCATCTACAGCGCAGGTCAACAATGAGGTGTTTTACTATGCCTCTTTTTTTTCATTATGCATCATCTTCTTCTTCTACAGTTGGTGACACTAAAGAGAAAATACACACACAGTTCAACAAAGGGACTGCTGTATCTTAAAAGCAACATCCAAGGCTCTGTCATTATTTTCTATTCCGCTCCTGCTCTTTGATTCTGACTGGCAGGACGGGAACTAGTGCCTTTTAGGAAAGTTGAAGGACTTTCTGTTATTAAAACACCGGCATGTTTTGTCCTGACTGACTGACTGACTGATCGACTGGTCCTTTACTTGAATGATTCATTCGGCTGACGGTATTCAGCAGGTGACGCTTTCAAGGTTTCCAAACCCTTCACAAGTCTCTAAAGCACCACTTTAATTTGAGCTTGGATTGTAATGCTACAATATGGCCGTAAGTATGTGGACACCCAGACAGTCTGGCACAAACCTTCACAGCTACTTTTACGTTGAAAAATAGAGGAAATATAATAGATTTTGTCACTATATACAGGGTAAGGCTTGCTGTTTAACCATCTTTCTGACACGTTTCTTAGCATATCTACAAACTTCCTTAAACCATGAATTTGGCACTAAGTGTTGACTTTTTAACCAGTTCCATCAAAACAGTAAGAAATGTCTTATTTCCAACATTTAACCAGCTCATTATTTATTTTAATCATAAATATATAACTAAAATCAGTGGTATAGAGCGTTTTTTTGTAGTTATGGTATCAGACGTTTGCATTGATAAGCATCCACGTACTGAAATTAAAGGGATATTCCGGCATAAATTAACTTCTTTATGGAGATGCAATCAGAGCGAGAAGCTAAGGCAGAAGAACTACCGCGTCTGCAGAGCAAAATGATTAATATGGTGATTATTACTTCAAGGAAATGATGAAGTAATGATCATAAATGTTCTTCCTTGAGCTACGTCACCCCGCCTCAATCGTTGATGGACTGGTCGAGGTCTCGCTTCAAACAAGCGACTGCTGGAAGAGAGTAGGCGAGTTGTATTTGAAATCATAATCACAGCTTTTACTGTTCGAAATAGGCGTCATTGTATGTTCTGTTTGATTTAGTTTTTCCTGGTTTCGTGATTTTCAGAGTATTTTTTTTTGTATTTATCCAAGTGTTTCTGTTTCCTTTTGTTCCTGTCCTGTGACGTTTCAGTTTGTGTCTGACCCCGTTTCCCTCATGTTCTCAGTGTTTTATCCTTTATATCAGTTTTCAGTGTTTCCTGTTTTATTTTGTAGTAGTTTCTAGTCTTGTTTTACTTCCTCAGTTTTCCCTCCTCTGTAATTGTCTTCACCTGTGTCTCAGTGTCTCACCTGCCTCTCATTGCTCGTTTCCCTGTGTTTATATATAGTCCTTATCTTCCCTTGTTTCTGTGTTGGTTCATTTTGTGTTGCATGCTGATGTCTCTGTGTTTATATCAGTGTCCCCAGTGTCTCCTTGTGATGTTTTTTCTCCCTGTGCCTTTTGTTGGATATTTCGGTTCTTTTGGTCGGACAATTTAGAAAGTACGTTTATGTTTCTTTTCTTTTTGGTTCCTTTTTAAATTAACCTTTTTTTGTTCTGCATTTTGAGTCCTTTCCCTTTTGTTTTTACTCCGGACTTTGACAGTCTTGACAATACGGTTTAACTCCAAAGTGTGAAGCCAGCTAGTGCCTCAAAACAAGCAGAGACTCCAGAGGAGCCAAATTGACACACATCTAAATTTCATTACAGGAGCTGAAATATCACAGTTAGTGTTGCATGTGAATTTACCTAAAAGTGGTTGGTTTTAGGGGCTTAGTGGTTGCATTACCAGATTGTAGCTTTAACCAGCCTTCTCATCAACACCTCATACTGGAAATGAAGGCATAACTGAAGCAGTGGTGCCAAACACTGGTGTCTGCAATAGAGCACTGTAGTGGCTGCAGGGATTTAATGAACATTTAGCCAGAAGAGCATTAGTGGGCATTATCTGGAGTTGTAAAAGGCTTTCAAGTTTTAACTGTGAAATGTTTGGGCTTGTCTTTAGCCTTAGCAACATGAATACAAAGGAGAACAACGCTTTTTTTTTATTGAGACGGAGACAGCCTTTGCAACTTAATACTTGTATATTGCTGATTTTATAGCCGCGCTAAGTGCAGGATATTTCTTTACAGACCTGGCGCTGTGCATAAGTCACCGTGCCATGAAAGAGGAAACAGCATTCCCTTAGTAACTTTAGGACTAATGGATCAAAAGACATAATTGAATAAGGGTCTATCCATATGGAGAAAATGCTTTTGACTGTGTTTATATGTCACATCCATTGACTGGTTTTAGTGTCTGTTTCTCTCACCAGGCCTATGAGCGCCCTCTGTTGTTGGTCCTCCTCCTGGAAAAGTGGCACAAGCTTCTTATCTGGAAGAGACCAGGCAAAAGTGAGTGAGCACATAAAAGAGGCGTTTGAAGAGACCTTTGATGCTGCATCTACACTCCAATGAATCCTATCGGTAGCCTGAGGTGTGTCAGTGCAGTAACATCATTAAACGGGCCATCAGGAGGAATCTGAGAAACCCAAACTCTGACTTGTTTATGACTTTAATAAAATAAAGACTGAATCTAAGGTATTAATGGATTCTTGCAGGCGAGGGAATCGCTTTAAAAATACATCCAGAAGTTTGGGGGTTATGAGGCTGCAATCCCGCTGGGTGTGTGTGAGAGTGCATGCAGTTTTTCTTATGTCAGCCACAAAAAAGTGGACCAAGCTCAAGACTGGTTACTGTAGATAAATTATTACACACACACACACACAAAGAGCAGTCTGTTTGATGTTCTAGTGTTGTATGCGACGGATATATAAAGAGCTAGCAGGGTTAAACTGAGCTGCCAGATTCATTGTAAGCCCGTCAGCTGTTCGAACGCATCTTCCATTTCCATTTTACATATCTAAAACAAAGAGTTAGTGTGTTTATTCTTCTTTCTTACATCAAAAAATGTTTGAACATAAATTATTCCATTAAATATTTATTTTAACAGAAATTATTAATAGGTTTTCCCTGTTTCTTCAGCTGCTTAGCATCAGCTGACTTTTTTAGCATGGATTTGTTCCAAAAAAACAAAAGCCAAAGCAGAAAATGTTATAGGTGTGTGAACAGCTCTGATATATGAATATAAATAGATTATTTGGTTGTTATATAATTTTATAATATAAATAATTAAAATTCCCTCATAAATAGTTACTTTAAATCAGGAGCTGTTGATCTTTTGCCTGCAGGTCTGACTGCTATCATAATAACCACTTTATTTATAAATCATGTAACTATTACTCCTGACACATCTTTAAGAGGTCACATTTTTACATCATTTAAATTCTGTTCCAGTTGGACTCACTTCATGTATCAAGTACCAAATGAACTAAAAGACCATGAATGAGATTCATATTTCTGCCTCAATCTCTCTCTTATCAATAGTGACTCTATGACCCCCTGAGGTCTCCTGTTGTTCTCCGTTTCTCCACCAGGTGTCTTTCCTCTTTCTCCATTCACACACCTGTTGCCAATCAGCCAATCAGTTTGTTCAGTCTAACTCGAAGCTCATTCTTACTTTGGTCATCATTTCTTGCCTCATCATCACTCTGCTCTATATCTTTTGTTTTGTTTCGTAAATCCTGGATCCGCTTGTCATCCCATTTGTTTGCCTTCCTTTCTTCCATACCTGCCAGTAAGTCAACCATGAACATTTTGTTTCTTAAATTTTCATTTTGAGTGTGTGCATTTGGGTCTCATCTTTACTCTCTGAGAAAATACAGGTGATAAAAAAAGTTTCGGTATTGATAAGAAAAAGTTAAATGTACTTGAAAACAATCCCCATGTTTTGAGCTGTGTCTATGTTTGTCAAACATGGATGCAAAAGCTAATATCCATCTTTAGTTCCTCATCTAAGCAGGTCATGAAACACTTGATTGGGACAGCCTCTAATAAAATGTCTGTCATATGTGATCGGAATTCAGCCTATAAAATGTATATAAACGGTATTATGTTAGTCTGCTTGTAAACATCTGCTTTTGGGTCCTACCTTCCTTTCTAGCTAAAGCTAACATCTCTACTGATCTCCACATTTAATCAGGTGATACAACACTTGTTTGCTGCTCCTGCAAATTGAAGCCTACAATAACAAACATCAGATATATCCCTCAAATCTTACTGTAACCATCTGTGCTCGGGCTCTGAAGAGATTTTTTCGAAGAGATTAAAGATAGTCAAGTTAGCTTGTATTGTGCTCTTGAATATAAAAACACAACAATCATGATGTACTTGTTTTTAACCCACAGAGACCTTTCAATGTACCCCCGAGCAGGTGTTATAAAACTTGTTGGAAAACCACTGGAGCGGCTCTTTCTCAGGTGAGCATATTCTCTATGTTTTTCATATGCCTGTGAATGTGTGAGATCATCCGTGAGAGTTAACTGAGGTAAAGGAAGGTCTTGTGTTGTGGATGGCTGATTACATCTTCACTGGAGCCATTAGAGAGTTAGATATGAAGAAAGGAAAAAAGCACCTAACTCCCCTCTGTTATATAATCGTAGCATTCTTCAACCCGCTCTTTTTTTTCTTTCTACATCTCCCCCTCTGCTCTCTTCTCTCTTTCTTCTCCAGCCTCCTCCTCTCTCCTCCTCTCTCCTCTTCCACAATAAATTAGTGTGGTTGTTGTGTTTAGCTAAATTCTCCAGCGGCCAAGAAGTATGTGACCTCAGTAGCACACACAAACACACTAGCTTCCACTTTGGAGTGCAGTGCTGTTATTTACAGCATTCACAGTTTGTGTGTTGTGTATATGTGTGTGTTCAGCATCTATAGATTTATACTCAAGTGTTTGTGTGTGTTTGGTGTGCCCATGCGGACTTACCCAGACACCAGGTGTCCACCATTGATAGAACTCTACAAAAAAAAAAAGAAGAAAAGCTTTGACTGTGAAAACAATCCCTCCAGCCAGCATTATAATAAGAGTCTTACTTTTATGCTGTAAGCCGAGGCAGTAAAAAGCTGGACTGCTGCAGTCGGCAGCAAAAACTTATCTTTACTATGTAAAGCTAAAGTTTGAAAGCAGGTGCTGGAGTTTGGCCTCAGGGAGGATAATTATGAACAGAAAAAGCTGTTGGTTTGATCATGAGTACAAACAGAGGAGAAGTATGAGTAATTCAGAGCAGGTTTACATCTGTGGTGCATTTAGGTTCATACTGATCATCAAGCCGTTTGACCATGAACTGTTCAAGAGCTCTGTTTGATTACATGTGGAGATTTCAGAGTCAAAGTGTAACACGTTAACTCGGCGAGGACAAGGTTTCGTCTTTGTTGCTGCTGTTTTGAGAACACATCACACTGACTTTGGTTATGGAAACTTATGCCATCCACCATCCTGATGTGCATTAATATTCATCACAACACACTGATGAAGAGTAAGAGGAGGCATACTTATCAGGGCTCCCAACAGGTCATGAAAATTAAGGAATGAGCTCATTAAGGCTCCAGACAGGAAGCATCGAATGATCTGATTATATTTTCAGACAATCTGAATCGAGGCAAGTGTCGACTTGATCCATAAAATACTAACACTAAAGTTTTTAAAACACGAGTTAATCATTTGATTGCATTATTGTTAACGCGCTTCAGCCTTGTGAAGGTAACGGGCTGTCCGTTCAGATCATCCAAATATCAATAATGAATAAATACAACTCAAAAGTGTTGCTCTGAAGTGTATTCAAAGCAAAATTTCAGGCACTATTGCTGCACTACACCTTCCAGAAACTACAAAAAGACGATGAGAGCTTGCCAAACATACTGTACAATCCTGCAGATGTCAGTGCTCGAACATATGGCTGCCAAAAGTCCTCTTCAAAACCCCATTTACTTCTGTTGGAGTACGTTGTGATCAAAACTACAGCACAGGCTGTTTGCAGGAAATAATTCAGGCTTTTTAAAATTATGAAACGCGTTCTTTTTCCAGATTGAAATCACCATTACAAACTGGTGGACTTATTGCCAAGTCCCCCGGAGGCTTTAGTTATTTTTCTCTGCTGGGAAACAAATGTAATTAAAAAGGACGGCTCAGACTGTTCAGCAGTTTTGTAGCTATTGTTGATTTCAAGAGTCCAAATTAAATACTTGTCCTGACCTGATTATTTTTGAAAATAAATTACAGTTTTAACAGTCAGACTTCGAAAGGCATCAGTTTTTGCACTAATGGGACGCTGAAAATAAATGCAGGTGTGGACACGGCTTTTGTCCTTCTGGTATTTAGGTCTCTGTGTAAAAATTTGTACTTCTTGTCGGACAAAACTCCGGTGGGAGGTGGACCTACTTTTTTGTGTTCTCCTCCAAGTGACTCATTTGGCTGGTCGGTCTCCTCTCGGACATCTGAAACAAGCAGAAACTCCATGTAAGGACTGAAACGTTTCCCCATCAGTTCGAGGCAAAAACTCTTTTATAAACCCATTTTGCTTCATTCTCCACTCTAACACATTGAAACAACTACCTGCCAGTGCTGTGTGTTTAATTGGGTTGTGGTTTGTGCGAAAAAATAGTATAGTTATCCAACAAAAACTCACCAGTTTATACCACTCAGCTTGTATATGTGAGGTTCTGTATCTAGGGTTAGGGACGGCATCCAGATACTTTGTCCTGTCGGTGTTCCACTGCAGCTCCGACCAGAAACCCAGGAGACTTCTGGCCTGCATGCACACAAAGGCACACAACCCCACAGTGACACAGCAAGGACATTGCTTTAAAAAAAAACCCTGAGGATGACTACATCTGAGCTGCATTCAAGCACGCACAGTTTGTGTCAAATCACACTGTTTTGCATTTAAATGCTTTTTCTACCTTTTTTGAATGAATTCTGCTGATGTTATTTCCCAACACAGCATTACAAAGTGCACCTACAGCATGTTTTATGTTATGTAACAAACACAGTTTTTAATCCCAAGAAAGCAAGCTTAATTTAGTTTGATTTACCGCCTCTGGAAAAAAGAACATAAGACCGAACTAGAGCTGTGATAGCACGCACAACAATCCTGAATTTTAATAAATGACAGATTTATGTTGTAAAACATGCTTTAAACTCTGAAAAAAGTTACCTTGTCTTTGAATACAGATTCAGTGTGGAAGTCAGTGGTACATGACACACCGGGGACCTCTGACAGACACACTGGTATCTCCTACAACACAAAGAAGCAGACATGCATGCAGTAAGAAATACAGCCGCAAGTCTGTCCTCTATGCATGAACATCCATTTTTGATGGAAATGTTAATGAGTGCATGTGTGTATATGTTTGTTGGTACCTTCTTATCAAATACAGATGAGTAAGGCAGGATTTTATCCAGGCTGAGAGACTTCTCATAGCTTATTCTGTACAAAGAGGCTGTTCGTGTGAGAGAGGAGGAGAAAAAACAGGCTTTATTCATAAATCACAGTTATGCAGAATTCATAAAACGACAACTTAAAGACAAACAAAGCACTTCAGCAAATGTTTAGCCCGACAGCAGGCTCTATAGTGTTGAAATTAAAATAACTTTTATTGTACTTTATAATTACAGAGCATGCTATATTAGTTGCAGAATTTGGGGTATCTGAGGCGAGCCTGTGTCCTTCTTTTTGAGTAAGATCCGGTGGTGCTTTTTTTTTTCCAGGGATACCATGCTGCTGGCTATGAAGGCTTAGCTGCCGAGAAACAGAAAGAAATCCACAAATCTGGTTCACAGACGAGTCAAAACAAAGAATCAGCCTTTTGCAAATCTTGGGTGTTTGCCGAACTGTTCATCCTCACTGTCAGGTTTTCTCATATGAAATACAGAATAGACATCCAAAGCTGGATGCTGTTTTTGCGTGTTTTTTTTTTTTTTTCAGAGCTGCTGTACTGTAGTCGGAGTTGGACCTGGCGGAGTTGGACATTGAGAATCTCAGAGCTTTGTGTGTGTGTAGTTCTTGTTTTCGTGTAAAAGAAAGTGAAACAGAGAAGCCGCAGTTTAGTATGCTGGACTTGTGGCTGCTTAACTGTTCTGCCAGTTTTCAATAAGGGATAAACCGGGAACACAACTTGTTTTATTCACACTGTTGTCAGGTTGTTCACAGCATGGTAAGAATGATGTTTTCATGTTTATTGATAAATGCAGATTTTAAGGGGAAGGCTCTCCCACTTACAGATTGTCAAATGATGTTTTTCTTGGCTTCTGTTTTAGTAGTGAATGAGCTTTCTGCCTATGTTTTTTTTCAGCTCTGGCATCTGCAGCAGCACCTGTGACTGTAGGACAAAGCTTCCTGCCTGACTTTTAAATCTCCCTCCATACCGAGTCTCTGGAGGAAGAGTTAAAATCTCCAGAGAGACCACGGCTTGAAGAAACAGCCTGCCAGTCAATAGTACGTTTTCTTTTTCATACTTTTATTGTCACTACTGTGAGTTAAAGCTGCTCAACTCTTCATTGTAGCTAATGTTAATATCTGTGTGATCAGCTCATTGTTAAAACTGTGCTGTTACTCCTAGCAGCACACATATTTGATCATATTACTGGACTTGTCGTTATGAATCTGTAATATCTGTTGCTTTGGTTTTGTTGATGCTTTTATTATCTTATTTGTTTCTGGATCTTGTTGCAAATTTGCAGCAATTTTGTCCGGTCTCTGTAAATAATATAAAAAAAAGGTTACGTGGGGTTCAAAGCAAGATTAGAGAGTAAATCGTGTTAGTAGTTTCACATAGCTATCGTTTTACTCATCTAGATCACCATGGTGACTTATTATAAGCTTACAACCGAGCAGGAACCAGACTAATTGGTTGAAACTGGCTGTAAACGAAACCTTTTTTATTTATTTATCCTGCTGATGTTCTCTGCATCCTTAGCTGATGAACAATCTTGGAGTTTTTTTATATGTTAAATCACACAGCATGATGGTGTGCAATTACAGTGGCACATACTGTAAGCATCAAATCACTGCAGCCCAAAGGAATTGAATTCATCTAGAAACATTTGGTCATGATTATAATCCACGCCCTCCGTCTGTTTCACCTGTCTGCTTCAGGTCAAATAAACACTCAATCGCAGCAGATCATCTGTGTTGTTAAAAAAAAAAATGGAAGGGCACAGCATCTCAGAATTGCATCAGATTTTTTAAGGCTTCAGCTTTTGTAGAGCTCACTGACAGGCAGCCTGGGTATATTGAATATTACATGGAAAACAGCTAAGATAAAAAAACCTGAACTCAGTGTTGAGAGGCTAAAAACGTGTGTTGCCATGTAAAGTTGCTAAAAGGTAGAATTCAAGTCGATTTTGACAGAGCTGACACTGTTTTGTGGCACATTTGTTCCTGGACCTAACCCTCATATTACACTAAGTTTATGTTTGTTATATAAAAGACGAAAATGATGAATATTTTAACCTTGATGGGCGTTTTTGCCTTTAAATTATAATTATAGACAATTTTACCGATCTACATTATTCAGTAAGTAGAAACACTGGTACTTATTTTGGGCTCTCTTTTAGTGTATTTCAGGGTTTAAGTGACAAATAGGTCCAATAAGTGAGCACCCAATACTCATGTTTTCTTTATGAGGTAAACATAATTATATTAAAACACTTAAAAGCACCACTGGTATTAATAAAGACTGCATATGTTGTGCAGGTCCTTTTATTTACGTTAATGTGTGCTTTAAGTTTCTCCAACATTTAATAATCTGCTCTCGAGGGAATTGTAAATGTAAAGGTAGCTTTCTACAAGTATTTCCTTTTCTCTCATGCAGACTTGAAAATGTGATGATGTCTGTTTCCAGGCCAAACCATATTTTGCAAACTGTTCCTTGCATGCTTAAAATAACTAAATTCATCCTTTAATCTATCTTTCCAGACCCCACACTCTACGCCTGGCACAAGTCAGCAAGAAGCAATTTGAAAGCCAAACAGACTTGATGAAAGACCTCCGTTTTGTGTAGACAAGATGTAAGCATTTCTGGTAACGACACACACACAGAAGGAGACATAAAAAAAAAAAGGCAAAGAGTGCAGCTCGACTCTGAAAAGAAAGAAAAAGAAGTGATACTCAGAGACTTTTGTCCCCACGCTTTTGCTGAAACTGACCCAGAATGAACTCCTGGATCTGATCAAAGGATTCAAAGGCGTTCACGTTGTCACACAGCCACTCAATAACCTGGAGGCAGGGTAGAAACACACAGGAGACAGGGTGTTACAGCAGCGGGACACAGTATAACCACCTTGTAATTTAGACGGTCTAGTTTTTAACTTTAGTCTAGCCTTTGTTATCTAAAAGAAACATTTGGTGACAAGGGTCTTGAAGGACCCCCTGACTTCCCCATAGCATGCTTAAACTGGGTCACTGAAGGCTCATTACATATTAAACTAAAATTGCACTCATGTATTTGCTAAATATAAACATCTCAGTGTTGTAAACGAGAGCACAACACCGTGCTGTTACCATGGCTGTCACTTCTTGTTTAAAAAGCGGATATCTTGCTTGATGAAGGAATAGTTCCCACTACAAACTGTGATTTTTGGACGGATGTAGCTTCAACTGCTTCACTGATATTTACATTAAAGAAACATTAAACATTTATAATGTCGAAGATAGTCTCTATTAAACTCAAAGATACTGTTCATCCCAGCAGAAAACTCTTTCTCCTGACATTTTCTTGACTGTTTGAAGAAATATGTCTTTGTCAATGTTAGTTTGAATCTCTTCTTCAAACAGTGGATATCATTGGCGTTAGACGAAGACAAAGAAGAGCGATAAGGAAGAAAAGGACCCAATTTGCACAGTGTTCTCATGAAGTTACAAACGTAGTATATTCAGGAGCTATCACCTTTGATAAAACCGCTGCTTTTCGTGTCTCTGGCCCTATTAACGGAGTCGACAAAGAATACAAAAGTTCTGTGTGGTGTCCGATTTCCCAGGGCAAGCTGCACTAATGAAGCCGGTGACTCATTTGACCTCTAAAGAGTGAATTTATTACAATCTATCAGAGCAGGTGGAACATCTTAATTTAAGTATACTCCTAATAGAGTCTGAGTCATTTGAACATTGAGCCCAAACAAAATATTCATCCATTTTTTTTTATCATTGTTTCCGCCTGTCTTCTCTTCACTTCTGTCTACAGCAGCCTGCTTTCTCTTTCTGTGTCTTCTGCCCTCCTTAAGCTCACTTCCAACTCAAGGTTGACACCTATTGAACTGCCACAGAAGTGCAGGAAGTGATTTAAATGAGGAACTATTACTGATTTTCTGACTTGAACGACACCATTAGTTATTCATTATTTCAAGTTCTTCAAATAAATGAAGACAATGTTGTATAGAAAAGTGTAATTATCAGCAAAAATGTCTGTTTTTATGTTTTATATGATGTCTGGGACTTTTATTTTTGTTGAAAAATGGCTTTCTGATGCTGATTCTGGTTTGTACATCTCCTTTGTCCTCCTGACACTTTTTCTACCTCTATTTGTACCTTCAGCTCCAGGTTTGGGTCGTTTCCCATGTAAACCAGCAGACAATGGAGGGCGGCCAGGCGCTGAGGTTCCGTTTTGCTGCTGGGACACCTTGGGTGGAGGTGACACACAGCAAATTTACTTTTATACAACATAAATATACACTCAAAAAATGGAGGCACAGAAGCAGATGCACAGGCAGAGAGCCAGCAGTCGGACACTGTGGTGTGATGTATGTGCTGTTTGAAAGGTTAAAAAATGAATAACTGAATACAGGAAAAGAATAAAAAGAGCTCCAGAAAAATTCAGCATGAAGGCACTGATGCATCTTTATCGGGCAGATTGGTGCACACTGGCAAGGATTCAAGTTCAAGCTAATGTTTATTCTAAAAAGACTCTGCAGGTGTGTGCGAAGAAAAAAAAAATCCTCTTGCTCTCTGCCTGTGTGCCTGTTCCCACCTTTAATTTATTTCTCCTCCTTTGTGCATGTAAAGTACACAAATATCCCATTTCTGAATCCAGTTTTGAATCACTCTCACCTAGAGGGGGTGTCTGATCGCAGTATCTGCAGCAGGTAGGCAGAGCTGAGTTCAGCAGAGTGGATCCTCCCAGTGGCCCGATCCAAAAGTTTACCATTACGCTCTTCCTCTGAATGCAACACTGTGATGTTAGCCGACTGACACTGCAGGCCCAAGTCTACATCAGAACCTTGAGTTTGTTGAAAGACAGAGACTTAATAAGACTTGTAAATCTGGCTTTATATGCAGGGGAAACTGTAACATTTAGGAGGAAAAAGTTCCGCAGAGGAGGAAAGAAAATGTAAACAAACTGTTCGGCATACATCAGTCATCCTTGGCTTGTCTTACCCGAGAGAAAGAGGGAGTGACAGAGCATCTCCTGCTGCCTGGTGTTGATACAATGCAGGAAATAACCCTGCAGGTACGCCAGGATGTAGTAACCTACATACAGAAATAACACAGCCGTCACTGTCAGAGCATGTGTTAGTATTCAGTCTGCAACGCCAGACATTTATTGAGCTGCATGAGGACACACACTCTTGTTTGTATTTATGTATCTGCCTTGAATGCACAAGTAGAGGATGTATTTTGGCAGAGAAACTCAGGACTTGGTTGAATTTGTAAAGATTTTGATGGGGGTGTGTGCAGTGACCTATAGGAATGAAGAGCGGATGGTGCTGTGTGGCTTTCTGCGGAGACTCCTCACTGCCCAGAGAAACCCTGAAGGTCTTGCTGCAGTCTGCAAAAAAAAGTAAGAAAATCTCACTTTGTACCAAATTGTGTAATACACAGAAACATGAGTAAAGAGACTGTAAAATATAAAGAAATGCAGACCTTTGTGAACTAAAACCACAGTGTAGACGACTTCATGTTTGTCTTTGATTGGTTGGCTGTAGCAAACACACATGCTTCCTAAAGAAGACCAGAGAACAGCACAGGTTTAGGATGCTCACAACAGTTACAGTGTGTTGTTTATGATTAATGATATGTTACATAATTAGTGGCCCATTAGTGTAAAAAAAATGAGTTAAGATTAATAAAGCGCTTTAAGGTGTTGAACTCAGTGAAAGAGGTGGTTTAAGGGAGACTGTGATTTTGTTATTGGTTAGAAATTAAATATTCAATCTTAAGTTCAGTGAAAGATTCAAAAAGCAGTTCCTAAAGCGAGGGTGGATCTACTGCTATCTGAAAAAATGATCAAGAAAATGTAATAAATTCTACATTTGGATCCTCTTGCTTTATGAGAAAATGATTATTTTGGTATTAAACTGTAGCAGCAGTCTTAGTATAATGCCACCCATCGAAGATTGATTTTCTACTGCCCGGTGCTCAAGCATAAAATCCACTGATTTGAGAATTTGTTGTGTTAATAAATGTTGCATAATAAAGTAGAGCAGATTATTTCTGTGGTGTCAGAGTTCTGCTTGGACTTACTTTCTTGTTTCACAAATAGAAATGAAAGACAAGCAAACACAAAGAATTAGTCCTGCAACTCCAAAAATGTCAGTTCATGTGCATCTTGTGTTAGAGGGAAAAGGCAGTGTGTGTGAACATGGTACCTATTTGGTTTGTGAACACTTCCATCCTAACAAGCTCCTTCTCTGGTCTCTCCGTGTGATAATGGTCAAAACCCAGGTTTACAAATCTTTTGGGAACGCACACACACACATATACACACACACACACACACAAACACAGATGTAGGAATACAACACACTTAAAGCTACACAACACAATTCATTTTAGCTATTTGCAATACAGAAACATTGTATGAATGCATCAAACAAATTTATAAAACCTATAAAGGAAGACACCTGTAAAGCTTCATAACAACCTTTATGAGTGATAATAAGCATTCATAACAGTATATAGCAATGTTTAATAAGTCTTATATGCAGAGAGCATAATGCTTAATGAAATAATGGTTTATAATGTATTACGAATACAATGCAAAAGAAAAACTGCAACTTTTAAATTCTGGGTTTATAAAAACATAACTCTTATAATTTAACCTAGTAAAAAAAGGTTAATTAAGTCCTCATTCTATGTGTCATTAAAAAAAGAAAAGTCATATTTTCTGTGGTTATCAGTTTGTAAAATGTCTTCTTAATACTCACAACATGCTGAAGCCTGACTTTGGGTACTTAAAGTAAAGTGACAGCACTGTGTGATGAGATCCTTTCGCATATTTAGAAGAACTCAAAAGCAGAATTTTTGTAGCTTTAAATGAAGTGTTAACAAAAATACGTGACAAAAAATGATCAAAATGATTCTTCTAAAAACATTTAAACTTTTTTTTCCAACTCTTTCAGAGCATTTTTTAAAACCTTCTCGGTCTAAAACATACAAAAGAGCAATCAAAATCTCAAAGAACAGCTATGTGTACAAAAAAACGGTTCATAATAACTCCAAGCTTTGGTTTTTATTTTTATGATTTTCAGAATACTGTAAGAGATTGAGCTTTTGTTGTTCAGACATGCAACATCAGTGTCAGAAATATTTTAATCAAAAAGCCTTCTTTGAAATCTTTGAATTTTACTCAGTGCTTCATTCATTTCATGTATTTATTGTTTCATATCATTATTACCATTATTATTGTTGTTTTTGTTGTTGTAATCATTACCTATAAATAAAAGTTTTTAGAATTATAATGTTATTAAACCATGAATCCAAAGATGCTGTTTTTTTGTTTTAGTAGAATACATTATTAACCATACCTTTTAATAAAGCATTATACTCTCTGCTTTATAACACTTCATCAACATTGCTATAAGCTTTTAGGAATGCTTATCATAACTCACAAGGATTGTTATAATGCATTTGAGGCTTTATAAAAGAGTTAATGATCTATTATAAGAGGTGAGTTCACATTACGTGTTATAGTATCTGCAGAAAAGAAACATGTTTCTACATTTTAAGTGTCTTGATAGTTTGTACTGTTGAGTAGATGTCGCCTTACTTGACAGTGCGGAAAGGATTAGCAGGCAACTCTAATGGGAGTTCCAACTACAGGAGCGCAAAAGAAGCATAATTATAATTTATTATCAAGTCTCATTGTGATTCTGTGCACGAGACTGTAAATCTGATAAATGACGAGGCAAAACGATGACTTACCACAGTTTCGCAGTTACGGCTGGGGTAAAACTGAACACATCGAATCAGGAACTTCCCCTGTGAAAGAAAAGATGTGGATTATTTGTCTGGTGGAAATACATTTGTGCAATCTGAAACAGTTTCTCCTTTGAAGCAGGGTTGAATATGATTTAATGCAATGTCCTTTTAAAGTGTAGGCGTGCATACATCTTACATTATGTGTGATATAGTAGAGTCTCTGTGTGTGTCCGTCCCACTGGACCCAGTTAAAGTCTTCCACTATTCGCTCTGCAGTTTTGGTCAAACGCTCAGGATTTGCCATCACCTGGTTCAAATAATTGACACGAGGCAGTTCATTTTCAATCAGACAATGAGGTGAAATAATATAGTGTAGCTCTATGTAATGTAGATATGTTTCTGTGTGGATATGCATATAATGAACAAATGTGTGCAACCTTTCAGATCATTTACATCCCAAACCCTCAGTGTAGTTTGTAGTTAATCTACTTAGCTTCTATCTGCAGACAGTCCCCTCAAAGGAAGAGCTTTCTAAGTGATGCGTAGTTCAACATACCACTCTATAACCCTCCTGTTTTGCCAGCAGGACATGGTAGAGATCCACATCTGAAACACACAGAGTTGCATCACTAACCCATTTTCTGAAGTTTCACTGGATGGCGCAGATTTTTGTGTTAGACAAGCAAAAGAGCACAAAGACTGACTGACTCACATCCGTCTTCAGTCAGCAGCAGCAGGTGGCTCTCCAGCACTGATCTCCTGTCAGTTTCTGAATTGAGGAACTGGAGAAAACATTAGTCAGCATGTGAATGGGGAGCTACGAACAATAATCAGATGACAGGCCGCTGATTTTTGTATTCAAGTGTGACAATCTTGGCCTTTTTAAAAAAGGAAAAAAATGGGATTTAAGCAACAAACTTTAAGGAATACATCTGCAGTGGCATAATAAAATATATGTTCAGAATATTTCTCAGATGATAATAAAAAGACACAACTGAAAGAAAAGAGACAGATTAAAAAAACTGCACTTTCAGCTGGCTTGTAAAATAAATGAGCTGTGGCACTTGTACACTATAAGCTCCAATGGGTCAGAACTGCAGCATCAGCTTGTGGCTGCAGTAAAAGAAAAAAAATCTTCATGAAACAGGCCAGGACAAATCACATAAACTGTACCTGCACTTTGACCCTGCAGTCCACAGCTTTGAGGACTTTAGTGTTGTTGATGGGGTGGATCTCAATCAGGAGGGTGAGACACTTAGATACTAAAAAACAGACAGAACGTGAGAGGAAGTTCAATTTGATTTTCGATAATTCAATATTTAATAGTTGAATCAATCATAAATGGTGTGTAAATGTAAAAAAGATGAGGATATTACTTGGTTTTAAGCGTTCCTCTCCTCTTGTGTTTTGTGCCAAGCTCACAGCTGAAGAGGAGAAAATCATGTGACTTCATTTACATACATTTTCTTGAAACATTGGTCGAATCAGCATTTCCTTTCTTTACTACTTTGCTACTCAACGGCCATTCATCTGCACCAGTTTGTTTTTTGTTTTTTTTGGATCATACCATTGTTACAAGAATGCTAATCAGATAATGCTGAACTTCTCATTTACAGCCCCAAATTAGGGTCAGGAACGCAGTCATGGTCACGATGTCTGCTTCTTCTTTCAATTTATGATCTGTACATTACCGAGGCTCACCTAGCAGTGTCTCCTCCTTGTTCAGGGAACAGCTGCTGACACACACCTGCTTGTCAAATGTGTATAGGAGCTGTTGGATAGAATACAAACCTGCATTAGAACTAATGTGCTTTTGCAGGACTTTAGACAAAAAATAAGCATCTGTGAAACATGAAATATACCTTGTTCTGTTTGGTGTTGGAGTCATATTTCCCGATCCTTGTTGTCCCTGTTGCTCCCTGTCAGAATAGTCCCATAGTTAGGACATGCATCTTTGCACTAATTAAAGAGGAAGGATCAATAATCCTAATCAGTCCTGATCACATGGACCTCAGTTCCCACGGGGGGCTTCCACCACTCTAATTTGTGTGAAACATAGTTCCTGACCTCTTTATTGCCTTAGCCATACCTGCTGATTATCTGCAGTAAACCTGCTTCACTTCAAACCAGAATCCTCCTTTTTTTGGATTCAGGAGATTTTAAGTTAAAGGGAATTGACCCTGAAACTAAAGGCGCAGCAAGGCACGCATAAAACTGTGAACCTTGCACTAAAAAAAGGGATTATTTCCTCTTTGCGAGCTGCACGTCGTCTTTCTTTAACCTGCTAAACCTGCAGACTCTTTGGCGAGCCTAACATAAAAAATTTATGTTGTGCAGGGAAGCAAGCTTTAAACACTGAGCTTTATTTTAGATTCATCCAAAGATCACACAGTTTCCTAAAATACCAAATATGTAAAACAGAACTACAGAGGGATCTGTTCAATAGAACTAAGAACTCCTATGTAATGATGAATGTTTGCTTATTTCTGAGAATGGCAAGAACTAGGACAAGCAGGTGACTTAAAGTTGTTACATAAAAATACTACAGGACTGTCACTTCAAGGTACTTAAACTGAAGGAACTTTATAAACTGAATCTAAACATGGATATTGGACCTACTTTCCAGGAGTAAAGGATTCCCCCATCTCTCTCAATGTTCAGGATGCGAGTGTCGACATCTCCAGAGTATTCTGCAGACAGCAGCAAACAAAGGCAATAACAATGTGCCCCGACATAATGGCTACACCATGTTCCCAGTGTAACCAGAACATGTTAGTGCCCACAAGCTCATGCGGGACTTCTACTGTGTCCTACTGACCAGTAGCAAGCCCATCACTATCAAAATATAACATACTGAGAAGACAGCAATATGCAGTGTTTCATGTATCCATATTTTTTTTCATAGTTTACGTTTTATTCAAATATCTCAATTTCTGACCACAATTTATAAGATTATAAGTCATGTCTACTGATATGAAAAACATAACATTAAGTGTTAGAATAAACATTATATTCTATTTATTTATGATTAAATGCACATATTTCTGCAAGAATTGCTTGTTTTTTATCCAGTACATGCCCTTAGGTTTCCTTTATATCCTTGAATAAAATTATATTTCCTATTGTATATATTGACAAAAGTGATTCTTTCTTAGCTCTTTATGCTTTTATTCTTTTCCCCTTAGAAATGACACTGGAGTGTTTTAAATTCTGATTATATGGAAGGCTATTAATACATGAACTATGAAGAGTATCTATCGCCATCTACCGGTCAATACGTATAAATCATTAACAAAACACAGACTTTGATTTGTTTCTTGTTTCCAGAAGCTAAGACTAAAGTTTAAAGCACTTTTAGCGACTTATTCTTAGGGAAACAGACTTTTACGTGATATGGGGCAATCTTATATTGACATTTGTCGGACAAATTTTACTCCTTCAATCTGAATGGTGTCAAAACACTGAGGTTGGACTTTAGTGGTACTTTTAACTCGCACTATTAGCTGTCTGTTTTTGCTAACACAATAGTTAGTGTTTGTGCGTTTATACACAGTTACAGTAAACGAGCGTGTGCACCTGAACACCTCACCTTTCACCCTGCAGACCGACGCTTCTTTCCTCAGGATATCACACTCCACGTCTCTGTGCAGGTCAAACTTTGGCTTCAACTTCAGCATGTTTCCAGTCTTCGGTACTATTTGCTTTCAGCTCAGAGAGTCTTCTTTTAAGAATTTAGTTTCCATTTGCAGAGGCAGCACCTGGCAGTTTGTGACTGTTCAGCCATGGTATCATGTGACCGGCAGCAGCCTACACAGCAACTTTCGGTACATCCGAATGTGAAAGTGTATCTTTCCCTTTTGAACTGCAAACTCTTGATAAACCCAAAAACGTATTTGTATTGACACGCGGAAATGTCACATTGTCCAACAGTTAGCTCCTCCCTCGTCTGGGAGTCGAGTAGCGGGTAGATTCGCTGCAATTGGCCGAGGAAAGCATCAGTCCAACGGATTGGAATGTCACACCGCCCCGCTGAATGTGTGAGATATCCAGGCTTAGCGAAGGACCTTTACAGTGGTGCTATAACTGTGACATCTTCTTGAGGTTAATGCCAACAGCTTTAGTAAAATAATTTCAGGCTGGACATATCGAAAAAAATAATTTAAGCCAAATGTGAAGTCAGTGCAGAAAGCTTTACATTGTAAAATCCAACAAGTGCTTTCACCATGGACTGTGATAACATAGTGTCAATGCTTTACACTAGTGGTTCTTTTCTGGTCTCATTCTGGGGCCCACATTTTCCCATGGTCCTTAAGTCGCAACCCACTTTTACAGAATTCAAACCAAGCAAATCAATTTATGTATATATATTTATATATATATATATATATATATATATATATATATATATATAAACTCTTCTCTCGCCCAGCCTGGGCGGTATTGTGTCTCTTCAAGCTCGGGTCCTCTGCACTCTTTTGGAGTGTCTGATGTTTCTCCAGTATGTGGGTTACCGCCCCGAGTGCCCTGATGACCACAGGCACCACTGTTGCCTTCACCTTCCAGGCTTTCTCTATCTCCTCTTTGAGCTTTTAGTACTTCTCTAGTTTCTCGTGTTCCTTCTTTCTGAAGTTGGTATCGCTTGGGATGGCGACATCTACCACAACGGCTTTACTCTGCTGTTTGTCTATGATTACAATGACCGGTTGGTTGGCCATTACCATTTTGTCGGTCTGGATCTGGAAGTCCCACAGGATCTTGGCTCGGTCATCCCCATCACCTTGGGAGGTGCTCCCCATTTTGACCTTGAGGTTTCCAGTCCACATTCCGCACAGATGTTCCTGTACACTGTACCGGCTACCTGGTTATGGTATTCCATGTATGCTTTTCCTGCCATCATCTTACATCCTGCTGTTAGGTGTTGGGCTGTTTCAGGGCCCTCTTTGCCTGCACCTGGGATCTTGCCTGGTATGGTAGATCTAGGCCTCTATTGCTCTGGTGCTCAAGGTCTGTTCTTGTGCGGCCATGATAAGTGCCTCCATGCTGTCCTTCAGTCCAGCCCTCTCCAGCCATTGGTAGGATTTGCTCATATCAGCCACTTCAGCTATCTGTCGGTGGTACATCCCATGCATTTAATAAATATCATATTAAATATTTACTTTTTTGACCAGCCGTTCATGACCCATCCAAAAACATGTCTGCGACCCACTTTTAGGTCAGGACCCATCAGTTGAGAACTACTGCTTTATACCATATAGGGATGTAGTGCAATGATACAAAGTTGCTATTATTTTCACATCAGTGGTCATATTTCATTCATTCCTTTATTTAAATCTATACGGCCTATATATATGCAATCATAGCGAATAGCAATAACTGCATGCTGTCTGTAAAATGTCTTTGACAACCAATCTGAGTGTGTGAGATTAAGCAAATGCACAGGCATGCATTGAAATAACTAATCAAAATTTTAAGCAGAGAAGAGACCTCCAGGGTCCCATTAAAACTCATCTGGAATAGAGGAAAAAGACACAACATGTCAAGATATTTTTAACAAACTCCAGCAGGCAATGCAGTGATGAGTTAGTCTGCAGGAAACAGCTCATATTTCAAGTTATCATTTATTTAAAACAAGGATACAAGTTATCATTTTGCAGAGGAGAAATGATTGCCTCTTAAATTTAATACAGCAGACCATTAGCTGCATCCTTGCATTATATTAAGTTTATGTAAAGTAAATAATGGGAAATTTAATTGAGATAAAGATTATTTCTCAGCCTCTTAGTGTTTTACACTTCACATTTTTCAATATGACAATATCACCAAAAAAAGCTGCTTAGTCAAACAAAGGCTTTCTGCTTTTAGAAGGTCCCTTTTCTTTTCTACATGTTCCCTAATTGGTTAAGCAGTGAGCAAACACAAGACATGGCATGGTTTCAAAAGGTCCACTTTCATAAAGCGAGCTCTTTAACACCATGCAGGTGGAGTTAGTCTTTCAAGTGGGACTTTAGCTGGAGCATGTTGTTGGATCAAGGTTGCAGAAATGCATCCAAACATGGGGACAAAGCCCAGAACTCTAGTTCAGTCTGCAGCCAAATAGAGCACTTGTGACATGCCAAAATACTCTGAAAAAAGTATGTTGGGCAAGATGAGATTTTGCCTGCCTTTGTTGGCTCTTTGTGAAGCGAGTATTGATCTTTGAACAGGACAAAATGTTAGAGCTCTTTTCCTGTGTTTTATTCCTTTGAATAGAACTGTATTGATTTAATGCTGTTGACTGTAATAACTATATTTGCTTCTTTTCAAATAGAAAGAACCCACTAAAGGCTGTTTGCTGTGGCGCCTTTGTTCTCTAATAAAAAGCAACTGATAACAAAGGCCTCCTCCCTACTTCTCATTATTATAACACTACACTGCTTTGAGGCCTTGAAGATGACAAGTTCACGTTTCTTAAAGCAAATATTGCAGCGTTTTTTTATTTAAAAAAAAAATAATACAAATTCGGTATTACATTTGGCAGTAGTTCTGAAGTTATGAATTCACAGCTTCTTTAGCATCTATTTTAACTCTGGCTTGTGCATGATTTGCATGTAACTGATCTGGGTTGAACTTTCCCAAGCCCTGGTGGGTACTTTCACTTTTTGATTGGGTAGGTGCTTGTGTGAGGGTTTTTAGAGTTAGTTGCAACAGGTTTTGCATGGACTTTTTGTCCAGTGAATTTCCCAGAAGTTCTTTCAGTTGTAATAAATGAACACCTTCTTTGTGCAAGGCTTTATTTTCTGTTGTAGATTAATTTCCTGGAAAACTAAAACCGGTTTCACGTCTGAAATTGTAAAAACATTTCATGGCCAACACTGCCTCCCTCCTCTGAGCTTGATAATTGCATGTGTGAAAGGCTCAAATCTGCTGTTCTGTGTTTCTGCAGTAGAGGAGGCTGCAGTTACAGATCTGTGCAACTGAGGGTGAAAAGCACCCATCACTACCACTATATCAGTGTCTTACTGACAGAGCTATACATAGGCAAAACTAAGATTAGATTTGAGATTAGAAAGCTAATTTAGAAATTTTCAAAATAAGGCTTATACAAATAGAACATTGTTGGAAATAAATTTGACTGAGACCCAAAATAACGATAAAATTGAAGTCTCTGATCCCAGAAAAAAGCCCATTTGTGTGGGTATTTTTGAGCAGGGTGCTGAAGGGTCACGGCTTCATCTTCATTCTTATAGCTAGATCATGTCTTTGAAACTTAAAAGGATATTCTGGCATAAAATTAATTTAGTGTCAAACACAAATGTTCTTCCTTGAGCTGTGTACTCCCACTAAACCTCATAATGGACTGGCCCAAGGTCTCGCTACAAACAAGCCGCTGCTGGAAGAGAGTAGGTGAGTTATGTTTAGTCTCTTTAATAAAGAAATTAGGCAAAATTTAAAAGATGTTTGGTGGCTAGCACTATGGCTGGGACCCTATACGTACTGTTGATAAAGTTAGGTGCTGTTCTGAGCATTATTTGTGCCTATAGAGTGCCGTTTTGGTTAAGGTGTGTGCATTGGCTCTTTTGACCTCTGTGTATTGCTATCGTGCAGTCGTTACTAAAGTTGGTGTAACTAGAGAAACAAGCGGCAACATTCATCTCTCAAGGGGGTGTCTAATTCGATGTTAAGGTGTGTTTGACCCTAAATCAATTTTTCAGGAGAGCTAGGGGCAAAGTTTCTCCTTAGACTTGTTTGAAACTGACACTTTCATGGCGGTCTCATCCCAGGATGTGGTTCATCTTCTAGAATAGACGCGCTTTGGTCAATTCGGGTTGACTGGCCGAGTCGAACCGAAAACACCCGAGTGAAGCTGCAAATTTGATGACGACATTACCCCGCCCCTTCCCCCGCCCGGTTCTCTCCGCTCGTCCTTCCCCCCTGCCCAGCTCCACTACAGGCTGGAGCCCCCGGCAGCACGGCGCGCAACACAACACATTGACAGCTGCGACTGACTCAAAACCAAGGGGGGGAAGATGGAGCACAGAGACGCCGACTTCAACATAATGTTAGCGACCGACTCATACAAGGTATCGTACCCGGGCTGTTTTCAACCAGAGGCGGGGTGGGTGGAGGGGAGCGGCTGATGGGTGAAAATTGATAAAGTCAAGGTGGTTTCATCTTCAGTCCCAAGGCCATCATACTGCTCTCTGTGGCCGGTCTCTGTCGCTTCACAGCAGGCCGGGAGAAGAGGAGGAGACGGGGTACCATATTCAGAAGCATCCCTCTGTAAGCTAGCTTACTTAGCATTGTGTAAAACCGCTGGCTGCTTGGGAGCCAGACCCCAACCGGCTTTGCTAGGAACAGTGGGATTCGGCTAGCGGTGTTAGCTGGCGTGCTAGCTGACAAGGAGCGCAGAGAGGAGACCGAGGGGATTGATACATAAAATAAGCTAATATTAGCCGCTAGCTAGCAAGTGCTGTGTGAATAGACCGGTGAACTGCACATGGGCTAAAGCACAACCAGGTATAATGTTAGCCGGATGGAGTTAGCCACACACGGTTACGATGCGTCACTTCGGGGAAATCAAAACTGAAAGTTAATATGATATTCCCTCTGACAAAGCGAGATAACACGAGACCGGAGTCTTTTTTATATATAAATTAAATCCCCGAAACCTTCAGAGGACATTTTATGTTCCTTATTGTCACTATTATCTAAAACATGATATTGTTACTGTTCAGTACCGGTGAAAAGAGAATAAACCTCCTGGTAGTAATGAATAAATGCACGTTGAGGATGGTTGCCATGCTTGTTGCCATGCACAGCAGTCATGTGATAGCATTGATGGTGGTGGTGATGGTGGGATAGGACACTCTATGGGACAGAGAGCCTACTTTGAAGACAGTAAAGGGAGGGAGTGGGAGTCACCAGAACGACTTCATTATGTAATACACCGACCCCGCCAAAACATTATAGATACCTGGGCTATTTGATGAAACCCTTAGCCATAAATTACACTCTTACAAAGCTTCTATATTTTATTTTTATGTTGCTATAGTCAAACAGGTGATAATTGTGCTCTAGATCAAGAAGTTGTTGCAGGTGTAGCAGGTGTTTGTTAATAAGGCAGACTTTAAAGATGAACACCTTTAATGAGGGCCCGACCGATATGGATTTTTTGGGGCCGATGCCGATAACGATTACTGTACAGTACACATATATATACTGTAGGCTACTGCTCTTCACACAGACAGAAGGACCGACTGATCAAACTCAGACCAGAAAAGCGCTTTCAACATTTACATGGCGCTTCACCGTTAACTCGGCGTGACCGAGACCAGCACAGTGGGGAACATCATGAAGTGGGTTGAACTGAAACTTGTTGACTTATTGTGTATTTCACAAGCTGGTTTATTTACCGTTATTTACCACTCTCCTGCATGCGTCCCTGAGCTGCCTGCTTCAGATCCGTCACTCTGCTGTGCTGTGAGGTAGTTAGTGGATCAAGATTGCCATGAGGTCACTGCGCCATCTACTGGATAAGTCGAGGAACTTTTCAAATGGCGGAACATTTTCGAAGTGAAACCGAATCTTATTCTCCCCTTTTTTTTTTTGAAAATATCGGCAAAAATCTGCGAGTTTTGGCTGATTACCGATTAGTCTCAAACGGGCTAGAATTGACCGATTTAATGGTCTCGCTGATAAAAAGGTCCATTTTATAATGAAAAGCACCATATAAACATACTGTAAAAACTATCATGGCTTTAAGAACCATGACATTGATGAGTTTTTTTAATCGTACGTGGACTAAACTACCCTAATGTAAACTGACTCCGCTGAGATCAAAGTCTGTTTCAGAGTATTAAATTCAGTGTTGTTGATGTTTCATGCTGCTTGAGTATATTTTAACAAACTTACACCTTTTGTGGATCTCCTGATGCGTTAAACTTGGTACTCTGTTAGAAAAGAGTTATAACTCATATAAAAAGACCTCACATCAAAACCTCAAAGACCATTAGATACTCAAGATGAGAAAATTGCCCAAAAATTTCCCCAAAACTCCTTAAATCCTTTACAGCATGAATTAGATTTATTTTTAAAATGGGGCTCTTTTCTTAGTATTTATTAAAATGAGGTTGTGGTTTTGGTGTTCGTCATTTAACATGTAACCTGGATTTTCTTCAATTTCAAAAGAGCAGTGTGGTTCAGTTGTTGTTTTTTTCTTTTCTTTTTTTAAACATCACTCGTTTTGCTTCCATTTCGATGCAGCCTTGGGTATTTACAGTTAATTCAAAGAGGAATTAAAGATGAGTTTAAAATGGATGTGTGTGTAAGGATCTGCACACAGTATTGATCTGAAACAGTCAATAGTGTGTTTGCATTTCATTATATTTAACCACTGCTGATTAGCCCTGAGCCAGTAAACGTGTGGGGATTTTTGGGGGGTCAGGGAAATCATTGAACTGTTTGCTAGGTTTTATATGTTTTATATAAAATTCCAAGTAAGAGGTGCTGGTTTCATAACTTGGCTTCATACTCTTGGCTTTGGGGATTCATTTCATCCATTAGCCAACACCATTGTGAAATAGCTCAGGTAAGTCCAAAGTAAAATAAAGCTGCTTCATATACATATCGCTGAATAACCCAACCTTGATCAGTTAAAATTAAACCAACATTAATTATATAGATTGATATATTGAAATATTAATTTTTGCCCAGGTTGTACCTGAGACACAAATGTTGACTTTTCGCCTCAGTTTTGAACAGTGTTCAAACTAGCTGTCATTATTGTATTACTAAACTAACTGTTAGTACACCGGGAAGGTCTACGCCTCTAATACCTCTAAATAATTTGCCCAGCAGCAGGTATTAAGGAAGTTTCTGCCATTAGAGGCTGGAAGATCATTGCTTTAAAGAAAAGAAGAACAGCTTCTTCCTCGCCACACAGAGATAGAAACAAGTTTGAAAAAAGTGGTTAAAGTTGAAAATGGAGTCGATGCTGAAGTGCAGAGAACTGCAGGTACTCAAATGTCCACATGAGGCAGACTGTAAAGGCTGATGTATCCTCATTGAGCCTCATTTAAGATCTCCCATTTTTGCTGCATAACTACACATGTGAACAACCTGTGTGAAAGATAGTTTTATTTTTTCATTACGCTTCCTCTTGGTTTATGTAAGGCTTTAAGTTGTGCATCAGGTTGTGTAATTACGGGCATGGTTGACTGCACAGACAACTGGGTGTGATGCAGCTGTTTACCTTGAGGTTTCCAGACAAGGCCTTACCAGGAAGGAACATCATCAAGACCAAATTTGATGTTTTATACAGTCTTTGGGAGAGACTAAACATTGATGTGGACATTAGTGCTTGAACTGTTGTGGGCAATGATTGAATTTCAGGTCCAGTCTTTGTCAGGGTAGGCAAGCATGTGCCTACAAGCATGTTCTGCACTTTTAGAGTAACCATTATGTTCTTTTCAATCAGCCAGCTGAGTTACAAAGAAATAAAAATAACTCAACTTGGGAGCCAACCAGGCGTTCATCCAAAAACAGCTGACCAGAACTTTCATAGGTGCACCATGTCCATAAATGCCAAATCTGTGTTTACAGTGTGTTTTGGTCTGCTTTGTCACCCAAAACCAGCCTCCACACGTGTATCCTGTTAGTTCATCATGACTGTGTCATAACCATTGTGGCAAGAGAGGCGGTATTGCTGCAAGCATGGTACCTGACCAACTCGCAAACCAACCAGAAGCTTTCACTTTGTTCACAGCACAGGAGACTAAGCTGCACCTGAATGCCTTTGTGTTTCAACTCAAAAAGAGAAACACAGTCCCACAGCCAGGCTTGCCTATTGTCTGGAAACACACATACACATACACACACATACACACTCATGCAGGGTGTATAGTCTGCACGAGGAGTTGGTCAGATCTGAACATACAACAGGGTGGAGATGTTTGTTGTGTCTTTGTTTCCATAGATTTATTCAAAGTGAAATCATGACGCAAAACTATCAGGTTGTGAACAAATGTGCACAACGTTGCTGACTTTGGCCCCAGAGTCCATAGAGAAGTATAGAAATAGTGTAGAAATATAAGATGAAGGCCTAGAAGTCTGAAAACTCCTTGGGATGGTCCTGTTGATCAGTATGCCAGTACTTGTAGCTTCTGTATACTTTTGATGCTGTGCTGTTTGGACACACCAGAAACATCATCTCTGGTGGCCATATTCGGATTTCTCATGTCCAGAGATGAATTCTTCATTCTTTGTGTAAGACACTGCTGTAAAACATTTAAGAGCAACAGAGAAATGACAAGACTGCTTGAAAAGGTCAAAATTTATGCCCTCAAGAACCTTGAGTCCCAGACTTTTATAGAGAGTAGCTGTGCGTGTCTATATTTCAGTCTGCAAATCCATTGTGATGATATTGAACTCTTCATAACCTCACTTTTATCAGAGGCTTTAGGTAGACGAAAGTAGAAAGTTGGTTATTTTTTTAATGATTCAGATGAAGAGATTGGGCTGAGCATTGATCTCTAAACTTTAGATTCAAGTCTTTGAACAAACAACAGCATGAGCAATTAAATGGGGGTCATGTATATGGTAACCTCTGACTCTAGTTTTTAGTTCTACGTCTCCATGGAAGAAGACATAAAGCAAAGAGTCAAGGACTGTAGCCCCTGTGCTTGGGGCTTGTAGTTTAATGGATTACCTTGAGCTCGACACCCATTTTAAATGATTTAAAATAACCAGCTTTTTAAAACACAAACAACACAACAAGCTTCCCTCCGTCCAGTCATGGAAACTGCATGATGTTGTGAGTGATTTTTGTAAATTTGTTAATACAGGCAGACTACTCAGTTAAAGTTAAATGCTGCGTTTGATTTACCTCGGAAGTCAGAAGTCCGAGCTAAAAATGACAGCACACCCGACTTACCAGCGTTTCAGTCACCAAGTGACTGAAAAAAGTAAAAACGGAGGCAGAAACACGATGGCTACATCTACGAAAGTTATTTTAGCGCTTGCCTTGTTTGCATATAAGGCAAGTGCTTAAATAACTTTTTTAGATGTAGCCATCCTGTTTCAGGCCTTCGATTTTGCTTTCTTCCGACTTGGTAACTGAAACACTGGTAACTCGGGTATGACGTCATTTTCAGCTCCAACATCTGACTTCATAGGTAGCTTGAACGCCACATAAGTACCTTAAACTGGGGAAGTTTAGTACTAATAATACTAAGAATTTCTTTTTTGGTTTAATAGAAACTCAAATTTTTACTAACATAATTAAAACAAATGTACAAATTTTTGTACATTTCATCAAACGGGTTAGTGTTATCCGTGAGTGAATCATGTCAAATTGGTTTGCTGAGTGTGGCAAGACTTTCAGTCTTTGGTCCTCCTTACAAATCAGTGTCTACATGCCTGTTACGCTGGTTAATGCTCTGGTTGAGTTATTGTTACTGGTTGAACCAGACACAGCCTACTTAGAATGTTATCTCCAATTTCTAGATCAAAATAGAGTCAAATCATGCTGACTTTCAAAATAAAGCATGTTACATAATGGCTGTAGCTATCAACCAGACTTAACAGCCCCGACTGGTGTCAGTTGGCTGCACTGCAGTTTGGACATGACAAATGACCATCATTTTAGGCCTACAGTGTTGAAAAAGTCTATTCATTTAACTGCCAACAAAGATATGTTCAGTTTAGTCAACTCGATGTGCACATCCCTAATTTATACTACACACCATAAGAAATGTGCACTTTTTAAATGTGCTGCTAACCAAAATATGTTTAAAACAGTTCTGCATAATTACGTAATTGAGAAGAGATTTATCAACCTTTGATTGAAAGCGGTGTCATACTGTGATCCATGGATTATCAATGAACCATGTCTGTGGATGAAAGGAAAAGAAAGACTGTCTTGTGTGCCTTGAAACTGATACTGGTTTTGTGAGTTTTAAAAACATGTTTTTATGTATACATTGATTTATTTGCCAGTGAATGTTTGCACACACGTGGTCAGGCCCAGTGTCATGTTGTGTGTCTCAGCTCTATTTTGAGTCCTCGAAAGCTCATGGGGAAGGACAGGGACAGGGGTCAGAGAAACTGAGTAGTTCATTGACATTTATCTCTTCTCTTCTGCACAAAGTGAATGACAGTGAGTACAGCCAAGCCTTAAAGCCTTCTTAGAGGTGAATACACCTGTGGTTTAAATGTGATCTTTCCCTATTGAAAATGTGGAGACATTAAATGTTTTCTGAAGGTCTTAGACTAATAATAGAAAAACCTCTGATTCCTCTTTGGGTTCTTTTAATAGGAAATTGCACAACGTCTTTCAAGACTGAATAATTTAGCTAGAGCGGATTCCCACTTCTCTCACACAGTCATATTTTCCGTCACCTTTGAAGGGTTTAAAGTTTATTCCTCATGGATATTGAAAGTTTTGCAGTAAATGAGAAAATGATTGAGTAAACTGCAGATGCTCCCGTCGTCTTTTCAACCTTGTTTTGGGAAAATTGACCCTGTGTACTCAGTAGAAAACCCCGGACTCATTTGGGATTTAATTGATGACCAGATGTCTCCAGCTGACTCAGAATCTTTTCCTTGATGGGTGTTTGTGTGTAGTCCATTTCAGACAGTTTACTGTGTCCTCCGCAAAACATGCCTGGACAAGTCTGGAGCTGTACACTCAAGGTTTTAACTATCAGTGTTTCTGTTATCATGCAGTTGAGCTAAGATTAGCAGATCAGCAGGAGTGCACACACACACACACAATAACAATCAAGCTGTAGAAGAATAAAGCCAAAGTACGTGTGAAAGTGTGGGATAAGTCAAACTTGCCTCACCTAGATTGCTACATTTTGAGAGTATTATTTCTATTGTTGGACTGGTATGTGTGCTATCATCCCAGATAAAATGCCACAAAGACAGAGCTCTTTAAACCTTGGAGTTGTGTCAACCTGAATGTGAGCTGTAGTTTTACAGAGGACTGCTAAATCCTTCTCTCAATACCAAGGATGAAATTTTGATTTGCTGCCTCAAAGTGTTTCATTGAAACTCTCCCAAAGTCCAACAGAACTAAAGTTTGATCAGATGTAATGAGGCCAAATAAGCAGTTTCCATTCTTGCACATTTGTTGCCAAAAGTAGACTTATGTGTAATCTTCATGGTGTTACAACATATATTCAGAAGGTTTTGACAGTTCTTGTGAAATAATTTACATTCTGGTGTTCTCCACTATGAACTGTGTTGTAACCCTGTTTTGCAATGCAAAGATATTACAAGATTTGGACAGCTCAGAACTGGCATGTTCAGTAAATCTATGTCTGCACCCTTAGTTTGTCCAGTACATGTACCTTTATAAATGAAACCTGCACCTGAGGCTCTTTTTAGACATTGAAAGCTCATTTCCTTGAATACCCTGAAGTAAGGACAGTGAAGGAGGGCAAACAATAATCATAATTGTTCTCATAAGTCATGCTGCTGAAGTTGAGGTTTTGTGTGTGTATTTGTTGTTTGGGTGCAGTGCCATAAAAGCACGGGCACGCTGCCAGCATTATTACTCTAGGCCTTAGTGTTTAGTATATATTCGCAGATGACCTCAAATACTGTGAGTGCAGAGTTATGATGCCTTGATGTATCTGCCACAGGAAGCACAGATGTGTCATTACCAGCCTTTACGCTTTAGGAATTTTCCAAACAAATGATTGTTTTCTGCAGGGAAATTCAGCTGTATTAGCATCAGCTGATTTATTGGGCTGATGAAGTCACCTGCTGGACCAAAACAGATGAGCTTCTCAGATAATTAAAGTTATTGTATCAGCGTGTATCTGAAAACATACAGACTAATTCAGCCTCATCGACTGTTTTTAGGCCTGTATCATTTATAGGTTTAATATTTCTGAGGCTGTTGTAACTATCTTGTGTCTCTATTATGTGCATGCTTTTTTAACTCCGTCTTAGGGCTGGGCGATATGGCCTCAGATCAGTATTATGATATATATAGCAGTTGACCTCGATAACGATAAATGGACAATAACTACTCCACAAGCTGCTCACCTCCTCCCACATTAACTTCGTCTACTTCAGCCGCCACTCCAGCCGCCACAACTTTTGAACCGTCCTCCATCTCCTCACCTGTCTTTCCCTCTTTGTTACGGACTGGATGGGGTGGAGTCACGTCTCCAACGTAGGACAGCGTCTTAAAGAGACATGTGACCATAGCCTACCTACACACACATCCAAAACCAACTTCAATTTTTTTGACACCAAGTATACCGATATGGGCAAAATGACGTTGGTTATTGTCATAAATTTCAGTATTGGTTTTCAGTAAATTATCGGTTTATCACCCAGCCCTACTCCATGTAAATCTAGACATGCTTATTTATTGTGAATGCCCGTGCTCACTTGACCCACTCTGTCTCCACAGGTAACACATTACAAACAGTACCCTCCCAACACGAGTAAAGTGTACTCCTATTTTGAGTGCCGTGAGAAGAGGACAGACCCCAGCAAAAGCAGAAAAGTCAAATATGACAAAACTGTCTTCTACGGCCTACAGTACATTCTCCACAAATACCTAAAAGGTAAGTGTACCCTCAGATTTCACCTCTACTGCGCTACAGAACTCCTCATTTTGTTTTGTAGATTAGATAACTCTGCTCTTAAGCACAACCCGGCAGTAGCTTTCCAGTAAATGATGTTGCAGCCTGCAGGTCTGCAGCCTTTATTAATGATTCTCCAGGATGTTTGTGTGAAGACGAATGTGTTTCCAGTCAACTTCACAAATTAAATAAGGGTGACATTCCGATATATTTGGATTACATAACCCAAGCATGGACTTACAATATTCTACTGTTGTCCGGTTAGCAATCAGGGCACATACCAAAAGCCTTTTGTGCTTTTGTGATGCATTATTGGTCCCCGTGGGGGCATTTTATCTTTTTACCCCCCTCCCTCCCTCCCTCCAGGACAAGGTCAGAGTCGTGCAGGGTCGGCCGCAGAGCAGCATGCCTATTGCTACTCAAGATTCAGTGCATTGCTCAAGGACACTCCAGCAGGATAGGTGCTGCCTGTTGAAGGCTGCAGCTCCAGTCTGGTTCTAGTGTGCCCCCTCACCGTGATTAGACTGTACAGAGCATAACAAAAAGCCACAGCAAAGTTTGGCGCTTACAATCCAGCCTCTGCTCGCTCAAACTCGAGTTTGTCAAGGCGGATGTTTAAGTTAGGGTGATCCTAAGGGGCATGGGAGAGTGCAAGAGAGACAGAAAAAAAAGTAGTGGGAAGTGAAAAAAAGAAAGTATCACCCTCCTGTCTCGTAAAAGGATTTCATGGTGCTGTAGCAGAGGTGCAGGGGAGAACAGAGAAAGAGAGAAGACAAAAGCACAGCTGCTCTTTTACCGTCTGTGTGAGAAAGGCCAGCTGCCTGCACAGGGCGCCCCTCGAAGCTCGGTGATTAGGCCAACCATTAGAGATGCATCCTTGATCCTTCAACTTACGAAACCAGAAGTGTGCATCACGATTCTTCTGAGTCGCGGAATACATTGTCATTGTACCGCTGACTGTGATTTTGTCAAGGAAGTGCTCCAGCACAGAGAGGCATTATGATACTGAAAGCAGAACTTGTGAAGGACACAGAACAATGTGGAGTTTTTGCCTGATATTGTTATGGTAAAGAGAGAAAAAAGGTTTTAGCCTTTTTTCATTTTTTTTCAAACTGAGAGAATTTGAGAAAAGTGAGTTTACTGTCCTCAAGGGAACAACACGAGCCATGTTTAGGGGGATTTTGAAGACAATGAATCAGGCCTCATGGATATTAGGACAATTTGTGGGAAATTTTCGCTAGACCAAACTAAAATGAGGAAGTTGATGTCATTTTGGATCTGTGTGACTTACATAAAGCTCACAAGCATCAAAAGTAGAAACCACTGGCCTTGACCTGTAAAGCTCTCTATTTCACTTTGCGTTTCTTCCCCATTGGAGTTAAAAAGTTTACTCACAATTTGTGGTTTTATTGTTTCGTAGTATCCTTTAATTGGAAGGTGTGCTATAATTTCAAGGTGGCAGGGTAACTAATGAAGACTAAAGGACACTATATTGCTCAAAAAGCAGCCATGCGCTCACCCCCCAAAATAAGGGAGATTATACTTAGTTGTGTTGATTTCTATACCTGTACAGACCCAGGCTTGCTATTTGCCTTTCCTTCCAAGTAATTTCCCTTTAACTGTAAAGACACCAGCGGTATTTTTCATGTAATTTGAGGCAAGAAAGAAGCAACCACATTTCCCAAAGGCTGAATAGCTTCTTTGAATGAGACAAAAACTCAGTGTGTTTGAGGAACGACTTCTTTTTTTACGTGCATGGGATGTTTCTGGTTCAACAAGAATAGAAGAGGAGAGAAACATTCCAATATTTCTCTTTCTGCCTTCATGTGCATCTTCTTTCTTGCACCATCCCCTTCATCCCTCATTTCTTCCTTCCTCCCTCCAGGAAAGGTAGTGACTCCAGAAAAGATCCAAGAGGCCAAGGAGGTATACAGAGAACACTTCCAGGATGATGTTTTCAATGAGAAGGGCTGGACTTATATTTTGGAGGTGAGACACTTTTTTCAAAGTATTGTGCTGCAGTTAGTAACTTTTTTTTTTTTAGACATATTGATGGTTATACTCCATGAGGGTTACCATCAAGGAAAAGCTGGAATTCAGAACTAAGGATGCAAGTGTACACACACACAGATGCTGGTGCACTTCAATGTTTGCACATGAAACATTCTGCAGGCAATGTCTGTTTTATCAGAGGCTGTAAATTACACACAAAGAAAGACAAACAGTGTGTCCCAGCGGTTTAATGTTTTTGTAACAAGTCTTGATCATAAAAACTCCCAGTCCTCAGAGTCACAAATGACCAAAGTAAAGTTTGCGGTTGTTTCTTAAAGGCTAAAGATTACGATTCCCAAAAACTGTGTTTAGTGTTTAAAGAAAGCCTGAACAATAAAGTAGTGAGAAATGAAAGCACCCAAAGGCAAACACTGTAAATATAATGACATAAAAGTAGAATAGCACAGCTTTAAATGAATCAGTCTAAATAAAATGTACGTTGTTGTAAAGTGAAACAGTTTTCAGCACCTTGGAGAGAGAACAGTGCAGCCCTCTCTTTACAGCCTTGTTTTTGACGAAGCCGCTTTATATCATGCTTTTACTTCTTTTAGGAAATCACAGGCAACACATCCTCCTCTCTAAAGAGGAGAAGGACTACCAGGCTTGTTATCAGCACACACACAGTTCTGACACCAGCATGCCTAATGGCCTGGAGATGCAAAAGTGCTGATGGCATGGGTAGCTTATGCACCCGTGAAGGCACTGTTGATGCTGAACAAGTTACAGTCTACAGGATTTGGAGAAAAGTCTGCTGCTGTTCTTTTTTTAAGGAAGACCTAAGCGACACTGAGCGTGTATTACAACAGCATGGCGCTCTCCTAGAAGAGCGCAGGTGTTAAAACTGCCTGCAGCTCCTACTTTTACCAACTGAAAACAGAAGAAACATAACGAAATGAAACAACTCGGGAAAGAAAATGTGAAAATTTTCTACAGCTTTATGACTTTTTTTTGGAGTTTGGAGTTTGAGTAGCATATCTCCTTTTTTGAGTCATGTTGTTCAAGTACTAACACTCCTTTAAAGCTCCTGTGTGAATCTGATTCTGGGTGGGATAACTGTGCGAGTAACTGTGTCTTTGTGTTTCCAGAAATACAATGGACACCTGCCTATTGAAATCAAGGCTGTGCCGGAGGGGAGTGTCATCCCTCGAGGCAACGTTTTGTTCACAGTGGAGAGCACGGACCCTGAATGCTACTGGCTGACCAACTGGGTGGAGGTACACCTTGTTTTGTTCGTCCTCTGGGCACTGAATAGGTAGCAGGGTTGATTCTCGAGGGTGGAGATTAGAAACAAGTGTTCAGATATCAAACAGGGTGGGTCTGACTTAAAGCTGCTGTTGGTACCAAAGCTGAAAGGTTGTGCTCTGTATTTTTAGTGCCAGAGCTTGTCTTGTTTGAGTCCCTAAGCTTTGTTAACAAACACTCTTTAATTTCTTGAATGCTGCTTGTTCTCAGCTCTGTACAAGCTTTGGCAAACAAAAGCCGCTAATAGTTTTTTTAACCCATTTTCCCTCACATAACCGTTTGATTTTAACGTTATTTTCCCTTTCAATGTTACCCTTATGACCATGTAACTATATAGCCTGGCATATCAGTGAGATTTAATGATAAGCTTCAATTGATTATTGATTAAAAGACAAAATACATTGGTAACATTTATATCCTCTTAGTTACATAGAACAAGAAAAAGCAATAATCAGTTTATCTCGGCAGAACGCCCAATCACTCCTCTTATCCCTTTTAAAGCTCATTTAATTACAGCCTTGTCATGGTTTATTATATAATTGCTGCTCTGAGAAAAACCCAAACCGGAGGAAAGACAATCCTACAAGTTGGTAAAACAGGACAAGAGAAGAGAGAAAAGTGAAAATAAACTTGTTTATTTGAATTTAAAGAGCAGATTTGGTCTCCTCCACAACAAAGACGTGTGCAAGCATCTAAAAGTACCTTGTCAGGATTATTTTAGACACGCGTTTGCATCTTCAGTTTCAAGTTCCCTCTTACTACACTTTTGTGGTTCTGCTCCAGCACCTTCAACCATTTCATGCAGCCTTTGCTCAGAGGAACAGTGACTTTAATAATGATAGTGCTTTCACCAAAACACAGCACAGTTCTGTGTGCAGTACCTCTCCAGGCTCTTGTGCCTCAACCTAAAACCACAAATAATTTAAGCTCTAAATCAGCCCCCTGCCTTCTTCCCAAAAAGCACCTCATCTTGAATTTCTTCTGAACACTGTGAAGGATGTCCGTCAACTGTATTTATATTTTAATTTAACAGCACTGAGTCAGAAAGTGAACTGGGCTCACCTTTTAAAGATGCAGTTTGAAGCCCTTTTTTACAGAAGCTGCTTTCTCGAGGTTATTATTATGTGTCTGAAGTTTTAATCCGGATATGATGTCCCTTCTGCAAACTCAGGATAAGAGCTGTCAATCACGGGTGGGCTGCAGTGAAGATGAACGGTCGCTCACAGAGATACTTTGACATTTTTTGAAGTTTCCGTATTCCCTCTGATATCTCCTCTGAGTGTGTTTTCTGAGTGGAGTTCAGCATAGCTTAGCAGAAGTCCTTAAAACAGAGGGGAACAGCAAGCCTCACTCTGTCCAAAGGTAGTTTCATACATGCTGCAGTAATTTCAGTGCTTACATGTTATACTGTGAAATGTCTTCGATGCATACAAAAACAAAAACATGCTCTGTAATCTGGGTAGTTATTTGGGAAGCTTTTCTCCACCTGCTGTACTACTTCCTCAATTCTGGCGACCTACTGACTGATGCAAGTGAGTTTTCATGTTTTACTCCCAACATAGCCTCTTGAATTGTACAGTAAAAATCAGATTATGTGTCGGGTATAGCTTTTTAGGTTGACACAAATTTCCCCCCGTGGGACTCACAAAGGAATATCTTATCTTAATATCTTAAGTCAATTTTGGAGACAATCTCTGAAATTATGTGCTTCCGTCTTCAGATATTTATATGCCTCTGGGAACAATAACCAATTTCCCAGGCATTGTGATGTGAAGCCGGCAGTTATCAATGATAATCGCATGTTGAGATTGATTTAGAGGCAACTTGTCAGCTAGGATTAAGGCATAGTAATGCATGTCAACGAGGGCTGACACCCTTCAGGCAGTCGGTGGATTAGTTTGTCAGTGAGCTCTCATCTCAACAAAATCTCACATGTCAAACAATCACAGCTGCTACTTTTGTGGGTAAGAAGGTTATCCCTTTATTTTCCTGGGATGGGTGAATGAGTCGATGTTTCAAAAACTGTCTGGCCATTATGCTCAGCTCTTTGTGAGTAAAACCCACAGTGCCTCTGGGGAAAAGAGGATCCTCTTTCTCAGTTACTATTGCTCTAAGATGGTTTAAAATTTGAAGTTAGTTAAATCCAGACTAACTCTGAATAGTTACTGAGCTGTGAGCATCACTCACCGCTCCAGGAGCTAAAAGTCAGTCCTTCATGATTCTGCCCATATCTGGTAGAAGTGCCTCAGTCCTCAGTTGAACAGATCATGTGATACTATCATTGTAGTATAAGGACTTGATCATTGACTTAGGCCACTATTTTAATAGGGTGACGATATATGAATATAGGCAGGTATTCCAGCTCTTGATATTTTCCATTTGAGGTTTATTTATGCTGCCATCGTTGGCTCACTTTTATCAGGTTTATCAAAAATATTGATTGACTGCATATTGAATGACTGCATTTCTAATATCGACCCTGTTGTCCATGTACTATCGATTCTGAAGACTAGAGTCCATAAAACCATTGTGATGGCCATCAGCATCTTTTATTCACTCTATCATCTTTTGATTTGTCTCTGCCGATAAAATTATTTTTAATTTTTTTATCAGGTCCTCATCAGGAAAGCACATTCCTAAAATGTTTAACTAATTCTTTAGCCATCCTCAGTGCTGCATTTGTTGCCTGCAGCTTAAGCACTGTGTCACTCCCCCCCTGAGACGCAGAGGATCTCATAAACCTAATGCCCCGTGAACAGACTGGCTGCAATGACTCGGCAGAACTAAATTCATTTACCGTGAGCATTATCTTCGCTCTGTGTCTCCTCGTCTCCTAAGAGCTCCCTTTGACTCATCTTTCCTCTGCCTCTCTGTGCACATATCAGCTTCATTCATAAATATCACATTTGCCTTTTTGAAACAGATAATCACGCTGTCTATTCTGGAGACATCGGCTGTTTAACCCCTTTGACTTCTCCTACTTTAAATAATCATGCAGTAATTTCTTGCAAAAAATTACGAACCAGACAGGACTCTTTTTTTTGTACTTACTGTAACACTGAGAGAATAAAAGACTCCAACCTGCAGGCACATTTTGAAGTAAACAAAAACTTCCCTTTAGTTTCTATTAACTGGAGTATTCAAGCAGGTTTTGAAAGATGAGATTTTCCTGGATAGTTCTCTGATATGTGCATCTCTATAATTTATTATACACACAGTCAACTCTAAAAGCACATAAAATGGAGGAGTGTTTGGTCGTAGGTCACCCACAGCCAAGAGCACAGTCATAACTCTCACACACTGTCCTGATAAATTTGGACACACACACACACGCACGCAAACATGCAAACACACACTTGGTCAGTCTCTTCAGCTGATATAAATACACACACACACACACACACACACACACACACACACACTCATTCTTCATGGGTGATATAAAATTAGCCCTCTGTCCTTGGGCTTGTTCTCTTCCTCCCCTTCACTCTTGCTCTCCTTTCTGCTTCTGTTGTCTTTCTTTGTTTCTAACCTCATCACACTCATTTTTTTCTTCTTCCTTAACTTCCTTCATGTTTTTTTCCCCCTCCACCCTAATTGTTATCTCCCCCTTTTAGTCTTTCCTGACCTCCCTCCATTTTGTTCTTGGATGGTGACCGGGAAGTTATGCTGGCACGCTCGCTCATGAGTGTGTATGCAAACATTCCTGCTGAGTGTTGCTTTTAACCGTACCGCTGCCTCAATAGACCGCCATTATCACACATATCATTACATTCTGTGTGTAACTTTGATAAAGGTCACAATCACCTGAATTCGAGGCGGGTGTTTTTCTAATTTTACTGAATAATTTAGTGTTAATGTGCAACAGTGTGAGCGTTTATCCTCATAAAATCTTATCATAGTCATTTTATTTGTTGTTATGCACAGGTTCCTAATGGAAATGTCAACAAGCAGATAAGGTACAGGGCACATGGCGTGTGTCTGCGTATGCCTGTCAGTATTAGCCTCGCTCTGGCAGTCACATGAGGCCATATTATGCTTTAGATTATGATTAGTCTGAGGAGGCATGTGACTGCGCTCAGGGTCGGAAAGTGAGGAGGCACGCTGTGTAGTAGTCGCAGACAAAGTCAAGTGAGGAGTCTGAACAGGAAGTTTTTTAAGAGTTTTTTTTTTTTTTTGGTTTTGAGACTCAAGTTCCTTGAGGGGGAGGAAAAATAGCCATACATCCTGGTGTTTAGAATTTTTGTCACACTCGATCTCTTTGTCTGCTGCTAATGAGGTTTGACACGTCCATTCCTGATGTTTTCACCTCTTTCTAAAAGTTGTGAAATGTTGCGTACAAGCAAAAACATCAGCATGGAGTAACACTGGTCACTATCGAGAATGAACAAGGCGCATGCAAAAAGGAAGAGCTGAACTACGAGTCATTTTACATTGAAGAAGAATCGAATCGGGAGAAAAGCATATAATCCCAGCCCAAGTAGTCTGTTTTTTTTTTTTTATAAAAGCTGTATCTTTCTTTCTTTTGCAGTCAAATGTATTACTATTGAAAATATTTTCAGTGGAACATTCCCCGAAAAAAGTCTGTCTCTGAGGTTGGCAGTAATGCTTTTTTTCTGACGCCTACCCTGTGGTGTAGAAAATTACTTTATTACTTTTATTAAAATAATCAGTCTTGTTTCTGATGATCTCATTTCGCGCAGCCTATAAAGAAGAAATATGTGCAATATCATCACCAGATAATAGCTGAAAAATTTGACTGTCAGTATTGGCAGACATGATGTTTTCTGCAGCATCTTCTCTCAATAGCTTTCAAGTACCTACAAAAGTTCCAATATCTGCAAAACAGGAGACGTCTCATTCTCCTCCAGTTTAAGCCACAACTTCTACTAAAATTTCATTTGTTGTTAACCTCTCCTTCATTACATCTGTAGTTGACAAGTTGCTAACTGGTGTTTGCAGACCACACTTCGCACAGTTATGCAAGCTTATTCAGGAATCCCCGGCATGTGTACCCTCTTTAGGTAAATTTATGCTTAGGTGTCCACACATTCACCAGCAGCAGGTATTAGACTGCGATGGCATATGGCACTGATCCTTTCTCAGTTTGATTTCAGCAGAGGGTTCAGCTGCACTTACACTTGTCGTGTACAAATGTGGCTTGTGTGGATGCTGCTGCATTACTTGATTAGCTGCTGAAAAGCTGTTTACTCAGAAATCACTGAGCTTGTGAGAAATTTCGTTAAGCTACATTGCCACAATTTGTAGCACCTTAACTACTCGACACCGGTGACTTTATCAGATTAAATGGTGGTAAATGGGGATAAAAGTCTTTATAATGTACTTATCATTTCTGAGATTTTTAAGGCTTAAATTCACTCAATTTCACTCATCCAGAGATACGAAATACTCACTTTGGTTTAAAAAAAGTGTTTTCAAAATTTGATGGTGAACATGGATAAGCCTCTTGTTTTCATACTGAATGTGTGACCGGAGCCCAGAGTTGACATGAGGCACGCAGGAATGTATTTTTCCCAGAGTTTGTCTTGTGTGAATAAGCAAAACCCTCTTTGAACCCCGTGAGCCTGTTAGTTTGGGGGTTAGTACTGGGGGGTAAAGGAATACGTGGACCTGCCTTTCTCTGGTGTGGTCAGCGCCGGAAAACAGCCGTGCTGCAAAGACGAGTTTCTGTACATGAGACATGAAGCTGTTTTCAAAATGTGTGATAAATTTTTATGAAAATACTGCATCAAGTGAACTGTTTGTCTTTCTTTCTTCTATCAGACCATCCTGGTTCAGATCTGGTATCCGATCACTGTTGCAACCAACTCCAGAGAACAGAAGAAGATCCTGGCCAAGTACCTCCTGGAGACGTCTGGAAACTTGGAGGGTCTAGAGTACAAACTACATGACTTTGGCTACAGAGGCGTCTCCTCTCAAGAGGTTTTTAAACATGGCTTTTCATTGAAATAGTGATTTTGATTAGATATGCTGGCAAATATTTTGAAAAAAAGGTTTCTTATATCAGGCGATTTAAGAACCCAGTAGCTTGTCAGAATGCTGATGTAGAACTTTGGGACTCTTGTTTAAGTCCTCTCAATATCACAATCAATACACGAGGTATACATACCCGCTTTGCTGGAATGATTGACTTGTTTATGATAATGGCTAATCTGTCTCCACCTCCTTCCATTGTACAAAAGTGAAGCCAACATGGGGGAGTCTATGTATTGATGTCCTGGACCCTTTGCTAACCAAAACAAAGCTGGATCTCACTGGTAACACAGCAAAGACAGTAAAGTCTGTCATGTAACAACTTATTGTATCAGTTTCAAGCAACCGCTCTGGGTCACGGAAACTGATCTTCTCAGAAAAATATACAGCGGGACATAAACCAGCATGAAAAAAACGAAACTTTGATGACAAAAACTGTGATTGGGAGACGATTATTTAGTGTGTATTCAGATTTTATAGTTTGCCCCATGTCTCATCAGTCAACATGGAGGCTTATAACCTACCCAGCAGCCTGTCAGTAGGGCGCGCTTTAATTCTTTTGCTTCACTTTTAAGGAGCTGATATGTCGTTCATCTTTTATTTAACCTTTGTCTGGAGCTTTGGACTGTATTGCACAGAGAGCTCTGGAAAAATATTTCATATTGTTTTAAACTTTTTAATTTCCTCGAGGAAACTTTCCCAGAAAGATCAATAAAGTCTGTCTAATTTAATCAAAATATTAGAGAGTAATCAATAGACTTTTGTGGAAATTGAAAGGTAGATAAAGTTCAAAATTGACTGTATAATGACTCATCTTTGCCCTTTAACTTCATTGGGCTTATGCAAATAAAATCAAATTAATCATTATCTTCCACATTTCATCTCCTGCCTCTCTGCAGACTGCAGGCATCGGTGCCTCGGCTCATCTGGTCAACTTCAAGGGCACAGACACAGTCGCTGGCATCGGGGTCATTAAGAAGTACTATGGCACTAAGGACCCAGTGCCTGGCTTCTCAGTCCCTGCTGCAGAGCACAGGTACTCTACATAAACACACTTCTCTTTCTTTTATTTATGGTTTGTTGCTTATTGAAGTATCGTCCATACGTAGAGTAAAGATATCTGTCTCTGTAAGCTGCAGTCATCAGCTTTCAGGGTTACCCGGCTCTTCTAAAACCCTGAGTGGCTCTGTTTCCATTGTAATGTAGGGCAGTAGTTCACCACCCGCTGTAATTGTTAGACCTCCAAGGTATGATGGGTGTCTGCCAGCATGCCCGACACTTCCTTTAACGCACAGGCAAAGTCAAGAGAAACTTTTTTAAACAACATCTTGCCTCTGGAGGCCACTGAATTCCTGTGCACTGTGTTAATTACCAGAATGTATTCATATTCCCAGAATGCACAGGGGCAGTCGGCATAGCTCGGATCCTTTCATCTCCTCTGCTGGCTCTGTTGAGGAAGTCCACTTTTGGGCTGTCAGCCAACCTTTTTTTGTTTTACCCACAAGCCAAATGGGTTTTGAAAATACAAAATAACTTTATTTGAATAGCTGTTGGTTGCCAGCCAGATTTCTCAATGGAGCGAATTTATCAGCCAGAGTGAGAATTAACTCATCATTTGGCTGAAGTTGGTGTTAATTCGCTCCCCCTGTTTGGAGCGTGGTCACCCTCACACTAATTATGTGCTTCATCTGTGTCATGTTTGTGAAAAGAGCTCTTATTGGCCGGGGCTGGAGGCTGTGATTGGCTGCTACCCTGACGCACATGTGCCTCACATGTCTGTGGTGTTGTTTTATGGCACTGATCCATTTAGCCTCCTCTCTCTGTCACACACACACACGCACACATTTCCTCCCTTTCTGTTTCGCTCTCCTGCACACACAGGCGCTTCTTCTTCCTTGCCACCAGGGCAGTTACTGCTGCTCCAGCGCACCCTTCTTCCCCGCACCAGTGCATTGTGGGATGGTGGCAGTAGTTGTCATGGCAACTGTTACGTAATAGCCCCCCCTCCTCCTCTTAAAATCTGTTTGGTTTTCTACCTCTGAGGGAGGAGTCACAGTGAAATTCCACTTAGATTTTATGTAAAGGCAAAGAGGTGGTTGTTGTGGAGCAGAGCTGTGTCACCTTCAGAGCCCTGAGAAGTAAAACTTTTCCTGCTCTCTAATGTTTACTGTATACTTAATGCTCCTAGAAAGACCTGGAAATGAAAATATGAGTGGTGTGCAGAAACATCACATGATATCAAAACATGACCATGTGTCAGATAATATTTACGTATATACCATATCTTGTCTAGGAATATTTAGCCAAGGACCAAAATGCTCAGGTTTACTCTTGTAATAAAGACAACATTCAGATTTATTGTTGGGTAGATCCAAATAAACCACAGATTTTGTACTTTTAGCGTCAGGTCATAGTGTCCCTGTAGTTGTAAGAAGTAGGTAAAATGATATCATTAACAACAAGGCTTTGTTGAACTTCTCTGCTGTACTAAAACCAACAACTAAAAACTGGTGTGCACTGCCCTCTTCTGGATGATCCTTTTTATTTCCATTTGATGAATGTCTTGTGACTGTCTTAGCCACATTTCATCTCCATGTTTAGTGTGGACATTTTTAGCTCTTATAAACCACCCTTTATGTGTGTTTTTTTGTTTTTTGTTTGTAATCATAAAGATTTCTTTACCAAAGCTAATAATCTGAAAAAGTTTTTATTAATCTAATTGAGATGATTTTAATAAAAAGACTATATCTTGATGTATTTTCTCCACAGTACCATCACAGCATGGGGGAAGGATCATGAAAAAGATGCTTTCGAGCACATCATAAAGCAGTTCCCCAGCGTGCCTGTGTCCATAGTCAGTGACAGCTATGACATCTACAATGCTTGTGAGAAGATCTGGGGAGAAGATCTACGAGGCCTGATAGAGACACGCAGTGCAGATGCGCCACTGGTCGTCCGACCAGACTCTGGAAACCCACTTGATACAGTTTTGAAGGTGAAGTCTCAGGCCCCTCCATTCAGTTTTTTTTTTTTTTTTTCTGGGATCCTAAAGCCAAGCGAGGGCACTGATCTCTCCGTTCCTGCACCTTACTCTGATATGTTTCAGGTTTTGGAGATCTTGGGTAAGAAATTCAATCCAAAGGAGAACTCTAAAGGTTTTAAAGTTCTCCCCCCCTACATCAGAGTTATACAAGGAGATGGAGTTGATATCAACACCCTGCAAGAGGTACATACAAATGACACACTGAACTCATATAAAAGATCTCCAACTTTCAGCCCAATAGATGTGAAAGAGTTCCATTGCAAAGTTTTGAATGTGTATGTTTTTTTTCTCGCAGATCGTTGAAGGCATGAAGGAACATCGGTGGTCCATTGAAAACATCGCCTTTGGGTCTGGAGGGGCTCTGCTGCAGAAACTGACCAGAGATCTTCTCAACTGCTCATTTAAATGCAGTTATGTTGTCACTAATGGACTTGGGGTGAGTAAAGGCCAATCTGAATATCTGAATGAACCATTACAATATAAGAAAAGTGTGGGATTAAGTTGGCCATTATTGCAAAATCAATAAACAATCAGATATTAAAAAGAAATATTTGCAATAATTTAGTCAAGGTTAAGTTTCCTTTGCCCTAATATATGCCAGTAATATATGGTTCAGCTCGTGTTTACCATACACAGCCCACAAATAGCTTTAGACCCGTGCTCTAGATGATTAAAAAATAGCCAAAACACTTCTTGTACCAGGCTGTAAACATGTCTCGTTATGTTGTAAAAATGGGCATTTCAGTACGGGCTCTAATTGAGCTGACTTGACTTTTTAAGCAGGCCTTAGAGACCACTTGATTGGCACATATTCATTAATCTGAAATTAATCTGAGGACAGTTGATAGCTAGCTTTAGCTTCATCCATCTGCATGAAAGTGATGTAAGAGCACAGACGTTACACCCAGGTCTTCACCCAGCGGATAAGATGCATGCATGCTGAGCAAGAAAGTATTGCTCATAAATTGTTTTCACATTTGCGGAGTTTAATTTAGACTTCTGGAGGGTGTTTTGCAACTGGAATTTGGTCATCATTCCTGTCCAGATTTGTAAGAAGGGTGTGGAGTGTTGCATTTTTTTTGTCCACTGTTGAAAACTGTTCATTACACAATGAACTCGATCGATTTTGTGAGATAAGTTTTTCCTGTGCTCTTATAGACTCTCTTGTGCAAAATTACCCTTCGTTTTAAAGTCGTTGTTTTTTTTTTGTTTTGTTTTTTTTTTGTGTGGTGGAAAAGGTAAATGTCTTCAAGGACCCCGTGGCAGACCCTAACAAGAGGTCAAAGAAAGGCCGACTGTCCCTGCACCTGACACAGAGCGGAGATTTTGTCACCCTAGAGGAAGGCAAGGGTGACCTGGAGGAGTATGGCGTGGTGAGTCCAATGTCTAGAAAAACTCTGACTCTTTAAAAAATATGTCTCAGTTTTGCATTTTCTCATTTTTTCTCTCTATTCTCCTCCCTCTACCCATTGTCACCTCCCTCTCTCTCCCATCTACAGGACCTGTTGCACACAGTCTTTCAGAACGGGAAGATTGTCAAGATGTACACATTCGACGAAGTCAGAGACAATGCTAAGCTCAAAGAGAGTGAGCTTGATGAGCTGCTGCTCTAAACGCAGCACTGCTGAACCCACACTTTCCACCCTAATATCCCCAAAATATACACCCCCCCGACCTTCAACTTTTGGCCTCTGACAACACCTCCAGAAATGGCGGTGGTGTGTTCTGGTAATAAAACCCACTCCGAAAGTCTAAGAGCTCCTAAAATGTTCCTAGAAACCTTAGATCCACCTTAATATTTACAGGGCTCCCCCTTAAATTTAAAAAAATAGCCGCTCTGGGTCTCTAGCAGAGTCGGGAATTCGAAATCAACACACCCCGAGGAGAAAAAATGAGTGAGACAGGGATTACAGACGTGAGGGATTAAAATTATAATGACAAACCACATGTTGCCTCCATATACCTCTGCCCCCCCCTCAAATCAAAAAATCGGCATGTTGCACTGACAAGCTAGACATATTGCTAAGTGAGAATGTGATTGGCTACTGAACGGCAATGTGTTAGCAGACTTTTTCATGTCGACACACAAAGAAATCAGGAGATTGTAGATTTTTGAATAACCTCCAAGCGCAGTGCACCCTCGATGAGGCCGAGTGAGGAAGGTCATGAGTGAAAGAGATAACGAATTATGAAGCCACACCCACACCAATGAACGTGCCCCGTGTATTGTGTACAGAACTGTTGAGAAAAAAAAAATACATGTCTGAATCTTCTTAGCTTTGTCTTTTATGTGAAGGAGTATGATGATGGTAAATAACGATGCACCAATAACACCAACCAACAGCCGCTTATACAAACTCTTAGACTGTGTTTATGGGGGATAAAGGAACTGATTCCTTCCTTTTTCTTGCTTTTTATCAGTAGTTACGGCCCAAGATGTAACAGGCCAAAGTTAATCACATACTACCTGAATATTTTCTACTCGTACTCTGCCAAATAAAATGTTATTGGTGCATCTCTGATGGTATAGCAGTGATCATCTACTTGACATAACATTGCCTGAAGAGTAAACCCATAATGAGGGCCCAACCCAGTCATTACAACAAGACGGGTTTCCTTTTAACGTGTATAGACTTTTCAATTATTACTCAAAGAATATTATTATAAAACAATAATAATCTGTGACAAAGTTTTATGCCATTATCCCAGAGAAGCAAATTAGATTGAAGTCAAGAGTCTGTAATCGCGCCCTCATGATGGTGAATGCTCTTAAAGCGGTCTTTGGAATAGAAGACAAAGAGTTGATGTAAAATAAAACACATCACAACAGTTGTCTTCACTGGACTGAAGATGATCTAATTATGTGATTATGACAGATTAAATATGTGGCCCCTTGGCAGAAATGTATGTTAAATGTTGGTTCTGATGTGTGTGTGTGAATGCTTGAGAGCATGCGTGTGTGGCTGCGTGTGTGTGTGTGTACTGATATTTTCTTCCTCTAAAGGGTAGTGTAGTATTCCTTTATGCAAATGTACTTGTTGACCGGAGGAATAATAACAATCACTCTTCCATTTACTTTTACTTTGAAAGGAAAAACGCAGCTTTGAGACAAACTGGGGTCGGTGCTCGATTGTCTGGAAAAGAAACCATGAGGCTGAAAAGTTAGTTTCTGAATAAGAAAATAAGCTGTAATCAGCATGGTCGCCCTCTATATCACTGCCTTAACTCGTGTTTCCGGAAGATACTAAATGTTCCCAGTGATGGCAGATCGCACTTTTGTTTGGATTTATTGCTGAGATAGAAGTGAAATCTCGATTTTAATGCCTTTTTAGAGTGGAGAGTCTTCTATCCAGAGCATCCAAATGAAGGGTCACCACTCTTTGCTGTTTTGTTAAATCACATTGGCCTGTTTGACAGAGTGAAGGGGTCCAATAAAAGCCAAAATCTGGTGACATCACAGGTGACAAGAAGTTTGTTAAACCTAAAACTCGAATATTGGGTAAATGTTTCCCTTCGGTACTCCTAATTCAGTTATGGCGCATAAAACACTGCCAGCACTAAACCACATACACCTTTAATTTGAAGCTATGTTAGCAGCAGTGTAAAAATTGTTTCAAATAAGTTCCTGCCCAAAATAACAGTAAATTACTGGCTTCCTAACAAGTTTAATCCTGTTTTGTTGATTTTAGCAGTAATTTGCTGTTGTAAGCATGCTAATTCACTAAACTGAGATCTCTCTTTATGAGCATGCTAACTAAGATGATAAGAATGGTAAATATATCTTCCAAGGATGAGCGTGATGGCTTGCTAAAGCTGGTTTGTAATACTGTCATAGGTGTTTAGCTTAGAGTGGGGCCTGAAACAGCTGCTAGCAAAACAAAAGACTGTCCATTTTTAGTAGCAGTAGTATTTTTCTTTGGGAAATTAACTTCACAGCATCTTTTCACAGCATTTTAGCCAGTCAAGTGTCAGCCACTGAGTATCATCACCTTTTCACTCGACTGAGCTAGTTGTCTGTGATGTTGGGGAAGGCCTGAATAAAACCTGTGATGCCATCAGCTCTCATTTCCCACCCCTGGCTCGAACTAAGCTGCTCCTGCTCCAAAGTTGGTAACCAACACATGCAGAAATCTCATCTTTTCTCTTTTTTCATTTCCTCCAGTTTGCACACCTCACTTCTGTTACCTGTCACATAACTTGTTTTCCAGCTCCTGCTCAGACACAGCGGTTTTCCTTTTAATTACTCTTTGATTATGAGGTGCATTTCAGTAAAAGTTTGATTTTACTATTTTGATACTGTCTCAGTTCTTACCTCAAAGAAACATAATTTTGTATGACCAAGGAGAAAAAAAAATGCCAGAACTATTGCAGTAAATATCTTTATTTACAATGCGGCCATACTGCCTTCTCACTTGTACATACAACAGCTTGTTTGACTGAAAGCAGAGAGGGCAGGTTAGGGAGACGACCACACGAGATAAGATTATTACTATTATTTTTGACAGAACAACTGTTTTTGTACCAACAGAAGAAAATCCAAAACTGCTCGTGTGAATCAGCAGTGTGACTGTTCTTTATGAGTGACAAGCTTTTAGCTTCTGTATGACTGTGTGTGTGTGTGTGTGTGTCTGCCTCGTGTATCACGGATGAAAAGTGTTTGTGAATACTTTTTTTTCTTTATGTTGTTGTTGTTTTACTTGTATGTATATGTTGGTTGTCCCAAATTCTCTCCCTACACAACTGATATTTTAACTAACATAACTTGCTATATTGTCAAGAAAACATTGATTAAAGATGCCACCCTGTCAGTTTGAAATGGCTGATTTTATTTGCTGACCTCTGTGTTAAAACTGTTTCAGAACTCCACATGCGTCTCCTGTTTAGCATTGACATTCTTAGCTTTGAGTTATTTTTGCTGGCAATCTTTAAAACTTAATTTTCCCGGTAAGACATCCTTCTCCAAACCATGATTTTTTTTAAAACTCAAACTTATATTCACGTACATAAACTACTTAATAACAACAAAGTCACAGTTATTTCATAGGTCACTTTCATAGACTGTATATAGAATTGACTCGCTGGGTGAAGCCACTCCGAGAACAGCACCCTCTGTTGATGGGCAGTATAGGTCATAAATCCCACCTCTGCCAGCAAAGCTTATGGAGCTGTGGACAAACTTTCTAAATTTATTACACAGAACATACATTTTTCTCCCCCTGCTTGCGATGTTGACATGTAGTTATTGTAAAACTGGTTTGTGCTCAAGTCCTTTTTTTCTGTGAAGCTCCGTTTTTAAAAGTTATTAGGAGGTTCACATTTTCTATGATTGACACTTGACTTGATACAGGTGAGTCTTCCGCCGAATGCGCACAACGCTACTGCGCAATGTTGGTTTCAGGAAATGAAAAAAATTGCAGAAATACCGAGAGCTTTTTGGCTTCAAATCCGTGTACAAGCGGTAGGCAGAACCGAGTTGTCCTTAGTATACACAGTCTATGGTCACTTTCCATTCAGACATTTACATTAGAAAGATATAACTGAGCTAAATGTTAATTGCCAAAATAGGGAAGTATTCAATTGTTTTCACAGGATGCACAGTACTATCAAGCTTCAATACCAACTGGAATTATGGGGTTTTGCTGTAATGTAGCTGCACATTCACAGTGGTCGGACTTGTTTTTAACCCAGTTACTGACTCCTTTGTGAGACTCCTGATGAGTTAGCTTCCATTGCAAATGGTGGGACACCCCAAAAATCTTAATATGCCACTTATTCTGCTCACAGAGAAATTCAGTCTATTATTACCTTTGAAGAAGTCAAGTCGTCTGCTGACACGTGGACACACAAGTTTTTAGTAAGTTTGGTGGACTTCACCAGTTGCTGTAAAACCCTGATGTGGTCTGAGACTGAACGACTTCGAAGGGTCTACTCTGTGGCTTGATCTGGAGTCATGTGACACAGTCACCACCAAAGAGGCGTCACATATAAACTGCGAACTCAGCGAGAAGAAGGCTCCCAACCCACCCGCGTCATCTGGTGGATGGATCCAATGAAACGCAGCTGGACGCTTTTGATGCCTCTTGGTGCTCCGGCTGTAACTTCAACGGTGGAAGACCCCTGGAGTCACTGTGCATGGATTTCCTGTGGTAAACAATTTCCTTGAAGTCAGCAGCTTATATTCGTGGGTTGTTCTTGTTGCAACATCGCTCAGTAGCAGGAGTAGAATTTGCTCCATCCATTTGTTGGAAATCAAAACTTTATTCTAAGACTTGAGAATTAGCCGGATGAGCTCTCTGATTACAACCCCCTTTCCTGGAAACACTCATGACTTTCTCAGCGAGAGTAATGCGTAATTTGGCACTGTGTGCGCTCTTTATCCTCCATATCGCCTGCGTAAATTGCGCATCACTGAGCGGAGCGCGAGGTACTCGTTTTTCAAGCTACACTGTAAAAAGTATCACCCTCAGCTAGTCATTTATTTTTCATGAACTTCGTTGTGAGTTAGTCAGATGCTTAGAAGTGTTTTTTTAGTAACTTTATGGATCTCCATTTGATGGCTGTACTTGCATTAGGTTGCTGTAGAACAAGGTTAGGTTGTAAGACGCCTTATGGAGACGGACTTAAACATCTGCTGGTCATTTTTTGCAGCGTCGGCATAAAAAACACGTCACACTGTCAAAGAACTCCCCCCTTCCCTCCCTGTTGGTCCAACATCCACAGTGAAGGAACAACTGGATAAAGATTTGGGATCAGAAGCGCAGTCATCATGACCGGATTTCGACTGAACTTCTCGCCCCTGAAGGAGCCCCTTGGCTTCATCAAACTGGTGGAGTGGGTAAGTTTGATGCATAGTATTTTACTGCAAAGTTTTTGTGTGTGTGAGAGAGAGAGTGAGTGAGTGAGAGAGATACCCAGAGGACAGGGAGGTTCAGTTCAATGAGTTTTCCCTTTCCCATGACTCCTGAGAGAAAACCGCTCATGTAGCCAAAATGTGTTAAAGAGATTGGTTGGTTCAAAATGTATATGACACAAATATCTGAAAATTCAGTGAACAAATGTCAGCTTTTGTCTGTCTGCAGCTTTATGATTTCCTCTTTCAAATGACAAGATATATGTAGTAATGTAGTACAATTAAAAATACTCAAGATTTGGTGGTTTTTGTCAAACAAGAGTGAGCAGTTTTGTACCGTACACAAAGACTATTAGGATTTACATGACATCTTAACTTGGTTCATCAAAAAGTTTGGCCAAATAAAGTGAACAGGAAGGAGATCAGTGCATTTCTCCAACTGCTTGCCCTTCAGACACACAGTTAGGGATTAATGCCCCTCTCTGTAATAATTTACCCCTGAATAACTTTGCTGTAGGTTGAAACATTCTGACAAGACTCACAGGGTTTCTTCAGGAAAGTCCAGTCACAGTTTGGCCCTCCATAACTGGGTCAGAGGATCCTGGCTCAGATAGGCTTCTTCTCTTTCTCGTAAAACACACATACACACTTGGATGCAAAAGCTTAAAAGCAGCAGTAACCCCCAGTCATCTGACTCTGGACCAGGCTCCATGTGAGTGCCTGTGTGTTTAATAGTGTTCAGCTTATGCAACCCAACATGTTATTCACAAGGGTCGGGGTAATTCCTCTTCTTTTATCATTAATTATATTTACTGCTGGGACTGTCTTGTTTGATGTAACAGGCGTCCCAGACTCCCAGTTGTTTGTTGATCAAGCTTTATAAAGTATCATGGAGTTAGTCCAGGAGTTTTAAATGTTTGCTAAGTGAAGTTGATAGTTTAACAAACAATGTCCTCATTACAGTTTACTGAAAAAAAACTGCCACTTTGTGAACTTTCGATAATAAACCAGCTCTTTCTTATCTGTGTGTGAAATGTGCAGGTTTTCATGAGCATGCCAGTCCTTTTGCATTTTATTACTGATATTAGAGCAGCTATGTGAATGAGTGTTTGCTATGTGTTGTTTTTTATTGTACTTGTCTTTTATGACTGCATGCTGCAAAAAGACAAAGTTTCTTTCAGCTGGCACTCACTGAAAATAGTAACATTTTTAAAAAAGTGGCCGGTTAGATAAATGTGAAATATTATTTCTCAAGCAAAAGTCTTAAATGTCTGAAATGTTTTTGCAAATATTGATATTTTGTTAGGCGCCTTGTTTTTAGGAAATCTTAATGGTCAATTTTTAAGAAGCTCTGCAAACTCAAAGCAGAAAAATGATGGAAGATAAATTAGTAATGGAAATATTTTGAAGTTGCAGCTCTACTTTTTGAAACACATTTTTAGGATTGCATAACATGGAATCTTTGACTTGATCCCACTGACTGATACTAATCTGGTTCTGATTGGTGATACCTATAATATACTAAATAGTCAATTTGATTTTGTAGTCAGACTTTCTAAGATTAAACTAGCATCTGCAGCTCCATTTACATCACAGAAGACAGTATAAAAACACACACACTAGAACCGTTTTACACATATTCAAAGGCTTTTCGCAGACTTTTAACAATATTTGTAATGTACATGCATGCAGTGAGGGTATTACAAGCTAAAATTTAGTGTGCTTAGTAAACTGTGCATATATATTAATTCTATGTGAAATTTTCTAAAGGAACTGTCCGACTCTTCAATGTCACTGGAGTGCCTTGTCAAACTAAGACTACTGGTGTTGACTGGCATTGTAAGCCCATACGTCCATGGTAAAACTATGTAACTGCCGTCGTGGATAAGATTATAAATGTGTGTAGAGATCAGATCACACAAAACATGTTGAGTTAAGTCTGCAAAGTAGTGTCGATGAATACACCATTGCTGTTCCAAATACACCATTAGCTGCTCAAGTCCTCGGGAGAGGGTGGGCCATCAAAGGCTGCCAGCCAGCTACTGCTGCTTTCTATCTCGATAATACATCTTCATTGCAATGACAATTTTTGTTAAGTGACTTACAGTGGGCTGTGTTAAGTAAGCCTTTTTTTGCTGAACATGTTATGCAAGTTGAAAATGGGTTCTGTGTCTCTAAAACAGTGATAAACATCCACACTGGTGAAACCATTACAACTCCTCTCTCAGCTTGTTGTGGCTGTGCTTGTTCTCCTCTCTGTGTCTAATGGTGGACTGGACACTGCCTCCCATGATGTCAAAATGTGCCACACTATAAATGTTAATGTTTTTATCAGATAATCTCCTTGATAATTCTGAACTATTACCTTTATTAAGCCGATACACTATAGACCAGATGTATGGATGTCATACGTAACGGTTAAAAATGCTTTGTGTAGAGCGCTGTGTATCTATTCTAGCAGTCCTTTCAGCCTTTAAATTTCAGACCTAACTGTAACCTTTGCTGTCTCTTATTGGTGGGTAACCATCAGGTTGCCTGATGTTAAATCTTGTCTAATGTGACTTATTATATTGTAACAGGAGTTTATCAGGCACTAGAGTTATTTGCCCCAAATGCTCATACCTCCATAGATGCTATCTTCCACAGAGTAGTAAACAGGAAGGGATGTTTTAAGGCTGTCCCACACTCACCCAACGTGTCAGATCTTTCCTGTTGGTTTATTTCTTGTTCTTTTTACCCCCCATAAAAGATTCTGTAAAGTAAACTTTTTGTTTGTGATTTAAGTGGTTGCTATGTGTTTAAATTACGAACGGTGTCAGATGGCTTGGCTTGGAATAAGGATAGCCTGTAGCTTCACTTGGCAGTCTCTGGTATGTCTATAAATTGGCGCTGAGGGAATGCAGATGTCTGGGATGCCACAGAAAAAAGTCACTGGACTGGCAAAATACTGCTATGTGTCCACAGTGTTAGGCAAGCACTGTGATTGAAGAAAGTTGCCACCTGTAGTAGCAACTCGGGGTTAAGCTGCAAAGTTGGAAGCTGGAGAAATACTCAGCTGTCTGGCACTTCCAGCTGAAAAAGATTTAACACCAAAACTGGAAATGTAAAATGCTTTATTGACACTGGCTGTTACCGTTATTCCTGCTGCGGCTCTGTGACCTCAGTGTGAGAGAGTGACAGAGTCAGTGTAACCAAAATGTGAGAAAAGTAGCTTACATCGGTGTGTGTAGCCAGAAAAACAGGAAGTGGCAGCCAGTGACATCTGGAGACACATCTGGAGAGAGGCCTGGAGGTGTGTGTGGGTGTGTAAGTGGATGCAAAGTACAGTATGTGTGTCGGCCTTGTGGTGTGAAGCTTAAGTTGAGGTAGCCTCATGTAAGCATTTTTCAAGGGTGTGATTCAGTTGTGCAAATTGAGCAGATTTACAGAGGTCAAGTTACACGTTTGAGTGGTTACATGTTTTCTTTAGTGTGTCGGAATAAATGCGGCAAAGGTCTTTGAGCTGCTGGTGAATCAGAAATCCCCAACTGTGTCTTATCTCTTTCAATCCTGTCGCCAAGTTTTATTCCAGTTAATTAAGACAAGTTGTCTATGCTGCTTTATTTAATATTTTTTAATGAGAAGTACATGGAGTAACCTGCTGATATTTATAACCAAACTGCACTTTCACAATCTTCCGGGCTGCTTTCTCTATCCCAGAAAACACTGAAAACAATCAGCAAAGTGCCACACAATAGTCAGGCAAAGTTTGAAACAAGCCTACGACCATTATAAACCTTTAAGCTGCACAAAAGCTAGTTATCTCTCATGATTTGGTGTTGATCAAAAATGAGCTTCAAACAACTCCAAATTCATGCAAATGTTGACTCATTGTATGATAAGGTTAGCACGTTAACAGTTTTTCTTTCAAGGAAAAATTAAATTAAACAAACTTATGAATCATTGTTCTCAGTCTCACAGGTCAGATATTGAATAACAGAGATGTGAAGTTGTGCATGTTGATTGCAAGAACGTGTGAAAACACATTATGACACATCTAAAGTAGAACAAAACGTTCGTGTTGTGATGTGCAAAGCTGGATGATCAGATAACTCATCAGGTGTGACTTAAGTGATATCTAATGTGGTATTTTATGTCATAATGGAAGTCTAAATGACCTTAATACTCAAATGATGTGATCATTATTTGGCCCGCTGTGGTTTCAGCATTGAGCTCAGTGCTGGCCACTCTGACTAAAAGAATTCAGTATGTGTTGGTTTTAAGGAGAGTATTAGTGTCACATGGTCTACACACTGAATCAGATGCTTTCTGCCTCTGCAAGAAAGAATTCAAGTGCTGAATAGCAGCATTAGTGCAGCCATGTAAGACAGATTTTATTGTGTTGTGTCAGATAGCCATTTTATAATTGGAAGGGTTAGGAAATCTCTAGAGCCACCCAGTTTTAAGACATATTTTTCCTTTCTTGGTGCATATGGTGGCACCATCTGACTGCTGTTGAATAAGAAAGTCGTGCAAATAAAGATGCCATTTGCTTTTAACCACACAAGACAGGACATTTGGTTTAGGTTTGCAGTTTCCATTAGTACAACGAGGAAACCAATAAAGTGAAAACGATTGAGTAGTGAGTTTTATCTCTGGCAGTCTGTTAGAGAGAAAAAAGGCTGGCCATCTGTTGGTCACTCTCCCTCTGAAGTGCTGACATAACTTTTAAATTGCCAACTCTCTTCTGGTTGTGATCATAAATTGTTAAGTCAAAAAGAACATCAAAGTAGGAAGCATAACCAAGGTTTAATAGAAGAAATAAAGACTGAATATCATTAGATTTTTCTTTCTCACATGTCTCTTAACCATCTTCCTACTCTCTCACTTTCTCGTGTCTGCACAAACAGCTCACGGCTGTATTTGCTTTTGGGAGCTGCGGTGGATTCTCAGGGAGGAACATCCTCACTGTCTTATGTGGTGATGGCAGGAATGAAACTGTCAATGCCGACTTCCACTACCCATTCAGGTGAGAATGGCAGCACAAGCAGGATTTTTCAATGTCTGCTACTGGACTACAGTGTCGCTTGTCATTAGTTGTGACTATTTTAAAAGGATCATCTGAGCAACTGGGTGATGAATTCATCAGGAAGAAAGCACTCTGAATGATGACTTTGACCTTTTGTGTTGTACCGTTGCCAGGTTGAGCCAGGTCCCACTCATCGAGGGAAACACCACTATTTGCAACCACTCTGTCACCCTGACACACATGGTGGGAGACTCGTCCTCCTCAGCTGAGTTTTTTGTTGGCATCGCCATCATTTGCTTTCTGCACAGCATGGCGGCTCTGTTGGTGTATCTAGGCTACATGCACGTTTACAAGAACTCTGAATTTGGACCCATTTTTGTAAGTATTAATCTTGTTTCTTAGCTAATTAAGCCTTCAAAAACTTACTACTACCAGCACAAGGAGAATTTTTCTGTTTGTAGAATTGATGTGTCCCGCGTTTGCTTCCAGGATTTTGTTATTACAGCGATTCTGGTGTTTCTGTGGCTGGTGTGTTCATCCGCATGGGCAAAAGGCTTGCAGAATGTGAAGTACGCCACGGATACGGAAGGCCTCAGTGCCACACTGGATCTCTGCAAGGATAGCAACACCACTTGTGAGGTCACAGAGTATGCTAACCTGCGGACACTAAACATTTCTGTGGTAAGATACACAGAGAAATATGCTTTTTTAAATTGTATTTTTGTCTTTAATTCTTTAAACCACACCCTCAAAGCTAGATTGAAGCATAAACAGAGCAGCCTGACTTACAGTCATGAGACTCTGAGCAAAAACACTTGGATATTCCTCAGACATTGTTGTCTCCTCGCTGTTATCTGTGTCAAAATCCAAAGAAAATAACAAAACAAACAACCACAAAATGACTGTAAAAAGGGAGTTTGCAACAGTAAGATGTTGCTCAGTGTTCATGTCTCATCTTCTAAAATCTTCAATCCTCCAGAACTAGTGAATTTTGTCCTCTGCTTGCTATTTCTCAGGTATTTGGCTACCTCAACATGTTTGTGTGGGCGATCAACGCCTGGTTCGTGTACAAGGAGACTCGCTGGCACTCCCAGAAGTTCTCCTCTCCACCTGGAGCTGGAAGACAACACGTCCCTACAACCATCTAACATGCGATGTAACATAACACAAACACACATTCACACACTATTACTCCAAACAAAAAAAAGACATAAAGATCCTGTGCATAACCACCTTGCACAAGTATCTATAATTTGAGTACATGCATGTACACACACAGTATAACCATTAAAATCATTAAAAATATGTCCAAAAGATGAATATGTTAATTGACATCAGCTGAAGGGTTGAAGGATTTGTTGATATGGACCTCATTAATGCACAGGGCTGAATTGGCATTTTGTTCATCAAAATGTCCCGTTATTTCTAAAACCATTCTGAACTTGAACTGAGGATATTTCAGCTTGAAGTTAGAAATGCAGGGAGGGGGATGAGTCTTGTATAGATTTTCATTATCATTTGTTCCTTTTGTGTTATTTTACCTTTTTTCACATACAATAGGAATTTGGTTAAAGAGGGAGCAAGTTCAGCTCAGGCTATAGAGTGGGCGCCTAAACACAGAGGATACTGACTTGACTCCAATTCTCAGCCCTCTCCTACATGCCATCATTGCCCTCTCCCTCATATTTTTATTCACTGTCCTCACAATATAAGCATCAAAAACACAAAAAACACTTTGAAAAGCCTTAGTAGGTGTTTTACCACTACGCCTTATACAGCAGATATATGAGTTTGCACAGACAAGGACCAAATATGCTTGTATTTTTGAGCTTTGATTCTCTCACAGCATTTTGTTTTTCAAAAGAGGGTTTCCTTGATTTTCTCATCCAAATAAAGGAGACTTTGAGAATGTACTTTTAAATGCATCCTGATGAATATAAGGTACTTCACACTCTCTGCCTATGATGTAGAAAACAAACACTACATCCAGTTTTTTAACATCGGCACCTTTTATGTGATCAAGGTTGCCATGGCACCAGAGAGAGCTGTCTGCAGTGCACTATGAATTTTTAATACCTTAAACACTCAGCAGATCAGTACCATTAAGTTACATTCATTATAATTTATTCCATCCAGTATTAAGCATCAACATGTTGTGTTTGTTTTTGACTGACTCAAGTTTTCAGGATTCTTTCAGCCACTCATTGGCTCGTCACAGTTGGCCTATTTGCCTCCTGGTGGTAGCTGGCAGGTACTGCAGTGTCTAAGCCACGCTAAACACAAAGCTCATGCAGTGCAGTGATCTGGTAAATCTATTTGCAAGTCTTAGATCTGCACTGATTTTCCTGCCCAGGTTAGCAGAAAAAGACATGGATGTAAAATGACCTGCAACCAAAGCATCAGGAAGGTACTTTTATTTCTTTGAAGTTCTTTAATGTGTCATAAGAGTCTAAGTTTGGAAGGTGAACTTGAAAGTATGTGTAAGAAAATCTTGCTGAATTTGCAGCGAAGAAGGTTTTAAAAAGTATTTTGGCTCTGCAACCAAAGGTTCTGAATTCCTTAGTCACTACCATCCAAGGTACATACAGTATGTCTCACAATTTTAGTGTCTCCGTGTTTTATTTTTATCTACAGGGCTTTTATGTTTGTGAGGCACTTTCTAATGTATGTTTTTATGAGTGCTGTATGAATAAATGTTATTATTATTATTATTGTTATCATTATCATTATTATTATTATTATTATCAGTAGTAGTAGTAGTAGTGTGACTATTTGAAGGTTTGAACGTGTTTAAAAGATGTTGCATCTTTATTTTGATTTTTCTGCACTCATACATTGATCTCCTTTTTACCATTGTAATTTTTTTGTAACATATCTCTGGTTTCAAATCTATTATTTTACTCTTATCCAAACAACTTCATGTTATTTTAGATTGTTTAAAGCTTCAAAATCCTTCATGAGACACCTTACTGTGAGCATTCATAGCAGTCTTGACCATTTTTTTATCTTCAGTGCATAATATGAAGGTTCTTTGTTGTACTTTCTGATTTTTTTTCTTTTTTTGGGGGGGGGGGGTCAATTGGGTTTTTTTGTAAGTCGGATTTGAAACTTCTATGCATGTGGTGTACTGGTTATGCCTCTTCGCTCTGAGAATCATCATCCAACTTTAGCTTTGGCTTTGTCAATGATTCCTTTGCTTTTAACCTGCCGGGGTGACAGATGTTCACTCTGTGGCATGCACAATTTTCATGTACAGTTCTTGTTTTTATTTTTAATAAAATGAATGATTTTCTCAAGAAACTTTCTAGTTAACGTCCCTGCCTTTTTTGTCCTTGACTTTCCTGTCAAGGTAAATCAGTTTTACAAGAATCTTATATATTCAGACTCAGTTCTGAGTTTGAAACTTCTCAAAAATGTATGGATCCAGAGTTTTGAGAGACGTTTACGCTGGAGTAACATTAAAGTGTGACCCCTGACCCCTGAAGAGACAGAAGAATACCATTTGTGTTTCCTCATTTGTGCTGAGGGTGATTGCTGAGGTCACAGGACACATCAGGAGGTCTGTGGTCATGCTTTGTGTGTTTGTGTGGGTGAGTCATTAAGAGAGGAAACCAGAAGTGTACCAGTAAATTAGAAAATGATGTGAAGAATGGCACTGGATCACAGTGTGGACCATGTGTATGCTTGGATTTTATCATCAGTTTTAACTTATCAAATGGATTTTCCTTTTCCTCATTTAAAGCCACAGTTCCTTAAAATCTCCACCCGTTCAGCTTTCTTACACCCTGTCATGTGATCACAGGCATGTAGACACATTCCCGATTTAGTTCTTGTTTATCCTCTGAAAGAAAGTGTTTAATTTTCCACATCACAGGATACTGACATTATTTTGTGTGTTTTGCTTAAACCTTTATCCTTGTAAATTGTGTTTAAGTTACAGGCATCATGTGATTTATGGATTAAAGTGAACAGTTTGTTCAGTTTGACTTTACATGTGAAATGCAGGTTCTGTTTTCAGCCACAAGAGGTCAATGTAGTGCCATGAACTTGACCTACTAAGCTACTTAGAAAGCTGAGTATCATGTTTCTCTGTCAAGGGAAAGCAGTCATGTTCAGTCTAACTACTGTTACACAATTACTTTGGACTATTTTAAACTATGAGCAAACTGCTAATCTTTGTTCTATTTTACATATGGCTGGTAAGTCATTTAGTCTTTTTAAGGCACTGTGAGGAAAAAAAACTGCTAATGTTCAAACAAGTCATAAATATGTTACAACTGTCACCCTTTAGTAAAACATGTAGTGACAGATGGCTTAAAGAGGGTATGGGTATGATTTGTGGTTTTGATTCACATATAAACTCAGTGTCACCAATGCAACATCCCTTAAAGTGCTCTAATGTTTGATAATAATAACACATTTTATTTATAATGTGCTTTTACAGGTGCTCAAAAACGCAATTTAAAACACAGAAAATTTGGAGTACTAAGGCCAACAATGTAAAAGGTTAAAAAAGACACGATATGAAAAGACAATAAAAGAACAGTTCACAGGTTAAAAGCCAATTTAAAAAGGTGTTTCTAGGAGTGATTTGAAAGTATGGGGGTCTGTACAGTCTCGAATGGGTTTGGGGAGTGAATTCCCAAACAATAATGATGTAGAATAAGGATTTTAATCAAACATGGTCAGATTTACAGATTTAGAAAGGGGCAAATGGCCATCATCTGCATCCTCAATCTCAACTATTAAAATCATATACTTACAAAACATATAAATCCCATATCTATCCCGTATTATTTATGTTTTTACCTATGTCACCACCTTAAATGTGTAAAGACAAGTCAGGCGCATTAAATTTATACTGTAGTAGGTGTGTGACTGATCAACAATCAATATTATTGTCAGAAATAGAGGGCCCCAAAATCAAATTTTGCTCAGGGCCCCATTGAGACTTGGGCCGGCTCTGACCACCAGCTATGTTTTTAGTGGACCGATGGCATCAAAAGTATGTGAAACGCTTTTAACCTCCCCTACAGAGTTTAAATGACAGCCAATAACCATTCAATAACTGATGTGTTGGTGATGGACAAGGCCAATTTAGCCTAAATAATGAGGGTATGGAGCTTTAACATTGACATCTGTAACAGGTAGATTTAACCAATCTGTTTTAATGTACCCTGTGCTTTAAAAATAGGCTTATTTTTATACATTCAACTTTATTCACAGTGTAAGGGTATGGATTTTGTCATTAAAATGTTTTATATTTTGGGAAAGCGTGTTGAGTAAAAACAGATTTATCCACCACATATATCTTTTTGTGCACTGATGGCATCAAAAGTATGTGAAACGCTGTTAATCTCCCCTACAGAGTTAAAATGGCAGGCAATAACCATTCAATAACTGTCCTTCCATCTGAGAAAACAAAGTTTTATTCCTTTTTTCCTCTATTCTTGTATGATAATCAGCGTCATTTCTTCATTTACCATGCAATCTCATCTTCCCAAAGTTTATATTTCTGTACACTTTGGTCAGTTGCCTTCCCACATACTGAACTTTTGAACTCGTGAATTACACCTTCTCTGTCGCTCAACCTCTCAGCTATCCGGCAGATGCCGAGGCGGGCCGAAGCCGCCCGAGGACGACGTCAGCATATCTCGTTCTTTCGTTTTTCGCCTGCTGCGTGCGAAGGAGAGAGAGGAAAAAACGGCTCTCAGCAAAGCAACAAGAAGGAAGAGCAATGGCGACACTGGATCGCCAAATGCCAAGTCTGGATACCTTCCTTTGCGAACCTTGGTCCTCCTTCGTCAGTGCCTCTAAATTACGTTTTGTTGACAGTAAGTTCGCACGTCGGTAGCGTTGTTGTTTTTGCAGGCAAAGTGTCGGGAAGTGCGTGGTCCAACTGTCTGTGATTGAGTTGAGTAAGCCCCTCCACCATGCAGGGTCTGTCAAAGCGCAGCAAAGTAACTGTCAGAAATATTACTACGAAATGCAAAAAAATGATACACCGTTTGAATTACCGGGCACGTGCGGGCGAGACACGGCTAACCGTTACCGTGCAGAGTTCGTAGAATTGGCGCGTGCCGTACAGTTAGTGTGTGAAACTGTGTCCAGCTGTAAGTTTGTTAGCTTTGACAGCTTCACTCAGCTCAGGCGCTAGCAAAGGCTAATGCTAACCCATGATAGCCAGCAGCCACCTCGGACCAGCATGGCTCCACGCATGTCCCCCCAAAGTTTGTTGTGAATGCCCCTGCGTGTTTGTAAGTGGCTGTTTTTGTTTGTTCAGACGCAGACTCGCCTTTGGATAACAGCGACGGAGAGCTTTGCTGTCTTGGTGAAGCCGTGAAGCTCGGTCCAAAAGGTAAGGAAGTTACACTGATGGATAAATGACGCTGTCACGTACACATTGGTGGTTTGTTATGGTTAGATTCTGCACCATTAAGCACAATGGGTGTCTATAATTTAATCCCTTACGACATTTACCACTAATATCGGGCTTCATTTTTACACTAAGCATGTTTTATAACCATAGTTTTATGTAGTCTTAATAAGATTACTTCATACGTGTATCTGTACTACAAATGAGAAGTACAGTTAGATTCCTGGATGAGGCTTCAACTAGATAGATAGATAGATAGATAGATAGATAGATAGATAGATAGATAGATAGATATACTTTATTGATCCCAAACTGGGAAATTCACTTGTTACAGCAGCAATAAAAACACAAAATAAAATTAAATATAAGAAGTATGTACAATACAGTCTAAATATACTAAATAAAATTAATAAATACAGACTAAATATACTAAATATATTCAATAAATTCAGACTAAATATACTAAATATATTCAATAAATACAGACTAAATATATTCAATAAATTCAGACTAAATATACTAAATATATTCAATAAATACAGACTAAATATATTCAATAAATTCAGACTAAATATACTAAATATATTCAATAAATACAGACTAAATATACTGAACGTCCTAAGAGAAAAAGTGAGATATGAAAAAAGTGGGCTATCCGCTGGTAGTACTAATCTGAAATGAGTAATAAATATGAAATGTGAGATATACAGATGGGATAATAAGTAAACAAACAATTTAATGTGCTCAGTAATGTGTTGTGGTAGGAGTTTTTAAAAAATGGACTATACAGCAGACAGATGTGAGTCTCTGTCCGACAGATATGAGTTATTGAATAGTGCTATTTCTTGTGGCAGGAAAGATTTCCTGTATCTGTCTCTTTGACAGCGGAGCTGCAACAGTCTGTTGGAGAAGGAGCTCTGCTGTCTGTCCAGAGTGATGTGGAGAGGGTGGTCAGGGTTATCATGATGGATAACAGTTTGGTCTAATGATTGATCTGACAATGTGGAGAAAAAAATGGCACCCAGACTGACAGGAAGTTGACAAAAAATCCTCCTACACATCAGTCTCATGATAAAAACATCCAATAAAGTTGAAAATAGCTTTTGCAGGAGTTATGAATGTCATTTTAACAGTACTAGTAGATATTATATAACTCTTTCCTGCTCCCGATTGATTTTTGATTTCATAGCCACAGTCCACTGCCACTGTCTGTTACTTCTTGCTATGAAGAGAAAGTTGTTGCTTCAGACTCAGGTGGATCAACTGTAATCTTGCAAATGCCCAGAAAAAATGTGGTCAAAAGATGAAAACAGAGTGACACTTAAGACCCCTCCGCTCTGTGCTGGGGTGTTGCTTACCATGTCCGGGTTCCAGTCTGCTTTTGACACACTGGTCCTTACATAAAGCTGGAGATCAGAGACTGTGGGGTTTGTGTCAGTATAAGGCAAACTGTAATTCCATAATTCATGAATCTGTTACATATTTAATAGGTCTTCATTATAAACGAAAATCCTTTAGAAGGGCATGTCGTGTCATGGGTTTGCATTTATTTGCATTCAAGAGTGTATGATCATTTAAACTAGACGCTAAGTGTCTTTAATGGGGGCTCAGATTATCATAGTAGATACACTGACTGAACACAGTTAAATCATGTGCATGTGTATGTGTAGGGAGTAACAGGGTGCCCCCAAGCTGTATGTGGGTGCTTCCACCACCCTCCCCAGGAGACACAGTCAGAGGAGTTCCTCCACACCTCACCACGTAAAAATACCTACAGGAGCACGCGCCGCACACTAACACGGTTGAGTCATCCCTCAAAGTTTCTGCGTACTGCAGCCCTCGTAGGAACACACTGACGCACACAGGCAGCCGGGGAAACTCTTCTCACTCTCTCTGGTCAAATACCAACACCCCCCACCTCCCACACACGCATACACATACACATTCACTTACATGCCTCATCTTCCTCTCTCAGAGCCAAACCTGAGTGGTGTTCCCAGAATTGCTGATCTGTTGGCAACTTGACACCGAGGCCTGCTGAGAGTGATATGCATGCTCAAACACATATGCTACATTAAGACATTGAGAGAGAATTCGTACATGCGTTTTTTTGTGTGTGTGTCACAGGAAGAGTTGTGACTTATTGTGGGTTTGTGCGTTACATGTTCACTCTCTTGTCACTGCACCAAATATTTGTAGATGTTGTTGAGGCCAGTGTGGCGATATGTGGTGTGTGGTGCAGAACGTGATCGGTGTCTGTCCCTTCCTCGCTCTCTCATACACACAGACACCACACAAACACACTTTAGCACACAGTTGATGACAACCAAACAGCAACTAAGTCAGGCTACACTGTCATCATCTCACTGGAAATAGACAGTGTTGTAACATTGCTATTTGTGCCTTCACTGCTGTCTTCAGACGGGATGGAAATCAACCGGAACATCATGCAATTTAAACCCTGAGATACAGTATGATAAGGACATCTCTGCAAGCATGCTTTGAATGTTTTTCTGTACCAAATGATTATCAAACACAAGGGCGCATACCACATGATTTAGCAGGATTCAACGCATGCCTTGCATGAACTGAAAGCAGAGAAGTCTCATGTTTCTATCAGACATTACAAAAAAGGTTTTTTAATGATTAAGCTAATGTCACTCCTATTACAAAGTCATTCCTCAAGTATAGCTCAAAGAAAACACTAAAAGTGATAGCAGCGCGGTACAGCGCAAAATCAAACAGTGTGCTAAAAAAGAAAAAAGGAGAAAGTCCTCAAGAGGGCAAAATTAATTGGCATCTTTTTAAGGCCATTGTTCAAATCATTTGTCTCCAGAGACATTAAAATACACCAGACCAGACCCAACCTGTGATCATTTGTTGCTATTATGTGACAAGAAAGTGGTTAGAAATGCAAGCAAAATGTCACCATAGGCACAAAGCGCTTATAAAGTTTTTAGCATAATCTTCAGCTGTTTAAGTAATGAAGAAAATGATAGTAAAAAAATTTAACATGCAGAATAAAAGTAGTCTCTCTGGTAAAATAAGGAGAATGTGTGTCAAAATGAAATATATCAATAGGATATAATGATAGTTTTAACCTAGATTTGTATTTGGTATTTTTAGACAAATGGAGCGAACAGTTGGAGGTGGCAGTCCTGAGTCTGAAATATTAGCTGCCAGCTAACCACTCTAAGGCTTGTTTTCTCAACCAGACATTTTGTTGCTGTACCAGTAATTATCTGGTGTGCCAGATGAAAACAAACAGCGTTGGTTAAAGCTGTTGCTGTGGCTTGTTGTGCCCTTCTTCTCTGTAACGGTTGTGGCACAGCGATTACTCAAACACAGCACCTAACTGCCAGATTTCCCCTCGGCTGCTTCATTTGTGCTCTCAGGGAAACTTGTTTCTCAGTGAAGTTTGGTTATTACTATGCCGTTGTCTGCCAAACCCCAGTTTTCTCGAGTAGGACTGAGTAAGTTGCTCTTCTCTTCTTCTCCCGATGTTAAAAGTTATTGCATATGCTCACTAGGAAGCGTGCATCTCTAATGCACCGATAGGAAGTTGATTTACATGTTGTAAATGTATCAGTGTCCGGTGATGCACTGTTTTAGTAGCTCCAAACTTGTGTATTCACCAGTGAGTGATGTTTTTGTAGTTCATTTTCTGGCCTGTCAGTCATTTGGCAGCCTGTGAAACTTGGCTTGAGACAAACACACACACATAATTCAGGCTGCTGAAATAGGTTACGTACTTAGCTTGCATTTGACTTGGCAGATTCAGAGGAAATTGCATTCTTGCTCCTTTTTCGTACTCCCTCTCAACTCCTTTTCTGTCACTGTAAACACTGAGATTATCTGTTTGCCAGAAGACACATTCTTCCCATGATGGTTTTCCAGTATTTGGCTTAGCTTTGCTTGGAGTTTATCAGTGACCAAATGAGCTCATTTGCCCAAAATGATTGCAAACTAAAGTGTAGAGTTTTTGTTTTCTGGGCTCTAATCAAATGTGTATTTTTCAAAGGTATTTATTTGTTGTTTTTTTTAATTGTAGCTCAGAAATGGGTAGTCTTGGTTCAGTCAAAACCAAACACTATTTTGAATTTCTTTCTAAGGTAAGGCAAAAATTTGAGAGTTCGTGCCGTGGCTTAAATCCAGGAGCATGAGTGAGAAATAATCTCCTCTGTATCGACAAGGTGAACTTGTGCAAAGCATCTTACTGCTATCTGCTTCAGTGCAGCTGCTCGGCATCTTCGAGTCTTTCTGATATGAAAAACTCTTCATCTCCTGCCAGTATCAGTTTACTTTATCACTCATGTATTACAGTTGGAGCTTTAATTTGATTCAGTGTTCATTACTCATCAGTATTTGTTCAACAGCAACCTGGAACGAGTCAGACTCAGAAGCTGTCAGATATGTGAGCATGAGTAATGAAACCATCTCTGAGCTTTTACAGTATGCACACACATGACATGCTCACATGCATGTGTGTGTATTTGTGACCCTGTGTGAACTAGCACACAGGCTTTAATGGAACCGCGCTTGACAGCCATCTCTGTTATTTCTCAGATCACCCCGCTAAAGTGATAATGCCTCACAGTCGTAAACTCTGCGGCGCCCACACATTCTGTAATTTTTCCTTGTTAGCTTTCAAGAAAAAAAAATAGACATCCATATGCACATACACACACACACACACCCCTCACCACCCCTCAGCAATTCTGGCTTAAGCCTCATGCTAATAAGTGCTGTGATTTCTGTCAGCAGAGCTTGTTTGGGTACAGGAAGATTAGGTTCTCAAAGCTTAGCCAGAGGAGATAATAGCTATTTTCCATTGGACATATTTGTTTTCCCTCAGTATTTCTATTAATCCTCAGTTTTTGTTGAGTGGGTGGAGTGTCTTTTGTAAATCCAGTCACAATGTTGCTGTACCCTGGCGGGGACATGCAACTTTGTGACTGGAGTAATTGTGTATCTGTCTCGATCTTCATGCCTGTCTGTAAAGTAAATAAACATTCCCTGTTATGTTTGTTTGAGGTGAGCTGTTGTTCATGATGTAACATGAGGGTGTTAATTTTGGCTTCAGACATCTCTGTACAAAAAGTACAATTTTAAAGCTTGTTTCTACTCAAAGCTAAATGCCAATGTTCGCTCTCTTTGTTTATTTTTTGGTGGATTAATTTAGCTGATATAGTCTTAATCATAAACTGTAAAATGAGATCGATGACATGATGGCACCCCCAAAGCGAAGACAAATGTTTGGTTGTACTCCCTACTGCCTGGCTGCAGTATCAGTCGTCAGGCTCACCTTCTGTGTATTTGCAGGTTTGACATTAGGCAAATATATTTAACAACATGCATCATTAACATTGTCATCTAAGTTAATTTATTCATACTGGTTTATGCTTAATTATTGATTCTCCCGAGGAGTTAAAAATTGGGTTAGTGAAACAGTGAAAAGGTGAGAGTCCAACTCCCTAATGGGTGTTTTGTTCTTGAATGTGACATCACATTTGTAGACGTGGAGATGAAGATGCATCATTCATCTATATATATGGTGGAAAGCCTGAAATAAAAATCATGAACATATAACTATTAATACGAATAGTTGGGATTTTAATATATCAGAGGGCTAAAAGTTAAATATTTGTTCCTTTTATACCCATGATTAAAAAGGAAACTGCACAGTTTTCGATATTTAGCTTTATTTTGCTTTAAATGTTCATAGCTTGGTTATTTGAATTTTTTTTTCAATGGATAGAGTAAAAAAATTTAAATAAAGGGGTGAATAAGCTGCACAGTGAATTAAAAAGAATTTGGTTAAACTGTGACGATACTTTTCAACTTTAGTTATTCATGCTGATGTTGATGCTGTCTTGGATTAACAGTGGTGAACCATTTTGGCCAAAATACTCCAGGTATAATACGCCATTATTTGCCAACTAACGGTAAAGCTCAAGACATTGAGCTGGTAAAATATAATCAGGCTACAATTAGTGCTTAGTAGTGTCTGTGTCCTCACAATTAAAGCTGGAGCCATCTTCAATGTAAGGTACAGAACTTAATAATGTACACATCCACACTTGGATATTAGGTGTCATTTATATGGATGAAAAAGAACGAGTCGCTTGACAAAATTAAAAAAAAAAATTTAAAAAAGGCATAGATATTTATCCCAATCTAAATTGCCTAATTTGTATTAGTGAACAAAAGATGACTTGCCCCTCTTGGATTATAAAGTTTACCTCACCAGACCTTACCTTTTGAATATCCAGTCATATAACACAAAACTGTGTATTTACTGTAAATAGGCTACTTGTATGCAGCCTACATCTATAGAATCCTGCATTCCTGAAATACTACTAAATCAGAGATCTAAATATAATAAAATGATGAGGGTGATTGCCATTTGAAAAGCTTTAAATCAGACATCAATTGTGCAATTTCTGTGATTGAGTTCAAGCATGCATGTTCTGCCTTTTGAAGGAAAAACTGCCAAATCTTCCCATGGGTTTGCAAAGGTATTCTTTTCTCACCTGTCTTGTTTTATCTTTTCTGTAACATACTCTTTCTCCTCTGTCCTCGCAGGGATGCTCATCTACAGCCAGTTTCCAGCACTGGAGGATTTTTGTCTTGTTGTCTGCCATGTCTGCAATCAGGTGGTCACTCCTCAGGGCATCCTCACACACTATGGTAAGAACCACAGTACACACACTGTACACACACTCACAAAGAATCCTAGAGGCACAGTGCCACACAAAAACCTCAGGGCATAATCCCACTCTTCGCTGAGGTATTCTTACACACACACTCCTTGGGGTGTCTCCTGCTGCAACACAGGAGCACAGAATCAACACACTCATGCACACATAGAGAAATGGAGCCAGATAAAGTAATTCAACAATAAAAAATACAATTTATCCCTGCAGGGCGCTTTAAACAATAGTCTAACTGCAACTTATCCTCCACAAACAAACACCACTTGGTTCTGCCTGCTAATGCTCAAAGGGCTTATTATAAGTGAAAAACACTAAATAATTTACAGCTAATGAACCAGATGTGGCATTGTTCTCAGGCTTATTCTTAATTCAAGGAATAACCGTATGGACAAAGCCAATTATGAGAATAAGATTACCTCTCTTGAGTAAATACCTTTAGAAGAGGCTGATATTCTCCTAAGGAAAAGGCAGATTTAAAGGGATGATTGTTTGATTTAAAAACAAATCCAAAGGGGTTTATTTTCAATCTCACTTCACTGCTCTGTTTCTTCCTTTTCTTCCATCTCTATCTTTTGGTTGAAATTTGTTTTTTTTTTGGAATCAGAAAGTTTCAGAAAAATCGTTCACAGTTCCTCGAGGGTCCAAAACACATAACCACTCAGCTGCATATGTTATATATACCTGAAGGCTCACCATCATTCCCTAAAATCCAATATTTGTTGCTATGGAGACTGCAGTCCTGTCCAACAAACCTTACGGATCTTTTTTAGATGCTGCTCACCGACAGTCAGCTGTTGTAACATTAAAATTCAAAAGAAGAGTTCATACTGATATTCATATAACCAATTACCAACATTTTATCAAAGAAAGGGTTGTTTTGTGGTGACAGTTTTGATCCCAGTCTTTGATTGGCTCTCCAACCTGTCCGTCTACCTCTTGTTTGCTTTTGATTGAGGCCCTACTGATCGTGCTCGCATCTGCCCGCGAGCTGCTGCTTCCTTCTGTCGGTGGCACGTGCACCAGCCTGAGCCGTCTGTTTGAGTGGGGCGGGGGAGACACATGGTCACGCTTAATGAGCACGCACACACACATACACACACTCAGACGCACGCACACACACAGGCACTCACATACTTCTCCCTGAGAGGAGAGAGGCTGGTGGAGTTACATGCACACACATTTTCACTTTCTGGTTCTCAGCAGAAAGAGGTCAGTGGTATTGCGAGACACACACACACAAACACGCGCACAACACAAACACACACATACAGTATACACACAAACACACTCATAGACTTCTGGCAGGCGCTGTTGTTTTGTCCCCGCTCCTGCCCCCTGCAGGTCCCCGCCCCCCCTTCCTCTCTCTTGTTGGCTGCGATTCGGCTTGCTGACACGCATACAGAGTCGGTTAACAACAGGTCTAAAATACACACATACACACACACACATGCGCATACACAATCAAGAGGGGGAATCTCCTGAGAGTTCCCCGATAAAACAAAACCCTTTTTTGGGGCCAAACATGATAACAAGCAGGCCAAGTCACATGCAGACAAGTAGAAAAGTCTTTAGTTTGAGTCATTTTGCACATCTTTGTTATCATTTGTACTGTTTTGCAGTGACCCAGAAGTCAAACTGCCCTGCAATGACAGATGATTCATGGACTTCATTATTAAATTTGGAGCATAACTTACACCACAACTCTGTGTCATGACATGAAAAATGCTCCCCCTGACCTCTGCTGAGTGGATGGTCTCTAGGACCTGACCCTGTCAAGATATTCTCCCGATGTTTTATGCATTTCCTCTCATTGTTGCCCATTCAAATCATGTCAGTGTAATATCCTCAAAAGCATAACTCTATTATTCCCTGCTGGTGGTTTCTACCTCAAATGTGGCTTTTTTATCCGCTGCTGTGGCCTTGTTTTAGTCCGTGTGTGTGTGTGTGAGACATGGGATTCTGCTTTCATGCTTGAGAGTGCATTGAATCAGCACCGAGGCTTTGCATATACAGAAATGCATGCGTGCACAAACTCACACAGACAGAGAGAGAGAGAGAGAGAGAAAAAGAGAGAGAGAGAGAGAGAGTAGGGAGGGGGTTTGCTGCCTCAGGGGTCAGTGGCTGTAAGTTACACACGCCTAGTTTGCTGCTCAAGCTTTGCTGCGTGTGTGGAAGACAGTGTTCACTCCTTGAACTAGGGACCTGAAGTGGATGCATGCTGGATATAGTCCACGTTTGTGTTCAAAAAGGTTAACATATACTGTAATTGATCATCAGAGACTTGCCCCATTTAGTGGATTTGTTTATTTAAATCTCCTTAGAGTAAAGCATGCATGTATATTCTAAGCATAAGTGGCCCCAGTGGGATATCAAATAAATCCCTTACACTGGCAGCGACTGTAGCGTGCAGTCTCAAGAGAGCTTGTAAAAAGAAAATGTGCAAAGAAATAATAATTTTATGCTTTTGAATGATCCTTAAAGCTTATTTTGGACAGACTGGGACATAGTACAGAATTTTTTCCCCAATAAAGATGTGTTCATTTTTGAGTGTTTCCACACCTCTGTGGCTGTGTGTTTGAGGTAAATTGGCACTACAAGCCATGTCCAGATATTTCACTGTATTCCCTTCAATTTTCTCATCTACTACCTTTTCTTTTTGCCTTTCTTTGGTTCCTCTTCCCTGCCAGTGACCTGTTGTGTGTGAGCAAGTCAAGTGCACGATGAAAGGCTCTTGGCGTTGCTCTCGCGAACTTTTCTCTGTTGTGGTGGATTAATTGAGCTCTGAAGCAAGTTGAAAAAGAAAATCAGTCCCCCATTTTTCCTTTGGTTTCTGCTCATTTCTAACTTAACAAGTGTTTTGTGCTGCTCTGTGCTTCTGCTTCTGAGTTTGTTGTTTTGTAAAAATGTGATATAGTGTGTCTGTCTGTGTGTGCGTGCATGTGTCTGGCCTGTGGTTTCGTCGTTTATTTCACATAGTAGCGTTGGAAAGTTTTGCCCTTAACCACAGAAGCAGTGCTGAGTTTCGTTTATTGGGGATGTTGCTTGTGTTGTGTTATTGTTATTGCAGCCGGGCTGTGTGCGAGCCATTAGCTGAGGCTCTGACCAATTAAAATGCCAGCTGCTACTGTAGATCAGAGGGAGTTTCTTTGCTCTCTTTTCTTAGCACTCAGGTTTGTATGGGCTTGAAAAATAAGTGTTCAGTCTGAATGTTTTGGTACCTCATCTCAGGACCAAAGAGGGGACATTACTGAAAAGAAATCCCCCTCTGCACACAGAATCATACGAAGGATGTTATATACAGGAAGTAGCAAAACATGTGAATTGTCTTTTTATGGTCTTCTCTTGCACCACTGGCATGAGTGTTTGTAAATTCAACCCTGTGTCATTGTCAGTGATTGTCAATAGTTAAGTTTGAGAATGTTGAGCAACAGATTCATACACTCTGGAACCTGGCATGTTCAAGATGCTCTGATGGCATGAATGGTAACAACCGCTGTTGCCTGCCAAAGCAAATAATTTCAACAATTAATGACAATATAACACAAAAATCATTAACAGTCAGTGTTGTATCTTAATAGGTATGTAAATACATACATATACTCACATACATGTACATACACAGCCATTTTTTACTTCCAATACGAAATCGATACCTTCAATATTGATCGATATTGATCCGAGATTGGCACAAAATTGTGTATGACAAGTTTTTCACTCAGCTGCATTGTCTTTTTCGGACTTAAATGAAAAATACTGCCACACGGCTGACATCACTCTGAGGGATGGGAATCGAAAACCAGTTCTTGTTGAGAACCGGTTCCAAATGGTTCAATCCATCGACATCATTTACATTTTATCTTAATGATTCCCATATCAATTCCTTTCTTCCAGGTGTCTTGAAAAACGGTTTCTTGAGTGCCAGTGGGTGCAAATGAGAACAGAGACAGAGAAAAAAACATGGCGGATAGTATGAAAAGTGCTTGTACTTAACGCAACCTTATTTACTCCTCATGTGGCTCTGCTGCTGAAAGCTGGTTCAGGAAGCTCTTACTGACTGTTTAAGACAGCGGGCAGATAAGGAGAAAGTGAGCTTTAGTTTCTGTTAGTTCCAATTTACATTTATACAAACTCCCTCTTCTCGTGGTTTCCGATTCTTACAAAGGCCTGTCTCAGTTTCTAAGCTGTTGGTGCTGTGTCTGTACATTGTTGCTTACTAATAACGTATCAACAGTGTCAACAAGTAAGTGGAAAAAAACATACTGAAGAGCTGAATTGAGTGTAAGACAGTCAGACTGGTGTCGATTGTTTTTCCATCCCATTATGTCTTGCTGTAACATGTTCACTAAGGTGTTCTTTTGCATAATGCTTTCTATCGAACATTCAGTCTACTCCGTCTCAGATCCTCAAATTATCTGAAACGAAGGGGGTTTGATCTGATTTTCTTCAAATAGCTTTTTTTTTCTGATTAAATCATATGTAAAAAACTGATATCAAATGGTCCTCATGTTTTGTTGCCCTCTGTGTGGAAAAAAAAACAAAGGAGTAGAGCTGTTTCTTATTTTTGAAAATTTGAGTATTTGTGTTAGGTTGCAGGGAAAAGATAGTTTTGAATTGTAATGAGCCTTTCAGTATCAAAATGTGCAATGTATCTACCTTTTAGTCAGTCTGAAGCAGCTTGCCCTTTGATTCTTTCACCGTTACCTGACCATTGCATGGCACTCATGACCTTGTTAGATTAACACGGTGATGATTTTCTGCAAATATGGTGGACTCTTAGAATAGAATAGAATATTCCTTTATTGATCCCCCGTGGGGGAAATTTTTTTGTCACAGCAGCATCACAGACAGAGTGCAAAAATGCAGTTATAAAAATAAAGATCCTAATATTAAGAACTTAGATAAATGTAATAATTAAGAAAAAATTTAGAAAAAGGAAAAAAAGGGAGAATAAAAATAAAACTATCTACAATATACACAATTTAAATGCTTGAGGAGCTCTTGCTGAAATCAAAGCCATCCTGAGCATACAGTTACAGCACCGAAACATTGAGAAGCACCTTGAGGAATTATGCATGCACAGAGAGAGAACATGCATCTCCACAGATCAGCTCAGTACTTCTCGACAACCCAAGAGTCAGAGAGGTTTTAGAGATGCTTCTCTTTATTTCCTCACTGCTATATCTCAGTCAGTGAATCTCTTCCATGCTCTCTTCTTATTGTAAACAAACCCAGCTGAGCTTCAAGAGCCTCTGCTTCCTCATCATGCAACAGCTCCACCCACAGGATGGGACAGCAGCCAATCAGCAGCCGGCTTGACTCACTGGATTGCCATAACGACCGACAGACAGACAGGCAGACAGGCAGGCAGGCAAGCATAGTAGTGAGGGTGCCCTTGTGGTTGGAGCACATTGATGACCTTGCACAGGCAGCCTTCCCTGCATTGTAAATCAGTGGGATTAACTCTCAGTTAGCTCAATACTCACACAATGAGTTGTGTTTTTCAAAGCATGTCAGAGTTTGTCAATTTGTAATAATTCCTACTCTGAATGTCCCAGTTTGCATAAAGGCTAATCTCTTAAAGCCTAATCAAACCGTAATTTTTCTTATTTTTGTTTTAATGTAATAATTTAAAATTACACAGATTCCTAGTAGATTTAAATACTTTCTCTAAATTTACGAAATATATTGATCATTTTCATGATGAGCATTGCATTGCAGGTACTCCGTATGTGTTCCCCTGTTTATAAGTGGGCCTGCCTTATTTTACCACAGTTGGTGCACCTTTTCCTCTGTTTTTTTTTTTTAACTTCACACTTGTCTATATTAGTTTCTTTTCAAGAGTGTTGCCCTCTGTAGTTGTTTTAGGAAGTTATGCAACCTCCTTTAAATAATTGTTGCATAAAGAAACATTTAAAACCAACACGGTACTGACGACTTCCGGTCCGCTAACAACTTCTGAACAGGGGAAGAATCTTTATGAAGCAGGAGAGTCATCTTTCCCTCTGTTTATGTGTGTACGTGATTTTATTATTATTTTTTTCCATCATAAATGCATAAAAAACTAGTCTTACTTTAAAAAAAAAACAGAAGATTTTTATTTTTATTTTAAGATTGAATTGAACCCACAATGTCAAAAGTTCACTAATTATTTGTCTTGGCTGTGTATTTTTCTACAATATTTTATATTACTTTGTATTTATTATTCTCATTTTTCTCCCTGAAAGAAAAAACGCTGAAATCAGAAAGTCTCGACCTCTCTGATGCACACAGATCAGAAAACACTGTGGCACAGTTTTCTGAGCTTATTCCTGCAGTCCTGCTTGGTTGAACAGTACAGCTGAATTGACTTAAATGTAGGTTCAGTGTGTGAGGCCTTGCCAAATGATGTGTGATTGAACGTGTGAAGCTATTGCTGTTGTAGCTGCATACCTGCAAATGTGCCTCTGGACTTTGATCCTGCTACTCTGAATACAGCTGCCTCTGCTTCCACTGGCCTATTTACACACCTGCTACACGCACATACACACACACACACACACACCGCATATATTCTCCCTTATATGCTCTTATGAGGTATTCTCAACATACCGCAAAATGATGTACACTCTCTGCTATGCACACAGCCTATACCTTTGGATAGAAACACATCCTTGCGGTTTACAATCTACACACATAGATAATCTCTCGAACACACACAGACACACACCTCACACACACTGTCCCTCAGTCACCTGCAGCTCTCATGAACTCTGAGCAAACACACAGGGTCGGTCAGTCTGCGCTGCTGTTTTGTTCCCCCGGCTGCTGTTAGTAGATTACTACTACACTCATTAACCTGGTTGCACAACAATATGACACACACACAAACACACACACAGGCGCGCGCACGTAATCCCTTTCCTGCTTACTGAGTGAGGCATAAAATAAGCACTACTTGGTCAGGAGTTTGTTTTACACTGAGGAGACCCCACTAAAAGTATATTACAGTTATTTTACGGCACTTAAAAAACAATAAATATCATCATACCTCTGAATTAGCTTTAAGGGGGTACTCTGATGGGATATGGGAAATACCCTATTACCTTAAATTTAATGTTTTGATAGCCGTTTTAGGATACATGATTGTTCCCAAGGTCTGAAGTATACTTACAATATGAATTCAAGGGCAGCTTTAAGGACATGACGCTCCCCCTGCTCTTGTCCTCAGTCAGATGTATCTCATCGCTATTGATCTGTCAGACTCAAGTAAAGCTTTGTGGGTGTTTAAACTAGGAGAAAATCACTAATGATGTAACTTCATTGAAGGTTTGCAGACTGCAGAGACCAAAAGATGTTTGAAGGAGATGCCAGTAATTATTTTAGAGACAAATTATTGACAGGTTCCAGGTGCAAATATTTTAACACCTTTTTTAACTTATATTTTTCAGTAGTAGTATGAGTGGACCTCATGGATTTTGCTCTGATTTTGCATCATAACACGACAGAGCATACTAATGATGGACCTGCCCTTGACAGAGCGCTCTGTCAAGTGTTTTTTATATATTTATTTCCAGGCAAGACACTTTGAGACTTTGATTTCTGCTTGAAAAAGACCTCATGTCACTCTGCGCCGCAACACACACAATAAACAGACTGATAAAATGAATATGTTAATCTTAGATTTCACTATATTCAGGACATGTTATTCATATTTCTGTATACATAATAAATACTTGTCATCAAGTTTCTGTTAACTGCATCTTAATTGTGCAGGCTTCTGAGATGTTTTTATTTTCTAACACAACTCTGTCAACTGGCATTTGTCGTACCATTCGAGGTTATTCTCTGAGAAATAAGACGCTCTGCCACCACATTTTGTTCTACTGGGACTATGAATAAAGATTGACAGCTTTCACATACATATTTTTTTAATGCCACTTCTACCTGTCATCTGTTTACCTTCAGGACCCGCTATAGGGAAGCATAGATCAGATATTTGGATCTGATATCAGCTCCGATATTGACAAATTAACTGGATTGTATACCTGATGAATGACGCCAATCCAGTCTTTTTTTCTTCTTTTAGTTAACGTCATACACAGCAACACAGCAATTCTGTTCGCTCTGTATTCTTTGTCTGTCTATCCTTTTGCACTAAATGTTTCCATGGAAGTCTTACTTCTTTTTGCTGCGTGCTAATGAGCAATTTTTATTTGTTTATAAATAGTATTAATAATAATAATAATAATGCATCAGATTTCATATAGTGCTTTATCAGAGACCCTCAAAGTGCTTTACATTGGATACATCATTCATTCACTCACACAGTAAATTAAGTTAATTTATTACCTTTTTTTTTAACAAGGTTAATTTCAAGCCTGATGCCTTCACTCACAGGACAAGGTTTACTGTTCATTCATTCAACAGTGGTATTGGATCGGTATCAGATATTGGCTGATACACTCAGCCCAGGTATTGGTATCAGATTGTATCTGGAAAAAAATGGATCGGTGCATCTCTAGAGCCGCAATCTAAAAATTGCTTTAAAATTGGAGTCTTAGTGAAGGCTAATAATCAGGTGATTACAACGCAGAGTGCTGCTGTGTTTATGCATGTGTGCAGTTTGTACACTCAGTCAAGTACTGAATAACAGAGCCTGTAAAGGAAGTTGGCGGGCACCTTGTTTTGTGCAGCTGATCGACACAGTTTTGCACACATGTGGCTCAGTTGCATATTGGTTTAGTTTTCTCTGTTGATGATGACTACTTTTAGGCTAATAATATTCTTTGCATTCTTTTCTGTTTTTTCTCTTTGGTGTATATAAATGACCCAGACAGTGTCGATATATAGCACTTGATCATTATCAAACTTAAACAGTCTAGATTTGATTTCTCTATTTGGGTGTTTATCTTCATTCCATTGCTTGCTTCATTTTGCATCTTATCAGCTGACAGGAAATTCAGAAATTCACTCAACCACAAGGCCAGGTCTTGTCCCTGCACTAACAGCTGCTTTTCACCAAGTTATCTAAGAGCTAAATCTGCCAGGTCTTGCAGATGTCTACCTGCTCTTGCAGCCTTTAGAGGATAGGAAGTTGATCTTCCATGAAACCACGATGAGCTCAACGTTAGTGATTAGTTTGAGCACGCTTTTGACATCATTTGACTCTGTGTGCAGTATTTCCCTACATGCTTTTTCTGATTTTCTGACGTACTCATCCCTCTTGTTTCCCTTCAGGTAGCTCGGGTGTAGTTTCCTTGTGAGCCAGTCAGAGAGAGACACACAGTCCTGGACCACACCCCCTTCATTCCCTCCCCACCCCTCTCCCACAAAGACATGCATAGCAAAAACCGTAAGTGTTTATACCTTTCCTTTCCTACTTTTCCCCCCACACCCGCGTGAATTATATCCCTCTGTGATTTTTCCTGTATCTCAGCACGCCTCCACTCCAGCACCCTGATCATATTTGGGTCAAAAATGTACTTGGTCTTGCTAGAACTCCACATAATCACAGATTGGTGTGCTTAATCACACAAGCACACCTCAGATGGCGTCATGCAAGGTGCTCATTAGAGGAAAATTACGCTGAAATAATGGGTGAATAATTTTTGAGAAGGTTCTGGCATAGTTCTGGATCTTCCATTTAGGACTGAGGAAGGTTAACAGGAAAAAAATATTGCTCCTCAATAAGCTAAGGTGTTAATGGGATGCCAGTCATGCCCAAAAGGTGCCCCTTGCCATGCATGATCTCTCTTTTTTTATGATTAATATTTTATTGAATTTTTGCATATCCTGCATTACAGGTACACATGTGGCAAATGTTGTTTTATGTTGTAAACATTGACTTGTATACAGAAAGTAAACAAATAACTATATTATACAATGCTTACACTCCAGGAAAGAGAGAGAGTAAGATGACCACATGGTAGCAGCGACAACAAACAATTAAAAAAAGAAAGAAAGAAAGAAAAGGGCAATACGAGAACCATCTAACAAAAGATTAAACAGGACAGCACAAAAGTAAAATACAAAATTAAAGAAAGGAATAAATAAATAAATATACTTATATGTTTATATGTGTATTTGTGAGTATTTGTTTTGGTGTTATTCATCTTTTTTCTCCTTCTTTCTTGTCTCGATTCAGAGAAGCGTCACATCTCCCCAGTCTCCGCTCGGAGCGCCCTGGTCCCCATGAAGCCTAAGGCACCTGCTGTGGCCCCGGCTGTCACTCCCAGTCCAGGGGACACACTGGCTTTCAGGGTCCCTAAAGATTACCCCCACTCCCGCTTCAGCAAGGCACCGCTTGCTGTCTACCCACCGAAAGGATCTCGGAATAAGACATGGTTGGCAGAGATTTATTGTAATGATAAAAAAGCTGTATTAGACCTTGGTTACATGAAGTTTAACAGTTTTTTGAATTGTGCTCTTCCCCTCTCTAGTGTGTCCCTCCCAGTTGTAAGCCTGGAGAAGATGCCATGCCTCAGCCGAACCGACTCTGCATCCCATGTGCGCCTCACCCCCTCTTCCTCCCCTTCTTCCTCCTCCTCCAACAAACCTCAATCTCTCGCTTCCTCATCATCTCAACGGTCCACTGAAAAACTCCTGAATGGTCGTGGCACCAGCGCGCCGTCCACACCACGCTCCACCACATCTCCGTCTTCTCTGGATGGGCGGCCCAGTCCAGCGCGCTCACCTCTAGACAGGCGGCCGTCGTCTACTCCTTCTTCATCTTCCCCTCTGGACAGGAAACCCTCGCCATCACCTTCCCCTGCACATCGATCCAGCGCCTTGCCATCATCGTCGTTGTCAGCGTTGGAGAAGAAGCATCAAAACGGGACGAAGGCTTCCTCCAAGCAGCACAGAAGGCTCTCAGGTCAGTCTTAAGACGTTACGTTTTCTGAAGTCATAATTTCTCGCAACTAAACGTTAAACAGTGACACTCATTTCTTCTGCTGACCAGTGAAAGCAGTTGAAGTATAAATGCTGTTGAAAGTTGGAAATACTTAACGATTTAGTCATTTCCCTTTGTGCATTTTTGTGGTTTGGTGAGTTTGATCTGTAAAGCTCCGAGAACAGATTTCATAAATTTTAATGAAAAAACTTCTTCTCTGAGCTGAAACAGTTTCAGCTCTTGCATGAGAATGCCTACATACAGATACATGTATGTGCTCTTACAAGCTCACACACTCACACACATTCTTTGTCTTATCTCCATATTCCCCTGGAAAGCTTCCAGGCTGAATGTTTGCTGCAGACAGGATAGTGGCGAAATCAGATTGCGACTCCTCTTTTTTTGCGCCTTTCTCTGTCTTATTTACTCTATCCTGTCATTCTTTCTAAACATCCTTTCCATGTTCCTCTTCTTTCTGTCGGATCCTTTCTTACCAAGTCTCGGGTTTCTCCTGTTAAATAAGACTGGAGCACCAAAGTTCAGATAATGGTCAACCGTGAAAGAAAGAGAAGTAAAAACATGCACAGTAGTAAAGGGATTTTTGATTGATGCTTTTGGGTACGCATGTTCATGTCTTTTCCCTCTTCCTCCACTCCTCATTTCACTCTTCTTCTTTCTCGATGTTTGCGCCATGTCTCGCTGTGTGCCGAGCTTCTGATTTACACCCTCTAATTTGCAGGCTCCCACTGCCAAAAAAACTGCTTGTCTTCTTGAGAGATTTCCCCCACCTCCTGTGCCTCTATGTATTTTCATCCTCTCACTCTCTACCTCCTGCCTCGACCTCTTCGTTCCTCTCCTCTTACACACTCCTACTCTGGCCTCATTTTTTCTCCCCTTTCTCACACCCCCCATCCCCTCCTCTCTGTTGGCTTTTTTGTCATCATTAGTCACTGTCTTGTTTTTCTCTCATCTCACCGTTCAGCTCTTTGTGTTTGGTTTCTCTTTCTGATCAGTCTGCCTTCACCCTACCCGTCCTCCTCTTGCTTTTCTTTCTTTTGAAGTTCATGTTAACATGTGAGAGGGTTTTGTGATTTTTGTTCATGTCTGAGAGCTCCACGCTGTTGTTTGTGTTTTTCTTTTATTTTTTTTGTTCTCTGTGTCCATCGGCGCTGGCTCATACTGCACACACAAAAAGATTACAGGGATTATAGGGAGGGCCAGCACTAGATTACAGCCCTCTGACAGTTACACTGTTTACGATAACCTGCTGACAGGAGGTCGTTGCTAGCCAGCTAGTTTGCTCACGGGGTGTTTTTGCTATTGCAGAGTTTTTCCCTGGCTCAGAGGGGGGTCGAGGTGATACCCTCCTTACCCTGCACACACCAGCATATTTACAAACAACACATTATAGGAATTTTAATCACCGCATAATTACAGGGAAGACAATCTCATTAAAAAAAATGCTTGTTTCTCACAAGGATAGGTCGTAACTATGATATTTAATGCGACATATATCTGATGTATTGATTTAGAGGTTGAAACAGAGTATGAATTTTTTAGCTCAACAATATTTGTATTAGTTTTATACAGATTCTACAAAGGAAAAACATCACAAACACCCCCATTCCCTCAAAACCCTGTCTACTGCTGGATGTTCCTATTACTGTGCTTAAATAACAAATTCTGGAGCAATATCAAAAATAATTTAAATAAATGAATAAAAAATACAAGTAAGCGCTGGAACTCCGGTTTTGTAGATCTTGAAATACATAAGATGTTGAGGAATAAAAAGTAAAATTAGAGTAAGTTAAATGAACTACTGCCTGTAAGAGAAATACAAATGTAGACAAGTCGCTGAAAACTGAAAAAGTCCATAAAAGAGAATTTAAATTGTATGATTATAAAACATCCAAGAAATAGATTTCAAAAAGAAAACAACTAGAAGAAGACAGTGCCGATTCAAAATGATGAGAGGATCTGAATGTGGTCTAGAAAAGGTCCCCAGGTCTTTTCCAATTTTCTGTCATTGCCTGCAACCGAGTAACGAATCTTCTCAAGGTCTAAACAGGACAAATGTACTTTTTAACTAGTTTTCAAAGGGTCATTCATATAAGTTGGCCCGACCTACAGGAGAGACACTTTTGTCTGACAGCATAAACAAAGTGAAGTTGTCATTATGACCAATGGCTTTAACTTTTAATCAAAGAGCTGAGCCAGGGTTAAAAAGAAAAAAACTTTCCTTTTGAGGATCTATATTTCTTTATGATTTCTATCTCGTATGCAAATGTGTGTGGAAAAGTATGGAGGTAGTTGATCGATTTCCAGGTCTTACAAAGTGTGGTAAATGAGAAGTAAAGTATGGAAACGTATCTATGTTTCCAGATGATTATCACAGTTTTAAAATACTGTTTTCTAAAAATAGATAAGTAGGTATTTCCAAAAACAATTCTAAAAAGTACCCTGATGAAAAGTATGAACCCTGATAAAAGCTTTCAAGTTTAAAATAGAATCACATATCTGTATTATCGGTTCCTCTTCCCTGGAAACACGTCATTTATCCACCAAAAACAAGATTAAAGTCATGAAAATTATTCTGTAATTTGTTACAATAAACAGAAAAATAAGATCAGATTTGATTAGCAGGGAAGAACCCACCTCCTCTTCACAGGTGATTCAGAGGTTGCTAAGTTTTAATAGTTGTACAAAAGTATTTGACAACTCATATACACTAAGAAAAGGGGCAATAGCAAGAAAAAAAATACAATAATCACTTATTGGAAATAACCAAAACTGGACACTGTAACCAACCCTTTTTTTGGAAAGTAAAGATTGATCTAGAGTCCCATTCCTGTTCTCAGTCTCCAGTCCACTTCAGATCTGGGCTCGAATCAAACACATTTTGCCCTGAAACAAATCTCTCGACATTGACTACTTGAGACATTGGCTGCCAACTGGTATAGCCTTAAAAGTGAAGGGATATATTTTACTGCGTTTTACTGCGTTTTCCTCCTCTGATTCCATTCATGAGAGTTTCCTGCGCTGTCGGTCACAGTTGACTCTTGTCAGGCTGCCAGCATGTCCTGTCAAAAACGATTTGTCACAGCATGCGGGATCTGTCCAGTATATCTGTTTGGGAGTGGAAGCATTGCTAATAATAATGTCACACTGAATAGTACTATAAGAAGACAGAAGGCTTAGACCGCAACTGATTGATTGAGTGAACGAAGGCGGAAACAAACAGACAGTGTCAGCGAGTGAACGCCTCAAACGAGACAAATTAATGCACTTGTGATGTGATGCTTAAGGGAGGGGAGGAAATTACCAGATGATGGATTTCAGGAGCAGTCTCGTGTGTCTGTGTGTCTCTACATTTTGCACAGGGAGAGTGTTTGACCCGAACAAGCACTGTGGAGTCCAGGATCCTGAGACTAAACGCCCCTGCACAAGGTCCCTCACCTGCAAGGTAAGTCAAATATCCAACCACAGCTACGACCTTGTCTGCCTCCTCTGCTGTCCCTGCGATAAGCCGGTCCTCCCCATCCCTCAGTTAATGCATGGAAGGAGTGTTAAAGCATAATACGGCCTTCGCTTCCCTTGATGAGGTAATTATAGATGTTGGATGAGGCGAGACCATCTTTCAGCTGTAAAACTCTCTTTTACTGCCCTTTAATTACTCCTGTCAAGCTTTGCTAATCACTTCATAGTGGTTGTTAAGTAAATAAAGATGTGTAAGGTTAACAGATTGACAATTCTAGAGGATGGTGTGAGAATAAGCTCGGCTTTTGCCTCTTGTTTTTCATCACTCAGGAGGCAAAACCCCTTAAAGCTTTAAAGTGAGCGCTAGGAAGATTTTTCTCCCCAAGCTATGCTACCTGTTTAAAGCAGAGTTACACGCCTCACTCGCTCACTCACATTTTTTATTGGAAAACCAAATGTTTGATGGCTGGTTACCCTCCAAAGTAGCTGGAAGAGTAGACAAGCTCACCAGCCACTGGCAGTGTTTACCTATGTTAGGCTGACGTGATGCAGGAAGCAGCATGGTGCAGTGATTATGGAAACTTTCCTGAAAACCAGAAAACCCTGATTCAAGGGAACTGCTAAAGACTGTTTGAATTGATCACGGATCAATATTTTCATTAACAAAGTCCCTGTAGAAGAAATCTAAACCATTTATCACTCTCTGATTATTTGCTCCAAAAGAAAAACAATGTGAGACTTCCATTGAACCTTCTTTTTTTTTGTTTTTCTGGCTCCCACAGACTCACTCCTTAACTCACCGCCGAGCCGTCCCTGGCCGAAGGAAACATTTCGACATCCTCCTGGCTGAACACAAGGGGCGAGCAAAGGAGAAAGAGGGAGCGAAGGAGAAGGAAAAAGATAAGGATGTGTCTCAAGGTGGAAAAGAAGGCAGCAGCCAGAGTGTTGTGTCACAGGAGACCACCTCTCCCAGCAAGCCTCACTGCCTAAACGGACGACCCCTGTCCACACTGAAGCTGCGGCTGGCAAATGCACACATACCCAGGTCCGAGTAGACCCTGCTCATGATTATAACAATGCAGCTATTTATAGAAGCAAGAAAAAAAATGTTTTGACTTTAATTACCCATTCATGTTAGTGTCCCAAAACTCTTATCTGATTTCACTGTGGAATTTCAGGTGGTGCACTTCTAAAAACCTTTTAGCCTGCTTATGTCGTCCTTAATAAAACACAAAGAAAAGGAGTACCTTCAGTAGGAATGGGCATCTCAAGCAGAAACTAACTTCAGTATTTACTGGAAATCACCAATCAATCAAAAAGTTACCTTCATCTTGCTGTGTGCCTCACTCTTTGGGCTGTAGTTTTAGTTGGTTTGTTTTTTCAAGGTCCCAATAGAAATCTTTGATTGTTGAGGAAGTCTCTGTTTTCTCCAGTTCAGAATCTCAGAAAATAGGAGTGGGAGAAAAAATCGATACAGCACAATATCGCGATATCTTGTCTGATGATATATTGTATCATCTCATTTACCAGGTATCAAATTTTTTTTTTCAAATTAATTGTGAATATGGAATCAAATCTATGATAATGGGGAAAAAAAAATCAACTGTTTGTCCAGTGAGGTCGGCAGAGGTGGCATCATAGAGCAGAAGACAGTTAGTGCAACAAATATATATCTAAAGTTTGCAAGATGTGCTTCATGAAAATAAAACACGGGGTAAATAAGACAAACATAAAGGAAAGACGAATGCTAAACTAGCTAAACAGTTGAAAAAATTGTATAAATTGCAATATATAATATTGCACAATGTTAAAAATTGCACTAATATTGTATCGTGGCCCAAGTATCGTGATAATATCGTATCGTGGAGCCACTGGTGATTCCCACCCCTATCGGAGAACCACACCTGTTTTACCAGGTCCTCCCATTAATGCTTTCCTTTTCTTTTGCTGTTCACCGGTGTTTCGAATCAACCCTCTTATAATCAAAAATCATGAATCATCTGCTTAAATTTTGTCTGTTCTTTGATCCATTTATCTGTTATTTTTGCAGCTTTATTTTTAAATTGAAGCACGCAGTATAGTCAGGAATGGAAAAACCCTTTCTGTAGTTGCCCTCTTTTAAGTGATGAATCATTCACTTTCATTGACAAAAATTATCCTGATGCTTTTCCACGTATCTGTGCTTGACAGAGACTGATGTATGGGGGAATCCCTGTCTTTTCTTGTTGTTCCCACCAGGGGATGCTGTAAACAAAAAATGTTCAAGATTGAATCTGACGTATAAGTACAGCAAATGCGCCCTTGTGAAAGTGTTTCCTAGAAATAACTTCCTTTTTCTATTCAGGGGAGGAATCTCTAATTTTAAAAGGAATTCTGAAGAAATATTATGTAAAATGTGATTGTTTTAGCAAGTTTGACACATGCTCATCTTAAGACTTGTCTTTTTTTCTTTCTTTTTCTCTCACTTCTTTCCTTCTTTCTAACTTTGTCCATTTTCCCTTCTTCTTTTATTTATTTCCTGGTGTCTCACACTCCAATTCTGTCTCATTCACCTTTCCTTTTTCTGTCACTAACCCATATCTCTGTTTCTGACACCCCAGGGTTCCTGGCTCCTCCACAACCACCTCCAGTCCTCTGCCCCCAGCGCCAGCTCCCACCCAAATCGCTAACCCAGAGCCGTCCCCCCACAGTTGGGTAACAGCAGCAGGAGACAGCAGTCGACTTTCCAGTGACGAGGGAGATGCAGATACCTTAGAGGACTCTGAAAGACCGGCTTATCACTACTCCAATCACCACCCACAGCCTTTAGGGGTAATGACTACTTAAGCTGCACTTACAGACATTTTGGTAATCCATAACCTTCCATCATTAAACACCTACAGCACTAACTTTCATTTGCGCTCCATGGAGACTGCTTCTAAATGCCAAAAGAGGAATAATGTTAATTTGTTTTTCAGCTCAGGTGAAGCTCAAATGTTTTCAGGGCATAAATAGGCAAATGTCATGTTTAAAATCAACCTCTGTAGGTTTTTTAACACTTATAAAATGCTTTAAGGCTACTTTATTTAAATGTCATTTGTTGTCAAAATTAAACATAAGTTGCTGCACTTACTGTGGTTGAATATGCATGGACTAGGTTTCCACGTATCATAGAAAATCTTGAAACAGCTGACTGTTTTGGGGTTTTTTTTAAGTCAAAGAAAACACCTGTAAAACTGGCAAAAAAGCAAAATGTCTTTGAAAAGCCGAGGCTATCATGGAAAATCTATAACCAAAAACTTAAGATGAAGTCCCAAACACCCCTTTTTGTTTTGTGAGACACACACAGCGAAGAGGAAAGATGGCAGCAAAAGATTTCCATGGAGTACTTTGAACTTGTTATTCGCAGGAAGATTCCTGATGGTAAAGTTAAGGTCCCTGACGTGGAGGAACAGATCGGTACTGTCAGTCATATGGTTTTTTTTTATCCCAGTCTGTTACACTCAGATTTTTAAAAGTACTGTCTAAATTTAAAGTGAGTCCAGGCTTATCTTAATGCGTATATTATCACTGTTGGAATTGTATTGATGTGGATGAGTGAAGAAAATTGAGGGTGTGATCGTCTAAAATTGGTGAAAAACCAATCCAATACATGACAAACTGGATCATCAGAGAAACTGTGGTTGTTAAGATAAAGGTCAAGACTAAATCAGGTCAAAGGAAGAGTGTGTTACTCTATTTCCTGTCTTTGTGAAACTACACATAAATGTCAGTTGACCTGTTCACAGAGTCGACATTCAGTAAATCTGCACCTAAAGGTCTTGACTCTCAGTTTGGGAAGTAGATTGGTTTCTGTTTGAGTCAGATTGGCCGGTCATATTTTGGCTTTTGGTGAATGCTGGAAAAACTGTCTGTAAAGAGGGCGTGAGTAGACGGCGAGCAGTTTGTAACTTGATGACAATCATATTTGTGTATAAAAGAATTCATGATCAAAAACTTCAAGCTTCTGACAAATCTGCTTGACACAGTTTCGCCTCCTTGGTGTCCATGAGAAATGATTGATCTGATGTCCATGCAAAAAAAAAGAAGTCATTGCAGAATTTTCCCTCAGCTGATGAGTTAGACAGAACATGCATTTGGGATTTTATAAGTCTGCATCATGAAGTTAATTTAGCAAACAAAAGATCCATTTATTGTGAGTAAATTGGAAGAAAATTGATTTCTCTTTGGTTTCATACTGCTGAAGCAACACTGCTGTGAGGTTATAACTAGTTTGGTTTGAGTTTGGCTTTCTTCTCGCGTTAAAAATTGAGAGTCAAATATTACGTTAGAAACAACAAAGGTGATATTTCTTGAATTCTTTGGAAGGTTGTTTTTTCTAGCCTTTTTAAGATGTGTGCATTTATCAAAGGAGTAGTTTAGTATTACTGAAGAGACTTTGTATGAGCTCCATGTCATTCATGAGTCTACTAGCCACAATGGATGACTGAAACTGCTGGTAGAAACAGGACATTACCTGTTTCGGCAGACGGGGACGACTCTGCTATTTGAAAGACTGTGACAAAAGCATTCATCTCGGTTAAGTTGTACGCTCTATCAAGGAATTTTTCGCCACTATTTTTGGACATTTCATTTATTGTTGACACTGCCGTACTGAAAGCCACTGTTTGTGTCTTTCTATAACATTCAGAAGTTGTTGTTATATGAAACCAGAAAAGGAAGATAGAGATAACGTCTTTTAAGTATGTGTTTGGGCCTCATTTTGATTTTTCACCGCTTAATGACACAACCCGTGGTCCACAAAATATGTTTACCTCATCAGAATACATTGTTTGCAGCTGAAGAGGATGACTGAGCTGAGATAACAAACTCTACACACAACACTGTGTCCACTGGGTCATCTTCGGCATGCGCTGCTTAAAATTATGCAAAGCTGAATCAAAAAGTAAATTCACAATATATCAGTGTCTCGTACACTCTAGACTGGATTCACCGATCCTGCTGCATAAGGAAGATTAGATCACATCTCGGTGTTGCATCTGCAAATAGTGCAAAAACTAATGGACTTCCTGATTGCAAAGTTAAGTGCTGTAAAATTGCTCAGGAGGGGGTGCACCTAAACTGAGATGTTTGCTTGGGTCAGAGTTTCTCAAAATTAGTCAAATTACATGACAGAATTGACCCCGTCAACAGACCTGTGGCCCACCTATGCATCCTGTGGTCTATATGCAGTTTTGTAGCGAAAGGGCAGAGCTGACCGACACCTTTTTTTTTTTTCTCGTACACTTACTTGTAGCATATAGCTCGTACAAGCTCACTATAGAAATTCTGAAATAGCCCTTTAATTTTTTTGTTTTTGAGATATCTTCAGCACACACTTGTTTTTTTCTGTTTTTTCACCTCCCTCTTGGTCATTTTTTTTCCCACCTAGATAACACTTTCACTCCACACCCTGTTTCAGCTACCTATCTCATTCCTCCTCCCTTTGTCTCTTTCACACTCACTCTTTTAGTTTTTAGTCCTGTTCCTTTTCTTGTTTACTACAACATTTCTCTCCATGCCTCATTTTACTTTCCATCTGGTCTAATCCCTGAACTTCTCTCTCATTCTGTCTCCTTCCAGTGCTGCGTATTCAGCAGCAGGCTCATGGGACGGGGCCACTACGTGTTTGACAGGCGGTGGGACCGGATGAGGCTGGCGCTGCAGAGCATGGTGGAGAAACACCTCAACGCACAAATGTGGAGGTGAGTCTGCAGAGTGTATTCATATATTGACTAATTAGCTGTCTGTAATGTTGAGGGCTTGGTTGCAGCATTGTGCATGACGAACAGTCTCAGGAGTTAAAGGTGCACTAACAGCAGAGCAACAGAGACTTCACAGTGTACATGAGCTGCAAAGAGAGTAAGTCACTTTAAGAGGAACGGTATTTCTGGGCTTTTTGATGGTTTCACATGCAGTTGTTGGGCAGATAAGGTGTCATCAGCCCACATGTCTGATGAGCGGAAAAATGCAAAAAAAAAAATATATATAGCAGTCCAAATATAAAATATTTGTTACCTTGAATTCTTCCTATTATTTTATAGTTCTATCTATCTGTCCTCTGTAGTACTTATCTTTGTGTCTAGCTATCTACTATATCTGTCTGTCCGACTCTCCACTTACCTGTATGTCTATCCGTCTCTTCACCCATCGAGATTTGTTATATCTAGACTCTTCTAAATCAAATTTATCCATCCCTCCTTTTTTGTCCATCTTTCTTCTACTTTGCATATTCACAGGAATATAAGACTTTCGTTTTCTTGAAACTGATGTGGAAAAAAAAAACTGGATTGTCAGTAACACTTTACTCGACGCCGATCTCTATGATGCATCATAAATATATTTATGATGCGTTATAACCACGTTATAGCACAGTATAACTATAGTTATAAAGACTCATAAATGATCATAATGCTTTATAGCAATAATCACAACACATTATAAAGCGCTTTATCAAGACTTTCAAGGTCAGGTATTATAATGTGTTATAACTGTTAACAACAGTTGCATTACATTATCTATGTGGGCATTGTCAGTTAGTTGTTAACATTTATAACTAATTATAATACCTGACCTTGTGAGTCATGATAAAATGCTTTTAATGTGTTATGATTATTGCTTATAAGCATTATGATCATTTATGAGTTATATAGTTTGTTATATAGATATAGTTATACAGTGCTATAATGTGATTATAAAGTGTCAAATAAGTCAAATAAAGTGTTACCATTATTTCTTGTTTAAATCAAATTTATCCATCCCTCCTTTTTTGTATGTCTTTCTTTTACTTTGCATATTCACAGGCATATAAGACTTGAAACAGATGTGAAAAAAAATTAGAATTGTCTCATTTTTGAGTTTCAGCAGATAAATACCAAGGTTATCTATTCAAACACTTTTATCAAGTAATAGTTAAACTCTTCTTTAGCCAGTTTTATGTCTCGTACCATGGTTCCCAAAGGGGGGCACATATGGCTGGGAGAAAAATGTCATGCAGAACTGTTGCCTTGAAGATGGAATCAATTTCACAGCAGCAGAATAATAAGCAAAAAACACAAAATTTAATTCCCTTTGAGGGGCGAATGGCAGGAAAAGTGTGAGATCACTCTACTTGCTCTCTCGGTTTTTTTTGCTTTCATTATTGTCTCTACAGTCAGTCATCCATCAAATGTAAGTTGAGAGGAATTGTGAGCATCATGCTCATTTATCATGAAAACAAGCACAGAAATAAGATGATTTCTTTGTGTAACTTATGAATACAATCAAACACGACACTGGTAATTTCAGTGTTTAACGAGATGAAAAACAAATGTTTGATTTGCCTGATTGCATGTGTTAAAGAAGGACTTGTACAAGAAGATTTTCAGAAGGTTTTTTCATGAGCTGGAATTACACGTTAAGTGGAGAATCAGCAGGAGCTCACAGATAACGGTTCGACTAATTGGTTAAGGAGAACGGTCAAACTTCACAGATTTTGCAGACACAGGAAAGCATTGTTTGGTAAAATACAATATATTGATGAAGTACTTAAGGTTCAGTGCTAATCCATATCAGCAGTAAAGCTTCTTTGTTTGTGCATTACTCATTGAATTAGATCCTCTTCCTGTTTCAGGAAGGTGCCTCTGGCTGCTGAGAGCCTCCTCTCCTTCTCCTCCTCCTCCGGTACCTCCCCCATCACATCACAGCAGACTCCCTCTCCCACCTCCGTCACCTCTCCCACCTTCTCCTCCCCCTCCAACTGCCTTTCATACACCGCAACATTTCCTCAGTCTGCATCCACGGCAGGAGTGTTCAGCATTCGAGACGTGGCGCAGCCCGTCGCCCCAGTTTCAGCGCTGGGTAAAGCGCGTAACGGCACGCATAAAGCCAGCCGCCCGTCCAAAGACATGGAGGACTCTGCAGTGGGATCTAAAAAGAGAAAAAACTCTTCCTTTTCCTCCTCCTCATCTTTTTCTTCTTCCTCTTTGTTGACTGTGGATAATTACAAGAGGAACGGCAGCAGCTATCATCCACCATTACAAGGAACAGGGGGCGCAGGGGGAACCCCTGTCAGGAAAAAGGGACTGGAGCGTGGGGGGAGCGGGCTTTGGAGCAGTGGAGAGGACTGGCTATCAAAAGCTGAGGGGTCTCAAAGCCACAACTCACAGAACAGGTAGGATATCACTCTTATTTTTTTTTTATCTTGATTGTACTTTGCAGGATGAGTCAGCTAGACTACATTTAGAGAAGGAAACTATTAGTAAACAAACAGAAAGTGGCTTTTGTTATGTCAGCGGGTCAAAGAAAAACAGCTTTATTTAGATTTCTAATAATCCCGCCACAGTTTTTCCAGTTATTTTCTGTCATTTGCGGTTTTTTGAATCTTCCTCAGAAGTCAATTCTTACGAATACAAAAGTAGTGCTTGAAGTGATGTTTCTTTCATTGAAGCAAGCTTTCTTGTAAGTGTAAGTGCTGTGACTGTTTTCTATAAGGTCTTTGTTCTTCAGGCAGTGCTGGTGATAATCTGTTCAGTGCTTGTCGTCAGTACATCTATATGAAGCCCTCATATAAAAGGAACTTATGTTAATTGTTCTTAAAAAAGGTAAATTTTATTATAGCTAAGGCTTCAAGTAATAGTTTTGTCTCAATTCAGCTTGACAGTATGTATAGGCAAGTAATCTATTTAAAATAGAGCGGTGTGTAAACAGAGGGGACAGTGCCAGCAGTGCAGAGGCTGTGATGACAGGTGTTTGGCTTCCTTCTTGAATATACAGCACTGGAAAATCTATCTGGAACTCGCTGGATTTTATTAATAGAGGCAATTTTCTTCCTCTTCTGGCCCTCTTCAGTAGAGAACTTGGCACGACCAGTATACCCTACTCACCCCACAGGGAGCCTGCATCCACCCCCCATCAGCCCCTGGCTCCCCCCTCTGGACCCTTGGCTTATGTAGGAGGAGCAGAAGGGCGAAAGAGGAGAAGTCCCAGCTCCTACAAGGGGAAGGCGAGCAAGCTGAGCAGGCCGGGCAGTTTGGAGAGCCTCTTTGGGAACGGGAGTGAAAGGGGGGGAATACTCGTCTCTGGGCCCGAGTCCCCCAGACAGGTGAGTGTTGTAAACTGCCTTGAGACACTCTTAATAAAGCACTTTGAGGAATACCCCAGTAATTTGGTTTCCACTGTTCTGAAAGGTCAGACTTATGTAACAGTCGACTTGCATTATACATTACTGAGCCGAGGAGACTTTTAGCCTTTCTTGCAGTTATAGACTCCAGGGATGATCACCGACTCAACAAAGGTCAGGTGCACTCGGACAAAATGAAGTTTAGATGTTTATGCTTCTCAAAGAATTATTTATGTATTTAAAAAGATTTTATTGTTTGGCCCATGTTCAAATTGTTATCATGGAGGGAGTAGGCTTTAAACCCTATTCTGAAACAAGTCACCTGACACTTGGTGGAGCTCTGCCAGTTTTGGCTTCACTCAGAATAGTTGTAGCTCTGTCCATGATTTTATACAGTCTACACTAGGGCCCAACCGATGTATCGGCGAGCCGATTAAATCGGCCAATTTTAGCCCATTTTAGACTAATCGGTAATCGGCCAAAAGTCGCAGATTTTCGCCAATATTTTCAGAAATAAAATGCGGTGAATAAGACCCGGTTTCACTTCGAAAATGTTCCGCCATTTGAAAAGTTCCCCGACTTATCTTGTAGATGGCGCAGCGACCTCATGACAATGTCCACTAACTACCTCACAGCACAGCAGAGTGACGGATCTGGTGGTTGAAAAGGCTTTTCTGGTCCGAGTTTGATCAGTCACTCTTCCTGTCTGCGTGAAGAGCAGTAGCCTAAAGTATATCTACAGTATACTTTGTACTGTAGATATCTACAGTATAAAGTATACTGTAGATATCTGCAGTATCTATATTTTTTCTAACTTAATTAAAAAATCGGCCGATTAATCGGTAATCGGATTTTTTCCCCCCCTAATAATCGGCATCAGCCCCAAAAAATCCATATCGGTCGGGCCCTAGTCTACAATCACAACTGCTCAGGGCAGCTAACTTTAAAGTGGATGATTGAGTAACAGGTGGACACGAGTAGTAGCAAGGCGATTGCCTCACTTTGTCTGTTCAGGGGTCACTGGAAGTTACTTTAAGTCAGCATGTCCAATACGGTGACCTTCATCAAAGGGCTTTGAATCGCCTTGAAAAGTGTGTTTGTGCTTTATTCAAAATCCCAGCAGATTCAGCTCTGCCCTGTATGTCGTGCTATCCAGCAAAGTCAGCATGCAAAGAGCTCAGCTGAGATGGTGCTCGTGGTAAAATCACCTTTTCAGCATCAGAAAGTTTTCCATGTCATTGACAACATCTGGAAGACTTGTGTTTGCATTTCAAGTGTTAAGCTTTTGTCTCTCTGTCTTTCTATGCATAAAAAAATATCAAATATTAAAATCTCAGAGAAACAAAAAAAGCTAAAAAAAACAAATCTGATACGATTTACTCTTCATCAGTTTCAGTTCTCTTTCAAATCTAAACCAACATTAATTATCTGTCATGGAAACCAGGGAAGAAAGAACTAGTTAATCACCATGAAATAAGACATTACTGCTGTGAACAAACAGATGTAGACACCTTTGGGCTGTTTCCCCTCTAAAAGAAATTAAGCTTAAATAAATAAGAGCAAACTTATGGTCTGAGTCAATCAAGCCAATAATAAATAAAGGAAAGTTAAACTCTCTCTGTCTTCTTTCTCCTGCAGTCCAAGTTACATCACTGACAGAAACCTGCTTCATAGACTGAATGTTGGGCAGCTGTGTGGGCCACCACCGTTTGTGACCTTTGACCTCACCACTCTTCCACTGACAGCACCAATCAGACTGCTTCATCTCGGCGATGTCACCCCTATTTACCCAATGACAGTTGAGTTCAGCCACTGTGACATCGGGGCTCTCTTTGCCCACAGTTGGCTGGCAGTCGTTTCCACTCTTCACCTCTGGCTCTGGAGCGTTTTAGAGAAACGCAGTCGTGCATCGCTGTAATCGCTGCCTCTAAGAACAAGGCAGAGAATCCAAAAACTTTTTCTCTGAGAAGGGAATTTTCTTCACCGTGTTTCAAGGCTATTAATAATGCCACCACTGTACACTTTTTTGGGGTGACAACTATTTACACCAATCAGGACTTTAGTTTCTTGTTGTTTGGACTTTTCCTCACAAGGAAAGAAGCTCTGTGATTGTTTTTGGGAGTTAGACAGTTGAAGAACCCACTGACACACCTACTGTAGGACTCCTACTAGCCTTCAGCAATGCCGCCTCAACTCCTTTTCCCCTCCCTTTTCCCTCTTCCCCCTTTTTCTACCTTTCTCTCATTCAAGCTTTTCTTTTTCCTCAAAGATTGAAGAAATAACAGCCACTTTGGTTGGGTTTTATCCAGCTTTTCCTTCTCTTCTTTTTATGTCTGCATCTTTCTCTCCCTCGCTCTTCAACTCTGCATTTCTTTTTGTCCTTTCTCCCTATTCATCCCAGCATGCCTGTGTTTCAAAGTGCACTTACTGCCCTCACTTCCCCTTGCGTCCCTCTACACTGACTCCAGAGCAGTCTCCAGCAGTGCCACACGAGGACACGCTCACACAAGGGAAGAAAAAAAACTGTTTGTGTTACCGACGACACCGTGTCAATGCATTGTATTTCACCATAGGAAGAAATCTGATTATTTGACGATTGTTTCAAAGTTGCAAGAAACACAAACTCCCGTCTGTGTGTCAGGACTTGCATCCAAAAAAGAATTATAGCTACGGTGTTGGATCTCTTTTTTGTACAATAATTTATCATTCTTAAATGGTGTTTGTTTTCTAACTGACCGTTGAGGTTGAGAGACTTTTTGAGCAAAAAATAATTTCTATGGCATTTTGAAGAAATGTTGAAAGTATTATGATAGTTCATATTGTTGAAAATGTGTACATATCTGTTATTATTTTTGTATTTATTAATAATTGTCCCCTTTTACTTTATATGAGCTACAGAGGGGGAGTGTTTTTGCCTTCCTTCCTAAGTCTGTGTTTGATAATGTTGAAGCAGTTGGCCTGGTTTCTCAAAGTCTTAAAGAATTTAATCATTAGGAAATATTTCATTCAGTACTTCAAAGCAGCAGAAAGAACATTGATCGTGAATGTCATTGCAATTCCAACAAAGACGTAGGATTTATTTCTAAAAACAACTTAATCATACTTTTTAACTTTTCTTTATAAAAAAAAAATCAATCTCATAGTGTGTCCTTCCAGAAGAAATACCAGAGTGAAGATATTGAAAACTTTTAAGAACATCTCACATGTTTGATCCTATTTATATTGTTTAACCACCATGAATATACAGTTTTTCACTCAGCGATCAGCACTGTTACCTTTTTCTAATTGGGACAGAGCAACAACCTTGGTCAGTATTCAGAGTTTACATAGTTGCCACGGAGATGGTTCAGGTTTCCTCACATGGCTTAAGCCTTTTGGTGAACCCACTTCTACCCCAGTCAAGATGTTTTCCTCAGCCCCACATTTTAAAATAAAAGCAGCCCATTCAGTGTACATGCAAAAATCAAGACTTTTCAGTCTGTTAGAAGTTGACCAGATTGCTCAGGTCTGGCACAACTAACAGCAAAAAAATTTGGAGATATAAAATGCCATTGGCTGTGCTTGTCAGGGGCAGAGAGCATTGTGGGTTACTCATATTAAAAAGAAAAAATAGATGACAAATTGCAACCAAATTTTTGCTGGAGTTAAAGTTTTACCAGAAACACAAGTTGACCTGATCACTTCGAGATCGAGTTACTTTAGCTTGTGTGACTAAGATTCTTGGTAGAAATTAATGTTGTATAACATCCTGGTACTTTTGCAGACTGAATCTGATCTTTGCTCTTGAAAAACTCAACATATGATGGTCAAATTTTTTTTTTACCACATTTCTTATAGATCTGTTTTCCCTCTATCCTGCAGGTTTTTCGGGAAGCAGATAAACATTTTTAAGAATTTTGAGAAACCAGGCCGTTGTTAGTATTTCTGTTTAAAGGGCCCCACATTCCTGTTTGCCTGTGGTTCCTCCCTTTTTCCATTCTTCCTCCTGTGTTCAAAAGTATAGCTATATTTTTAAACTATCTTTATCTTCCAGGGCTGATTGGTCTGTTCTCTGCTGTGTGTGTTCAATCAAAGCCAGGTCAAAATGCCTTCAGTTACTTCTCTAGAAATGGTACCATTATACTTTGCGTAAAGATGCAGCTTAGCCACGCCTGTTATATGGTAATCTATTTTAACATTGTGTCCAAAGATATGTTGAATTTGAAGAGAAAGTTACACTTCATAATATCCACAATAAGAACAACGTCAAACTCCTGAACTTTGAATGGAAGTAAAAAGTAAAAACCTTCAATATATCTAAGAGTTGTCCTCATACAGTGTTGGGGATTGTTACTTCAGTAAGTGAAAGCATTTTGATTTGCGTGATGGCAGCGTCGGGCTGCCAGCAAAGTTCTGAATCTGAACTGGTACTTGCCAAGTGCTTCATTGGAAACAACTTTCATTTTGATTCGTTTGTATTTTTGTATCTCAAAAGCGTCTGAGCACTAATGATTGAATGACTTGTACATAACCAGATGTATTTGTGTTGTGCTTTTCCCAAGTGCTTCCCATGATGACACTTTGCGTGAGATTGTCTAACAGCTTAGATCAGTTTCATGAAACCGGCTCAGTGGTCTGTTTTTTTTTTTTTTACCGTACTGGTTATCATGCCTACAAGTACATTATAAACATGTTTTTTTCACAGTTTTCTCTGTTCAACACAACATACCAACAGATATACAAGTGTAAAGATGTTTCATTATGGTTTAAATAATGGTTGATATGGGAATTTATGCCCTTTTCATGTTAATCTACAGATCAGAGATGATGATCTCGTGGAATACCACCCTGACGTCTTCTTTGTAGTCTCCAAAAACAGGAAGTTACTGTCTGTTGCAGCTAAATTAAGATTGCGTTTATGGATGTTTAATTTCAGAGCAGTTGTACAGTTTGTTATTTTCTGCTGAATTTTATGGAGATATTATCCTTTTTTTTTTTTTTTTTTTTTAAATCCTTCCCCTTCCTTTTTTGCACTTTGTCATAATGCCCAGATCTTTAATCAACTTCTATTTATATAAATATTTGAGATATAAAAAACTTTATCTATATATTTGTAAAAGTGTTTCTTGTAACTCCAGGAAAAGACGATGAAGAGTTTATTCCCTGTGTGTTGGCCCTGAAACCGGCACCCTGTTGCTGTTTGTTGTATCTGATCAAGACTGAAGTGAATGTTGAATGTTGAAAAGAAATGCCTTGTAAGAGTCGGCTACAGTCGGATCAGAAAGAGAATTTCCCGTCAAAACAACTGAACACTTGCTGTAAAAAAGAAAATGGTCTTATATTCAGGCTTTTATTAAATGATTGAAAGTGGATGCTGTGTTATTTGTAAAACAAACATGCAGAGTTTGACTGAGAGGGTAATTCTCTCTCTTGATGGATGGTTGTTTTGTGCTAAGACTTGCTGTGGTTGCAGCTATGTGTTGAATGTTTTCTGTCAAAGCTGAACATGATCGTCAGTGTCTCGCTGGATATTTTTGTGTTGCAGGGGAGGAGCTCCAAGGCTGTCATGATTCGAAGAGGAGCTTCAATTCCATATTATGTGCTCAGTTTTTCCCACATAAATCCTTTGTATTTAGTTTATAATTGAACACAATGAACCACGCTGGGCCACGTGCACATTCATGTCAAAATCTCTGGAAATGTGCGACATATCAAGGTTTTGTCAACTTATGTTGTCAGAGTTATTGTTTCTCTTGGAATCCTAGATGGTGATGTTTGGCAGTCCATACAACACTTCAGTCGGGGTTCAGTCTGAGGATGAAGAGGATCAGCCTGACGGATTGTGGTGGTCTCTGGACCTTTCCTGTCTCGGGTGCCATCAGCAAGTTGACATTCCCAGGTTTTTTTAAATGAATTGAAAAATACAGGAGGATTTGTCCAAGATTTGGCTCATATACTCATAATCCAAAGCAGTGGACCTAAACTTTGGTGTTTGTACACCGGTGGTCCTAAAGAGAACTGTAGGGATGTCCTTCAGATCTTGATGAGGACTTCAGTTCTATGACAAAGATTAAATAATTAATTTGAAATACATATTGGATAACTTATTGAATGCAGCTGTCGCAGTGTTGACTGTCACATCAAACACAGTCGTGTTCATGTCAATTTTGTATCATTCGAGTCGATACAAAGCCACAGCAGATTCTCAATTATTTGGAATAAAGGTATTTGTTTTGTTTTTTTAGTATTTAGCTTAAATACAACTGTGATTAACATGATTAAGAATACTTTCAGGATTACAAAGAGAAAAATTAGCTTTCATTTGAAACCCTAATTTTTTCTTTTTTGCAGGATTAGATGAAGCTGGCACACCTGATGAAGTTTTTAGTTCCTGCGTTATAAGCTGCAGTGTGCTAACTCAGACACTGTGGATGCCGAGCTCCATTGTAGCGCTTTGTTTTGTGTCTAAAATATTGCATGTGACGTTAACGTCAGGATGAATAATCACAGAAAAAGTTCAGAGAACATCTGCCACTTGTATGATCAATATTTTAATTACTTTTTCTTATTATTATTCCATTTGTTACATCGTACACTAACACAGTGATCACAAAAATTAAAGATCTACTTAATAATGTCAGGTTGTGTTGGACAAGACACCTGTTATTGAATGAAAA